TTATGAATATTTTGAAATAAACAAATTGAACCATGTATAAATAAATCAAACATATTTTTTTGATGTGAGAGCATAGAGATTTGCCTTAAATTTTAATTAATCAAAGTAATTTTATACTGAGTTAAGGTTAGATAGGTTGAGTTCACATATAAATCTATAAATGTTATTTTTTAATTCATCTGAAAATAATTACTATTGGTTTGAAGCAATGCAAGACCCTTGTAAATCCTAAAATAAGCTTTTATCAAATACCAAATATAGAGAATTCCCTTGCAAAAAGCAAGAAATCGTAAGAACAGTCATTTCAAAACTCGCCTCAAAATTCACTGAAAATAAAACACTTTCTAGTTTATAAAAATCAAAACAATAAATTCTGGTGAATTTTGGATATTTTTTAACTGTCAGAGAGAGTTGTATATTCACATAATTATTGGCTGTTCCTAACAACTGTGCAAAATCAATATAATATAGAAAGATAAAATATACGATAATGTAATTTTACCATGCCGTATACTATTGATCAATCCAATAGAATATTAAACCATCCCGTAAATAATTTCCATGGTAACAATGTTTGAAATGTGAAATACTGAGGAATGGAGAATCTAATTAGTAGTTAAATTATTGTTGTTTCTATGGGAACAATATTATACAGAATTGCAAGAAATTGAAGCGCAGTCATCCAATTTCAGCGAAAATGACTAAATAAAGATTGAACTGGTCAAGATTTTATGAATGGGCTGATAATAAAAAATCTGTTCAAGCTAATCCAAAGTAATTACGAAATATTCTCCGATTGAATTATTTAAATACAGTAAAACCTGTCCGATGGAATACCTCTCTGTAGGGAAAACCTATGAACAAGGAATGCTTTTCAAAAGAACCAAATATTTTTCCATTGACTTACATGTTAACGGACCCTCTCTGTAGGGAAAACCTGTGAACAGGGAACAAGGAACACTATTTTGGTGCAAATTATGAAAATTCACCTGTGAACAAGGAATATGGAATATTGGTGACACTGTATATTCCATTATTTTTCAGAGGTGTGAAAGTCTTAAGCCAATATCTGATTCTAAAAAGGTTGGATTAATATGATTGAGATTAAGATAAGCCAATTGTTTACATGATGAAGCATCCCACCCACTGTTAATTACCCTGATATATTTTAAAACTAATACTAATCTGTTTGTTACTAATTATCATGACACTTATTCTTCCTTTCAACAAACCTAATTACATCTAATCAGTTGTGATAATCTAGGGATTGACACAATTGTTAATGGAGATAACAGGTAAGTACATGTGTCATGTTGAGCCAAATCTATCAATAATTACAACAACTACACATCATCATACGCCAGCAGCAGCGGCTAAAATCAACATCAGGAGAATGCTCCTTACCCTCAGCTAAAGGAGGGAGGTGGGAGTACTTCATACATCTTCCAAGATGTCACAACTCACAACAAGGTCTAGCAACCAAGTATGGAGTCGGCATTGGAAAAATCAATTAATGCCCAAAGTATATATACAAAAAATGCTTATTCGGCAATTCTGAGTTTGCTGAAAGTGCGGCCCCTCTCTATAGGGAAAACCTCTGAACAAGGAAACTTTCCTCCAGTCCCAAGAGCATTCCCTGTTCGCAGGTTTTACTGTATTCGAATAACATCAAAGCGATGAAAACAATTTTGAAATGCTATCAAGATATTTCAGAATACTGAGCCAATATGTATTTTATAGCAATGTAGCATATGATTCTTGTATCATAGAATGATCACTCTAATTTGGCAAAAATATCAAAGCCCAGTAAATTAAAAGGACTCCAGAACACATGTTATTTTTTTACCATTTCCTTCATGTCAAAGGAGGTTATGTAGAGATTAACTCCATTAAATAATGCATACATGAACTGGCTATTCCTAAAACTTAGTCACGTTTAATACAATGACTGAATATAAATGACCCACTAAACACTGTATGCTATATATGCATATTGACCCATGTAAATGAATGATGGATCTGCCCTTATTACAAGGAACAGGGGGTTTAAAATGCCTTCACAGATATTATTTTCTGTAAAAAAAGAATTAAGACATTGGTCAAATGTATAAAAGATAAAGATTTAAGTTGCAAAAATGTCAAAATTCATTGGAACTGAAATAATGAACTTCCCTTTTTCAACACTTTGGCAAGATGTCAAAAAATCAAAGGATTATCCTGAATTCAAAGGATTATCCTGAAATCAAAGGATTATCCTGAAATCAAGGATTATCCGGAAATCAAGAATTATCCTGAAATCAAGAATTATCCTGAAATAGTCAAAACCATTGGACCATTTTAGAAAGTAGGCAGGCATGGAATAACAAGAGCAAAAAAGATTGTAAAAATGTGAAAATTTTTGAAACTCACTTTCAACTCATCTCTAACCCTTCTATTCCCTTTAAAATACAAATTGAGGATTATGTTGGTAAAGAATCTAACACAATCTCCAATCACAGTATTAAGACATACAATAATTTATAACAGATGTGATTCTGTATTGAGGATACCCACTCAATCACAGTTCTAGTAATAGTTATATCTTAACAGGCACGTAATGATATATTGTCAATATTTGCACCACAGAGTGCTAAGAGCTGTACAGTAGAACCTGTGTACAATCACTATACAGTAGAGCATGTGTATACAATCACTATACAGTAGAACCTGTGTGTACAATCACTATACAGTAGAACCTGTGTGTACAATCACTATACAGTAGAACCTGTGTATACAATCACTATACAGTGGAACCTGTGTATACCATCACTATACAGTACAACCTGTGTGTACAATCACTATACAGTGGAACCTGTGTACAATCACTATACAGTAGAACCTGTGTATACAATCACTATACAGGAGAACCTTTGTATACAATCACTATACAGTAGAACCTGTGTATACAATCACTATAAAGGAGAACCTTTGTATACAATCACTATACAGTAGAACCTGTGTATACAATCACTATACAGTGGAACCTGTGTATACCATCACTATACAGTACAACCTGTATATACAATCACTATACAGTAGAACCTGTGTATACAATCACTATAGAGTAAAACCTGTGTATATTGAACATTGTTTTGCAAAGAAAAAATGTCTAGTGTTTGTAGGTGTTCAATGCAGAGAGGGTAATCAATACAAAAGTCAGTAGAGTATGTGCAGAGGGAGGGTGTCCACTAGGGACTTGTTCAGTAAGCCAAGTTTAGCTGTATATAAAGCCAATAATACAAGACTCCACCTGCAAATGGCAAAGTGAACACTTACAGATGGTCACCATGCATAATCAGGCTTTACTGAACATGAATCCTACAGTAATTACTGTGCATGAATCCTACAGTAATGATTGTCAAGAACAATATCTCAATTAAAAACCAAAAATGACTTCCAGTAAAACCTGTCTAAGTTGAACACAGTTGGTACTTCCAAAAAGTGTTCCAATTAGGAGGTGTTCCACTTTACAGAGGTTCATTTAACAATAAGTCAATAGACTGCAGGACTTTGAAAAGTGTTCCACTTACAGGAGTGTTCCTATTCCATTTTACAGGTTTTACCCATGTATATTACAGAGTTAGTATCCCCTTTTGCAGAGAGAACCCGGCTCCTTTACCATTTTATGACGGTTCTTATAATTTGAATATACATGAATAAATAAATCAATGTATATGAAATATGATAAAGAGCCAAAACATACAAAGGAGATTAAAATACAGTGTTTTTCTCAGACAGTATACTTAGTTGCCAGTGAAGAATTTTGGTAAAGCAGTATTGCACAGAGATTTCTCTTAAATGTTTGAATAATATCAGCCTAGTCACGTTATGATTCAGTCTGATCACTAAACTTGTTGTTAAAATACATAAAAACATAATTTTGACTTTCATACTATTCGCAGAACCTATCAATTATTTCATTCCAAAAAGCATTTCACTTATAGGAAGACTGTCTACAGACACTCTCTCCATAAATTTGGCAAGTAGAAGAGACTTCTGGTTTCCAAATTTTTGGAGGGGAGTATACATGCACTTTTACAAGATGGATTACAGATCAAATAATTCTTTATGATTAAAATAGCCCTAAATGATAACTTAAAAGCAACATTTTTTAATGATTAGTCACCTCTATCCTATCCTTCCATACTGTAAGAGAATCATGGGAGTGAACATCCTCTACATTATCCTTTCACATTATCAAAGGATTATGGGAGTAAACCTCTTCTAAGCACCCTTGTACAATATTATAGAGAATCATGGTAATAAACCTCCTTTACATAATCAAATATTGTCAGAGAATTATGGGAAAAAACCTCCTCATGGCATAACAGTAAAGAATGGTAATAAATATGTACAGTTACATACACCCTCGTATTATATATAAACTATTTTATATAATTTCTAAATGTAATGTACATTGTTTGGCCTCTAGCTAAAATTACTAGGTCTTGAATTTGACATATTTTACAATCATTATACGCCAGCTTATTTAATGGATTAATACCTTTAGGCTATCAGATGGAAAATTGTTATTTATATTTCTGATATTAAATATCCTCGTGATAAACTACAATATTTTCTATTGCATGTAGTAATAATAGCTAATACATCCACATGTGGCAATAAATAAAAAAAAATTAACAATAGAAAATCATACTACAAAATTAGTAAACTCAAATGTAGTGCTATCTGAATGTTCGCAATATACAACAGAAATAAATGAAACATTTTGACACAATTTGAAAATATATTACAAAATGGCATAGCATTAGCAATTAACATTATATGGCACACTTTGGAAGCAATGAAGACCAACAGATCAGTTCTGAATCTCATGAAATGGGGGACCATCAAGATAATGTACAAGGCGATAAAAGCCCTCAAAATAAAACATAAGAACCATTATAGCAGGCCTTTGATAGAACCCCCCCCTCCCATCAAAACTTCAATATATTTATATATACTGATATACTGCAAAAAATTATTAATTTTTTTATGTTATACAATTCGATGCAATGCATAGCTGATGCTTTAGTATATTTGTTCGTGAATAGGTCATCATGACATATGGCAATTGGTTGTTCAAACCTATGCTATTTATTACAAAACATGTACATGATAGTTTTATTGTTATTTTATTGAAGTTATTAAAAATTGAATTTTATCTCGAGACATATCTTAACATGAGTCATTCATTTTGTATATAAATGAGAACTATTAATAGTTCTTTCAATGTTATTCTCTTAATTTAATTTCCTATTTCGTTCATAATATAAATTTATGAACTTTTATATGAAACATTCAACTGTATACTCCTTGACTATACTATTATTGCGTATAAAATCATACCCAAAATAATGATTTTAATATCATCGATGGCCTCACATGGTCATATCAAGCCCATTTTTCTTTTGTTCATAGTAGTACGCTGGATGATATTCACGACAGTGTTGACTAAATTGAAGAGACGTAATAGGCTCCTGACACATTGGGCAGTCCATCTTTTTGGGTGTAACATTCAAGTTCAATGCCACTCCAACCACTTCATTATTTGGGGAGGGGCTCAGATCTGTTGCGGTTGATTGCATTTCTGTCGGATTATCTGGGTTCCATGTATGCTTTGCCAACTCATGATTTTGCAGGGCTTGTTTCTGCGTGAATGTCGCCTTACAGATTTCACATTCATACGGGCGTTTGCCAAAGTGAGCTCTGATATGTTTGTAGATATTTGTGGACCCCATGACCTTACCACAAATGCTACAAGTTGACTGTTGGCTGTTGATCTTTGTGAAATATTGATGTAGGTCAACCGTGTCTTCATAGTTTGGAGCTCTCACAACACCAGGACGGTCATATATTACCATGTCTCCCATGTCACGTTTAGGACGACCCCTTCCACGAACTGGCCCCGGAGCGGGAGACTGTTGTGAGAAGCCGATAAGGGAAGGAATTGGGAGTTGAGTTGGACTATCCTCTGCCCATGTCATCTTCCTAGGGCGACCTCTTCCACGTTTCATCCCATCTGGAGTCGTGCTTGGTTTAATGGGACCATCCTGGGAGTATTTCTTTGGACGTCCTCTTCCACGTTTAACTGGAGACTCTGTGATTTGGTTTTGGCTGGTTCCGACTTCACCATTGACTTGTGAAGCTTGTTGTTCTAATTTGGCTTCTTTATTGCCGTTGACCTCTGGTTTTGGCTGTTGATGGGGTTGACCTTGACCTTCCCCACCAGATTCACACTTAGGACTTGGTAACACTTCAGCTGTGTTTTTATTTGGTTGTTCTGGTTTCATATGTTTGTCTATTTGGTGCTGTTCTAGATTGTCAACTGACGCGAATGTCTCTTGGCACATCATACACTCGTATTGATCCTGATTGGCTGGAGCTCCACCTGGTGGTGCGTCACTGCTCCCATCAAGGGATTCTGGTTGGTTTATGCTGAGATTGCCATTACTTGAATTGTCTGGGAAGACTTCGCCATTTTGAGTAGCTGAAAAATGGAACATCATTTAATTAATGGATTGAAAATGATCAACATGTAAAATACAAGACAATAGCATGCAAAATAACACCACCTGCCATTTGTTACAGATGCACAACACCTGACGCCCAGCACCATCACAAAAAATGGAGAGCATAAAAATACATCACCACTTTTGGTGGTGACATAGTCATGTAATAAATCCCTATTAGTCATTACAACCATGGAACAACTACCAAAATTAGATAATCAAAACCAAAATATAATTCCATATATGAGGAAGTAAGAGTAAAAGTAAGAGTAAATCAAATCTAAATCTTCAAATTTTGAAATAAATTAGACAAAATGAGTGTAAAAACTTGGACACTAAGAACTTTCGATCACATTTAAAACACTATTAATGTTATAAAACTTCTGCCTAAAAATGTTTGGCACAATTGAAACTTCATTCTACAAAGTTATATGGGTCTATGTTCAATGGCCATAATTTTATGGCCATTTTACAAAATACGATCCTAATGCCAAAACATACCAAAATCACCAAATATGACCCCCCCCAGAATTTTACCTTTGGAGCTATTTCGAAAATAATGTGTAAACTAACAACCCTAAAAGCATCAGAGAGTTAAAACAAGAGATTAGAAGGAAAATTTAGCTATTATACAAAATATCTGTGAGCATGTAATCAGAAAACTTCACTGAAGCATTCAGGTTTGCCTCCAAAAACAAGTCTGGTATTTTGAGCAAGTTAATGCCTGGGTCACATTTGCTCCGATCCATCGGCCGGCGCCCAGCCGATTGAGTGTTTTGCTCAATATTGTATTCAATTTTGAACAAAATACTCAATCGGCTGGGCGCCGTCGTGAAAATCGGAGCAAATGTGACCAAGGCATAAGATGGCTATAAAATCTTGACCATTTGGAAAAGACCTATGAAACTTGGTTGAATGAAAGAACAAATTGGACAAGGTTCAATTCAGCCAAATATGGCTTCAAACCCATACTGGATGACAGAGTTATTAAGATTTGTTTGATTTAGCTTTTTTTGGCTCACCCTACAAGTACAGATTTGACAATAAATTGCTTGAGGTTGTTGCTATGAATATCTTTAATAATCTTTAATTACAAATTGTGCATCCATCTCAATTATTAACATTATATTTTTCATGTTAGAGAAAAACAATTTATGATTCATGCTATAGTTGACCCAATAAATTAATATAAAATGTTCCATTGTTTTCAACAGTTTTCAATAACTTAACGTTTTATTATTTTTTACAGTTTTGAGATCAAAGTCTACTGTATGTATAACAGCACATTTCATATGTATAAATATATATCAGTTTGTTCAACATAAACCCTCAGATAATAGTGATCGAAATATCATGATATCAAATTATCTATTCTATAGTAGTATTCCATAATAGAATTTCAGAGCTGAATTCTGTATATTATATCATCTAAGTGTACTTTGGACAGATATCTGGTTACGATAGTAAAATATTGTTTTGTAATTCTATGTTACTATGGAAGAGCATTGTTTCTTAGGGAACAATGTTTTCTGAGTTGCTAAAATGGAACATTGTATAGTTCTTTGCTGCTAAGATATGAAACAGTTTTTCAGTTCTGGTGTTGCTAGGAAAGCAATTCTTCAGTACTATGTTGCTATCAAAGAAGTTTTTCAGTACCAAATCGAATCGCTTTGATAGGTTTTGTCTTTGTTTTTTTGTTGCTATGGCGGCAAAATCTCTTCTCTTGTGGAACTCCTTGTTACTAAGAGGGACAACTGTGTTTTGCAATTCTCAAAGACTCTCCCAGCCTATGCGGAAGTTAAAAATTGGTCAGATATGCTATAATGACTATTCAGTCTCTCAAATAGGTAACAGAGTGATAATTAAATGCTCAAATGGGTACAAGGTGATATGCTCAAATGGGTGCAAGGTGATATGCTCAAATGGGTGCAAGGTGATATGCTCAAATGGGTACAAGTTGATATTGTCAAATGGGTGCAAGGTGATATGCTCAAATGGGTGCAGTGCCATGATGGTCTTAAGCCATGAACATCATTTCATCCCTATGTTACTTAATAATATATATTTCAGAAACTGACTCACAAAGGGATTCCAATCTGATGAGAACATATCAATTTAATGCTACATCATTAATAACTTCACCCAAGAACCTGGCAATAGAGTGAATATTTATCTAACTAGTTTGCTTAAACGAAAAAATAAACATTTTCCTTCCAGAATATTGAGAGTGAATTTGGATCAGTTTTAAAAATGTAAAAGAAGAAAGGAATTTTGATATCCATGTGTATACACTATTATCCATGACAACGACCAACAAACTATTTATGAATGAAATTTTGGGAGGAATATTACGGATACAGGTCATAAGAAAAATATGGATATTTTCAGTAAGGGTTAAGATAAATATAAAATAACAGAGTATAAAGGCCTGGTACATTGTGAGATTGGTTTTATATTTATTTTATCTATGTTCCCCACTCAAGTATTCTATATGAGGCCAATACAACTTTATATATGTTTATTTACAATGTATTATCCTTTGTAAGTCCCTTAATAAAACATATAACTATTCAAAATAGGCCATGTAGGCACATGATATATTTAGATATGAAGTGTATTTATATCACTAGTGAATAACAACATATAAGAAACTTCTGGATGGTGAAAATCAATGTCTTAGTACAGACCTTAAGAGATAAAATATTGAGCCAGTTTTATTGATATATAGCAGATATTATCTTAAGCTAGGAAATGAAATATTATATTTTCTACAGAGCTGTTCCACACTTCAATTTCGGAATTAATCAGCTCTTAGTAAAATAATAATGAATCTTTTATATACAGTAAAACCTGTGAATATTGAACATTTTTGCCAAGAAAAAACTTTCAGTATCTGTAGGTGCTAACTCCATCAAAAAAGTAATTTATACAGAGAGTATTTGTGCAGAGAAAGAGTGTCCATTTAGAGACAGGGATTCACTAATGAGAGGTGTTCACTAAGGAAGGTTTTACTGTATATACATAAACTCAGTATAAATGGGGGTATTGATATGCTTACAATCTACACGTACTTTTGTATAACCCTAAAATACAATAGTTTCCATTTCACAGGCAACACAGGTTTATGTTTATTAGCCTAAGTATGAGTCATATGTGTACAGTATATTTTATTTATAAAAATAATAAAGGAGCCTACACTGTAATAATCATGCAAATAAAAATGACCTGTGGTATTTAACTATGGGTGTTTTATACTCAAGCCTATATACACGATGATCATGGCCCAATATTAATTTTATACCAAATACATGAACAAACACTCCATAGCCTTAAGTGTCCCTAGTTCAATATTTAATGCTGCTAAAATTAAAGGTTATAATGTATAAAGCAAAGTACTGTATGTAAATGAGGGTCGTCTAGCACTACTATATTACAACATTTTTAAAACTATCATTTGAATGATTTAAGCAATCAAAAAATCAATTTTGAAGTTAAATACAAAGTAGTGAACAATTTGAAACAAAGGTATCATACAATACGCTGTGTATAATTAAATTGTTGGCATTTAGAAATCATTTTCATATTTTTCTCTTTTTATTAATTTATGTTCAGAATCTTAAAAAAGAACGAAGCATATTTCGCTGACAGCTAATCAATTAATATACTTTATACCATGTAAATATACTTTCGTTATACATGCCCTTTTCGAGTTGTACGTACACAGGATGCATTTGACAGTGTATAAAATCTACATTAAATCTAGCTTATCAATAAAAAAAGTTAATTACTTTTTAATACAACACAAAATGTGTAGAATATAAAATGCATATTACATGTTTAGTGACATAATATGAAAATAATTTATATAATTGTATGAACAGGGAGATCAGGCATGACAATTTTCTGCTTAACTTCACTAACAATGAAATATAAAGTTAGCATATCTGAATTAAGAATTAGAATGATTGCTACGCTGACTGTACATGTATATAATTTCACCCTCAACTGGCTTCAAAGCCTTAATTATAATGAAATATAGTGATTACTACCATTATCATAAAAACTAGAAATTGTGATCAAATTTCTTAACTGAACATAAAGGAAAATAAGCGAACAAATAAAAATGTATAAATGCAAGCAATAAAAACACATAAAATTGCAGAGATCAATCTACCAGCATAAAAGAAAGAAATCATAAATTCTAAATGTATAAACTAATTTGTATTATGAAATGTTGAATAAAGAACAGAAAGAGATATCTTAGTTATAAACAAAATACTTGATCATCTTAAAAGGATGTACAATTCTCATACACTTTTCAGTTCATATCTTAAACTTCAAATGAACAATTAAAGTACAGTGGTTGAACATTCGTTCTCTACACTCGTGAATATTATCTACTGATTGTATGTAATTTCAAATCAAACGTTATGTTAATTATACATAAAATCAATGTATTATATTTCAGTGAATTCAGCCGCATTGAATTTTGTTAAATGTCTATATATGGCATGACTTGACATATAATACTTTTTACACAACAGCTGTATTTTATCTGATCTCACGTCGAAATTCTAATTTTTCCCAATTGAAAAACAATTTAATTCAAAATGCAAAGGTGAACGAATATATTTATAACAGATGGTATTAGTTATAGTTATACTAACATCTAGTATGTACTTTCAGTTTTATTCAGTTGAATTAATCCTTCTATTAAATCTTTAATAAACGTATCCAGAGTTTAAAAAAATGGTTACAGTGACACAACTACATGTTAAAAGAGGCTTATTTCCTATTATTTATTTTCAATATCTCTTATTAAAAAAAGCATACCGAGTCAGAAATATCAAACTTTAATATAATATTGCAGTGTTAAGTCATTAACAGGAATCAACATAATTTTATGTAGAACTTCGCTTTTCTCAAAGTTCAGGTTAAGTTTATACTTAAAGCCAAAATATTTATATCTATAATATTATAACCAGGTTGCCCTGACATTGCTCTCAAAATTCTGTAGTTAATAAACAGCGTTAAACTAGTTATTCTCTGCAAGTAAACTATAATATGAATAATAGATCATTGCGCCTTATAGTCGTGTTTTATATAGAGTTCATAAGGCAGAGTCTATGTCATAAGAATCCTACAGTAAACAGAAAATGTAGAGGTGTTTTCCTCAATTTAGTGCAAAATTCTCATTTTAATAAGATGCCAATTTTTTATGCTATTTTCACGCGAAAATGAGTTTCGAGTCAGTGGTTTCAAATTCCCAAGAGGATGTAGAGCCCAGTAGTTTCAGTTTTGGGAGACCATTATGTGGAAATTATGTAGTCTACATGTATTGTCTTTTCACATGTCTACATCAATCATGGTACCTCCCGTATTTTCATCTTCTATCCCCCATTAATCCCCACAAGAGTAAGAATGGGGATGGGGGATTATATAACTCGTTTGGAAAGAACTCTCATATCACATCACATTGTCTCCAATTTTGGGGGAAGCGTCATAAGTATATGTTTTCAGGGGAAGTGTCAAGCTAGTTTATGCTATGTGTAAGTCTATAGACCCCCCTCTTTGAATAAATAAAAAATATTTAACTGGAAAGTTACACTGAGAATTTTTCTGCACTATAGTAGGCAAGTTGAGACTATATGTAGATAATTTCAGTTTGATAATATATGAATTATATCATTTGTACAGCTTTATATCTACAGCAGCTAGCTTTATATTCATAATTACGAAACACAGTTTGCAGTTCCATCCATGGCAATTTGCACATTTTGCTTTTATATATGTATTATACAATCAATAGTACATCTCTCAGGATATGAAACCTTATCAGTCGACATTATATTTTCTTGAATAAACTTCATGTCAATGAATACACATAGATTTAAGTACATGTATATTTTCTGACAGGTCATGTTATTCAACTTAGCTATCAAACATTTACAAGTTAACACTATGCTATATAACATTACACTACAATGTTTATTAATCTTATAGTATTATGTAATTATACTCATAACTTCACAAATCTTCATTCTTAATGCTTTACATACCATTATACTACTGTATATACATAATTGCATATTAAAACTATCATCTTTAAAACTGATGTTATATCTCATCAAACACGAAATTAAAAAATCAAAATATATATCGTCTGTATGTGGAAGGACTGGGTTTTATTATTTGGAATTTAATCATGTTTTCTGCATTGCAAGACCCGACTGCCTAGCTTTGAGTATTTTCAATTTTTCTCTGTACCTCCTTTGTCTCATTCTTGCGTTACAACGCTGTCGTTCTAACTCCATTTCGTTACCAGGTAAATACAATTCCTCCCTTTTTTGTTGACGTGAACGCTTCTGGCGCTCACGCTCTCTCTTTCGGGTATTAGCATATCTCTCTGGATCCTCTCTTAACCTTTCTCTATATGCCCGTTGGCTCAAATGATCTCTGTGGTTCATGGAAACATTAGGAACTTCAACTTGATTCAAGTTATCTATTTTCACTGTATCAATGAATCTATTGTTTTGCTCCTCCTTAATGCCTCCTTGTACAATATAACTTGGGACTATTTCAGCTGAAACTTGAAATTCACTCTTTGTGCTTCCTTCACTTGGAGGTGGTTCATTATTATCAACGATTTCATATTTAATTGGAATATCTGATGTTGATTTTTTAACCCTTTGAGGGGTTGTCAATAAAAGTTTTGGAGCTACTCTTTCTATAGTTAACTCAGTGGGAATCCTACGTACGGTTAGTGGTTTCCTTTTAGATTTTGTTGCCATGGGCATTTTGGTTGTCGTAGTAACATGCATTTTCACGGCATCACCTGGAAGAGTCATGAACATCTTTAGTCAAGTTATGACTATCAAATCTTAGTTATGACTATCAGTTTAGTCCAATACATTACTATACGATCCTAAGACAAAGTTACAATTATCCAAATCAAGGAACGAAAACCTATGTTAAGTCCATTAAAATAAATGATGTTGAAAACGTGTTAGAGAATATGCAACTTGCTTTAGATGCTTCACTGACTGATTTAACGTCTCATCATACATATCAAATTGTTATGGTCTCAATTTTGAGTCTATATCTAGTTTGAGCCATCATCTGACCATTGTTGTTCTACTTTAATAGTTGTTTCATTATTATCGTTCAATTCACCAGGCTCTATTTTGACTTCAGCACTTGTTTCATCATATTCTATTGTCTTATCAGTACTGTCAGTCTTTCTTTGTAGTTCGTCTTCAGAAGCAGATTTTTGAACATTTAAATGATCTTTTCTTGGTCTTCCTCTTTGTTTCTTGTCATTAGTTCGATTTCTTTGTCGAGATCTCTTTTGCCTCATCCTCATTTTGAATCTATGCTGAGCCAGAAGCTCCTCGTTGCCAGGTAATAATAATTTGTTTCTTTCTTGACGACGGCTTTCCTTCTTCCTCTGTCGTTCCTTCATACAATACTTCTCATACAATACTGGATCTGCACGCACTCTAGCCATATACTCCCTTGCCTTTTTAGCACCATCTGTTTTACTTTTAGCCTCTGTGTGTGTCTTAGGTTTATAATGCTGGGTGCTCAAGTTATCTCCAGCTGAATGTTGATTGCTATTTGAATCATCTAAGGTATGCTCACCATACTCTTGTTTCACTGCTATTGCCTCAGATTGCACACATTCCTCACTATCATTTATGTCACACTCTGGTTCAGTATTTTTCAGTTTAACCCTGGCTTTTTTAGATTTTCGTTTCCCTTTACCAATTTTTGTGGGAATCTCATTTTCAAATTCAGTCATTGTATCAGCAATTAGAAATGCTTGAGTTTTTGCTTTAGATATTGAGGCTGCAGTTCTTTTCCTCCTGGCCACTATGTTTGGTTTATTAGCAGATTTTGATTTCTTCCTTTTATGTACCTTCCTTTTTCTTGTGTTTAATCCATAGGGTGTTGTTGCCATGGTGACGATGGTGCAGGTATTTCCATCTCCTGGAACAGACAAGCAACATCTTCAGTCCTCTAGAATTATTGTAAGATTTGGAGAAAGACTGTCAATAAATGACCTTGGAAATGAACTGTACCAGTTTTCAATTGGTCTCAATACTGAGTGTTTGACCCTTCATCTGATTCCTGTTCTATTTTAATAGGAAACTCAGTTTCATCACAAGGTTCTGATTTAACTCCAGCATGAATATTCCTATCAAGTTCTGTTGATTCTTCATGTTCTCTCTTCAGTTCTTCATCATCAACAACTTTTTGTTTTTTAAACTGATCTTTTCTTGGTCTTCCCCTTTTCTTCTTGTTTATTCCTTTGGAGATGTTTTCAGCTTGGCTTTTCTGTCTTTGTCTAATTTGTTTTAACTTCAATTTCAACCTATACTGCGCTAGCATCTCCTCATTGCCAGGTGATAACAATTTGTTTCTTAACTCTTGATAGCTCTTCCTTTTCCTCTGCTGATCTTTCAAACAATGTTCTTTGTATAAGTCAGGATCAGCACGGATTTTAGCCAAGCGCTCCTTTGATCTTGAACATCTTCTAGGTCTTTTCTGTATTTTTGCTTTATGACGCTGAGTGTTGAATATATATTCAGTTGCATAATTCAATTGGTGATGATCATCTGAATCATTATGCTCTTGTTTTACTCTCATTTCTTCAGGTTGTGTTAGGTTTAAACTACCATTATTATCATAATCCGGATCCACCCGTCTCAGTTTTACAATAGGTGTTTTAGCACATGGAGCTTCCAGTTCAACAAGTGCATCAGCACTTAAAATTGCTTGAGTTTTGGTGCTAGATTTAGCAGCTGCAGTCCTTTTCTTCCTAGCAACTTTAATTGATTCATCAGCAGATTTTGTTTTTGTTTTCCTTTGTAGTTTGTTTGATCTAACGCATGTTGTTACCATGGTTGTTGCTATGGAATTCCCATCTCCTGCAACAGACAAGTAACATCTTCAATCCTTTGTCTATAGTTACTGTTGTTAGGGTAACATCGTCTTTCCATTATCTTGCCATATATGGTTGTTAAGGTGCAAATTCTATCCTACTTTAATGTTACTGTTGTTAAGGTAACATTGTCAAGTTTGTCATTGTTTAAGTTTGTCACCAATATCTGTAACATCTCTGATTTGTTCTTTTGTAATGTTAGGGTTAACATCGTCAATTTCTCACTTTGTGTGGCCATGATTGTTTTCAGGTGTCCCTTTTCCTTAATCCTAAAGATGATATTTGTGATTTCTTATATCCATATTGTTCTGCACCAGTACAGATACATATTATGAGTACACTTACATATACCTTCCTTTTTAGATTCATAAGACTAAACATATACATGTAATTACATCAGTATTCAATTTACTATTTATCTACCATATTCTCTCTAATGAACCCACAGTAACAGTGAGCGCACATGTCACTTTTATGTCAAATATGGTCTCAAAAATATGTGAAGTTTAATGCACTATAGGTTTTGATTATTTACACAAGATTTTGAATGTAAACCTTGGTGAAAACAACTAAATAGATTATAGGCGATTAAATTTCAATATGGAAACCACACTGTGCGCTCATTAGAGAGAATATGGTATTTTCAATTTTGGTAGAATTTATTTTAGCTGCTTTTTGTAATAAAATATATAGGCCTTATGGGATGGTCAAACTTTTGGCTTTCACTTTTAGGAATTAGTGCTGGAGGATTTCAATAAATGATTAAGATAATACGAAGATTTAAACTTAGAATTGACGAATAAGATTTGTATTGGTTTTTAGTGTTGTATTCTGCTCATTTTATTCATGACTTTTACAAACTAGACAACAGCAACGCCAAAGTGTAGCAAATCCCATCGAATAGCCATGGCTGGCATTTTTACAAACAACGTATATCGCAAAAATGGCCATCTTCTACCAATAGCTACAAAAGTGTCATTAGACAGTGTGCCATGCTTATAGTATTCACATACTAAATATGAACAAAATCGCTCCACTACTTTTCGAGTTATAGTAAAATATGTTAAAATGCGGTATTTGAGTTATTGCCCAGACGGACGTACGGACTGACAGAGGCGTTCCCTATATCCCTCCAAACTTCGTTCGATGGGATGATGAACAATTCAATAGATGTACATGATAAATTATATATTTCATCTATATGATCATGCAATTCAACCCTTAATATATAACAGTACATCTGATCACATCATGTCTGGAACTCATTCCATATTAAGGTAAGCCATGCAGAATTAGAAAAATGGCTAATTTAGGTAGGCAGAGAAAAGTTAAATCTTACTTATGACATTTACATACAGGTTTATGTTTACCATATTGGCGATTTAACAGACAGAATTAAATCCTGTTCTAAGGTCTGATGTGAAAAAGTCATCCACCCTAGTGGGGACTGAACACACAACCCCTCTACTTCATATTTACTCAGATTGTTTGTACTAAATTTGCAAATTAAAATAAAAACCAAACTTTCAGTACTAAATTTCTTACATTGATCAGTACATCCAAAACCAAGTATGCTATCATATATCCAGTGTCACGTAACTTTATAACACAATTTTTAAACATAGGAGGAAACTATACTAAATACATGGATTGTATTACAATAGAAAGAGAGACTGACATAGTAAACTTGTGAGCATTTTGGTAGACAGGATATTCCCTTTAAAAAATATTTTGCACTTTTCCTGATAATGTGACAACAGTTATTTGTTTTGTTAAGGATTTGGGATTTTTTAGAGAACTACTAATATTGATTTCATATCATGTGACCATAAATAAGCCAATTAGCATCAAGGATACTTATGGGTGTATAATAAATCAAAAATATCTGATATAATCATTCACAGTACAATTTGATATGGAACACATGTTTTTACTTTGTAGAACTTAAACCATTTTTAAAATTCAATTTGAGTTTCATAATTTAATTTTTAACAAATATCTTAAATTGAGTAGTGTATTTATCGCTGACATTTTGGTATTTTTCTTATAACCCGAAGTGCACCAAACTAAAAATTCCCAGGGATTTTGAATTTGGTGATCTTTTTTAATTTGCCAAGTTTAAACCCTCGCCAAATTAAAGACAAATACACAGTATTTCATTTAAAAATGACTGCTAAAATTTTGGCAAATTTGAAAAAAAAAGTTTTCGCTGAAATCCCTAGAATTCAGAATATATGACAGCAATACCTCATTTACATAAAAAAGCAGGTTGCCTGATAATTTAAGTGTTCTAGCATGTGTGTTCTTTGTCAGGCATGCAGACTGTCTGAAGGTAAGTGTCTAGTTCTGTGTTTGTTGTTTCAGTTAGAAATCTGACAAATCAAACAGGCACCAATATGGTGAAAATTACCTTAAACAATTAACGACCCCTGACCAAAAATGCAGACCATAAGTTTTAGGAAGTGAAATAAACTTCAAATGAAAGAATAAAGGCTGTCAAAAATCATATAAGTACATGTATTGGGAAACAAATGATTGTTTATTTTATTTTATTTTACAAATTAAATCAACTGATCCCCGACTTGGCAACACTATTGTTAAATTTTGTCAAATTGTAATTGGAAAAGTGAGTGAAATTAACGTTTATAAAATTTTATGGAAATATCAGTCACATAAGCCAAAGATCCTAGAATTATACTTACACGCGGCACATTTTAATTTTGCATGAATTTCTAGATATCATATGCTGCATAATTCATTCAACAGTGCATATTTTTTTGCATAATTTATACTTTTCTCTTTAGAATATTTCACCTGATGATTCACTGCTTCATGATCTTCATAACAGTTAAAGGTAAATAATGTAAATAACTTAAATTAACAAAATGTTTAAATCGCCCATACCAGAAATGCTGGTTCATATGGTGAGATAGGGTTGGTGACATCCCGAAATTCAAGAAGGCTTTTATTTATTTGAACTTTGGATTTTTGCTATACATGGATGCATAATTTGCTCCCCCCCCCCGACATAATTTTGTGTTATTTTACATAATTCATTTTTTTACCGGCATAATTCTAAAATCTATGATAACCTTGACTTTGGCCTGTTGTCTGAGCTGAATATTTACAAAGATATGACCATACATACCTTTTTCATGATTGCTTTCATTTGACTCTTCTGTAAGATCTTTGGAAGACTGGGCGTCACTTTCTGCACCCATTTTATCAGCTGCTGTGGATTCACCTGAAGAATTAGAGAACCCATTGATAATTAGAGAGTGTATGGAGAATTAGAGAATACATGAAAAATTAGAGAATTCATGGAGAATTAGAGAACACATGGAGAATTAGAGTATATACAGAGAATTAGAGAATGCATGGAGAATTAGAGAATTCATGGAGAATTAGAGAACACTTGGAGAATTAGAGTATACACAGAGAATTAGAGAATGTATGGAGAATTAGAGAATGCATGGTGAATTAGAGAATTCATGGAAGAATTAGAGAACACATGGAAGAATTAGAGAACACATGGACAATTAGAGAATGCATGGAGAATTAGAGAGTGCATTGCGAATTAGAGAATTCATGGAGAATTAGAGAATACATGGTGAATTAGAGAATTCATGGAAGAATTAGAGAACACATGGAAGAATCAGAGAACACATTAAAGAATTAGAGAATGCATGGAGCATTAGAGAGTGCATAGTGAATTAGAGAATTCATGGAGAATTAGAGAAGACATGGTGAATAGAGAATTCATGGAGAATAAGAGAATACATGGAGAATTAGAGGATGCATGTAGAATTAGAGTATAAACAGAGAATTAGAGAATGCATGGAGAATAAGAGAATATACAGAGAATTAAAGAATGATGTTCTATTTAAGAATATACATGTAATTCCAAATAGCTGGGAAAATGGCTGTCATTAGAAGAATTAATATCTCAAGGGTTTTTAAATGTTTAAAAATGGAAAGTGTAATTTTACAACAAGCCACAAACTCATTTGTATAACGATGAACTTAAACCTACACTGTAGATCAAATGAAGATGAAACATTTTTATGAATAAATACATTTGTCTCGTGGATTTGGATATAATTATTGAAGACATATTTGCAAAAATATGTAAAAATGTCACGAAACCTTAACACAATTTATGAGTATATATAAAATTGCTACTAAATAATTACAACACCTTATCTATATTTTTATATTTTATGGTAAACATTCATACATTCATATATAGATAAATTGATTTAAGTTAATTTGAAACCATTATTAATTGTGTACAAGGCCGTTACATGATACATCCGATGTTTAATTATATCTAATGATTTAAACATTTCATCAGGGTATAATTATATGTATAATATATGAGCATTGATAACATATCACAGCGTTTTACTGCTTCTTATTTTTGCTTATTAAATTTATATTAATCATTATGCTTGATTTATCAAACCAAATTAATAATGATGCATCTATATGAAAATATAATTAAACACAGATTTGTGTATCTTAATTCATCTCAGAACAGACATGCTAATATTATACTGTAAAGGGAAAACAAATCAATAATTTATAAATTTCCCTTTATCAATAACTTGGCAAATGTTACACATTTTGTTTAATTAATAAAAAGTTCATGCTGATTATTCAAAGTGCAAAAAATAGAATTTCAAGTGAAACAAAGAACGACTAGAATTTGTTCAATTATGAGTTTGAAATGAATCTAAAATTTTTGAATTCAGATTCGCAACTACAAAAATGACATCATCTATTATAAGGCTTTTGGGCATATCAAATCAATCTGTAAAGGGTGATCGTAGCTACACAGGATTTTAAATTAAAAAAAAAATTGTTGTTATTGTTACATCTGGATAATTGAGCATTTTCTGATGTTGCCCTTGAGGCTTCCTCACCAGACTATACATAGACACAGTTAAACTCAAAACCACAACTTATTGTACAATTAACCTGGTATTTTTGAGTAAATTGGGCTCAAAATTCTCATTTGACTAACTTTTTCTGTTCAATGAATTAGTCTTGCATGTTGTCTCTACCCCCTCCCCCCTATATGTGAGAGTTTGTGTTGGGCCAGGGAATCACAGAGCCTTGACTCAAGACTATTCAGAAACTACAGTGGAGATTATTTTGAAATAATTAACTCCAGTGCAGTCCGGTGCATGGTTGCTAAAACAAGGAATTTCTTGAGGACATCATTTTATACTTCACAGTAAATTAATAATATAAATAAATTGTAACCAATACTTTTCATTTCTATATCTATGATCATCATAACCCGTATAAAAATATGTTTTAATAATTCTATCATGCATGACTACCAGACTGTACTTTTACATATATACAAAATGGAACGAGCCAAAGAAAGGTGTTCGGATTAGCAGGTGTTCACATTTCAATTTTTGTAAATATAAATCAATTTGGAGAAAACATATCAGGAACCGAGAAAAAGTGTTCACATCGATAAGAGGTCTTCAGATATACAAGTTACACTGTATCAGTATATAAACTATATATATATAAGATCCCAATTTAACTGGTGGAAAACCCTATAGTTAAATTGAAGACTAAAATATGGTATATAAAAAATTAAGAGCATCACTTAACTGTATATTTTACAAGCGGTATAGCAATAATGAAAATCAAATATTAACCTTAGTAGACATGTATACACGTATTATCCTTAGGCAAATATGTTGTAGACCCAATTCACTATTTTTATAGCTTTTCAAATACTGGTTTATATATTTCCCCAAGTTTAAATACAGACCGCAATATATTGTGTATGTTTATCAAAATTTGTAATTTATTTCAATCGTAAAATATCGTAGCATATATCATTAACCATCGTGCCACAGTTTTGAGAGTTTAATTATTCTTATTTGTATGTCTTACTCATTTTTCTATTATATAATACTAGCATAGACTACATGACTTTTGTTTCCCATCTCCTCTTCTCCCCTTGTTAATTTTATTTCAAATAGAATTGAAATGTAGATCATTTATATATCATAAATAACTGATCACTTACATGGGTTTCATTAGCAGCAGGCAACAGGTGATTTTCACCATTTGTTTTCACAAAATCGCCTGTTGTTTTTAGGGGCTTTTCAACTTTTCCATGTTATATTTACGATTTCCATTAATTTTGCCTGTTGTTTTTATTTATTTAACCTGTTGTGAGAAATTCTATTGAAACATCCGACTTAATAAAGTGATTTCTTTCGAAACAATAAGATATTCCTTTTCATTATTTGTTATCCCAAATAAAACCTGAGGTCAAATCTGTTTATGTACGAGTACAATTATGATATTTTTCAAATGTGTAGGTATAATCTGGAGAATATTGCCAGGCCTGTAGCTAGGGGGGGGGGGGGGGGTCGAACTTTTAAATAATCATATGCTAGCCTGAAACCTTGACCTTCGGTTTTGGTTTGTTGATATATTTCACATACACAAAGCATCAAGCCTGGTGCTTATATCCTGAAGTAATGAACTCAGGGGTTTCACTAGAATTTCTCACAACAGGCTGAATAAATGAAAACAACAGGCAAAATTCATGTAAATCAAAAATTTAACATGGAAAAGTTCCTAAAAACAACAGACATTTTGTGAAAACAACTGGTGAAAATGGCCTGTTGTATGCTGCTAATGAAACGCCTGGAATACACTGATTTTTTACTGAAAAATTTCTGGATGTCAAATGATATCATCATTTGTGAGGACTAAGCAATATAACTTATTTGTGGCTGGTAATGGCCGATTAATATTCTTGATTTGATATACTACATGAACACTTATTCTAACATTTCAAACAGCTTATTAACAATTTCATAACACATCTGTTTATTTGTTATGAATTATAACCAGGAAATTACTCTGATAATAATGAAAGCATATAGGTTGAAAATAATAATGAATGTCAAATAAAAATGAATGTCAAATAAAAATGAATGTCTGCACATAAATATAATTTGCAGAAAATTGAAACTCGCATTGCTGAATATAATATTACTTTAGACTAGACTATATAATTTTATTTTTCCATCAAGGCAAGGATAATTTCAAAACTGGATGCAAAATTTAAATCCCAAATTTATTTCTAAAATATCCAAACTCTAAAATCTTAATTTCATGATTTTAAGGTTTCTCTGAAACTGGGTGTGGGTGTTCACTGTATATAAAACTCGACGGGGATCCTAGGCTGAAGCCTCAAATATCAATATGTTCCCATACCAATCTGTCAAATTTCAATATGTTCCCATACCAACCAAAATAACGCCCAAAGGCCATACCAAATGTCCAAATATAGGACCAATGCCATACCAAATGCCCAATTATAGGACCAATGCCATACCAAATGTCAAAATGTAGGACCAATGCCATACCAAATGTCCAAATATGGGACCAATGCCATACCTTAATTCAAAGTAAATGAAATATAGGATCAATGTCATACAAATTTGGAACTACTGGACCAATGCCATACCACGAATGTTAGGTAACATCTACAACGACCATTCTCATGCCAGAAGAGCAAAAGTCCGACCATTGCCATACCTCAGAAGTCAGAAATTTCCAGGCATTCCCATACCAAATCCTAAAATATGGGTCCATTGCCATACCAAACGTTGAAAAATGTACCCCACATGCGCCGAGGATCCCCGTCAAGGTTTATATATAGTGAACCCCCCGGGGGTGTAAATGGATTTAAACTAGGTACAAATGAATTTTTAACTGAGACCAAATTGATAATCAACAATGCATAAATAAAATTTTAACTGTGTGCAGATGTATTTTCATATAGCAAAAAAAACTTAACTGTGTAATGAGATTTTCAACTGGGTACAAATAAACTTTAAACTGGGTGCTTAGCCTATAAAATCCTTTAACCAAATCTGTCAACTGGTATTTGAGTTATTGCATAGATACACAAACAAATAGACGAATGGCTTCTCTATATCCCTACAAACTTCCTTTGGTGGGATAATGAACTTTTAACTGGGTGCAAATGGATTTTCAACTGGGTATTAAATATCAAAAACAAATGATATGTTGTTTTATTTCCATATTTGTTGACTATGTATTACACAAACTCATGTAAATAAAGAAATAAACAAAAGGATCTAATATTTCAAGAGATCATGAATTTTTAATAAATTCAAATCTCTTATGTAAATATATGGATACTTTATTTACATTTGATATTTGATATATAATAATGCAGCTAATACAGGGGGTAGTTTGAGGAAGTAAGAAATTAAACATTTTAAACAAGGAATATATTGTATACTTAGTATTTGAAGTACAGAAATAACAATAGTTAATAAAACTGATTATTAAATAACATGGCTGTAATCAACACTTGTTAAGATTAAAATAGATGCTATTATGAATAGATGATAGATGGAAATAAAGAGTATAATTTGTTATATTTCAAAATATGAAAATGAATTACTCAATACATTAATTGCATTGCATTCTACTTGTACATTAGTTTAAGAAATTTCATATCATATCCTATATGTGTGTAACATTAAAATATCTACATTTCTAATTTTTTCTAGATTTAAAAATATGAATATCTATTTGACAGGTTAGAATTGAAAAAACACCCCAGTATATCTGACCTTGACCTTACGATCTTGTGATTTATAAGATGAACTAAGGTATATTCACCTTCTGTACACTCCATGTGGAATCCAGGATGAGACTCGGAATCATCGGATACTTTTTCACGAACCCCCTGATCCTCTTTCTGCCCTAGCACATTGAATTCATGGTCCGATTCTACACCCATTGAGATAAATTCTGGCTGATTGGTGTCATCAGATCTGTTATTGCACGATAGATCTAAACTTTGGTGTTGTTCGACTGAATCAGAAGATGACACTGGATGCTGGAGGGTATATGGATTATGAACAGCAGAGGGTGGGGGAATACATTGGGGGTTCTTTTGAGGGGGCAGGATTGCCTTGCGACGACCCCTGTGGAGTATAGGGAGAGGAACATCGATGGCACATGTGGACTGGATAGACGCGGCTGGGGAAGCCATTTTGGCCATTTGGCTATCTGTCTGCCAATATGGTGTACTGTCAACAGATCTAGGTTTTACGACTGTTCGATGCATTTTCACGATGATATCTTGTGCTGGTTCAGTTGGACTGATACAGATGATACCATCTATTTCAATGGCTGTGTTGAATGTGAGGCGTTTTGTACACAGAGACAGGATTGCATCCTGGACCTCTTTGACAAATTCTGTATTCGTAGTCGATCCCATCACAAACGTTCCACTTGTTAATCACAGCATCTAATATACAACTAAAAATATAAAAATAAATGGTTTTAGCCCGAGACTTAAAATATTTTGACAATGTGAACTGTGAAGACTAAATAGTGTAATTCACTAAAAAGTAACCAATTGCTATGTGATATCTGTCATGTAGTAGTGTTGTCGCGATTAATCGATACATCGCGATATACATCGCCAAAACTGATGCTGGCAATGCATCGATGTCTGAAACAAAACATCGATGTTTTTAAAAAAAATTAATTTGCTAAAAAATTACCCTTTCTTATCTTATTTTGACGCAAATCACTTACCTTTCTCATGTCTTATTTCATTTTCCAATGTTTTTTTATATTCTTTCGCTTTTAAACTATTTTAGCTAGTCGAAATGAACCATTAATCTAAAAAAAATACTTTACTTTCATTTCACCGTTATATTACTAGAAGTTCCCAGATGTACTAGCGTGCTCTTATTAATTTGTTCGGTTTGGTATTTTAGTGCATTAGCGTTCGGTAGTTCAGTGCACTTTTCTCGGACTTTTTCTCGATGTACATCGATGTTTACTACTGAAAATTGCCAATGCATCGATGTATGATTATGGCACATCACTACAACACTATCATGTAGTACAATTGTACTGTACCACCAAAATTAAAAATTTTCTGGAAAGATATGCCTTAAGAATCGAATGTACCTTTTCTGTAGAAAAATGTGAATTTTGTGGTTGTAATGAAAATCTTTTTAAAACAATTTCATCTTCTGGTTACACGATACAATTATTTACTGATTACTACATTTATATTGCTTATGATCAGATGAACACTGAGGTTGAGGTTTGATAGAGAACTAGATCTAACATAAATGTGTCGTCTTGCAAGTGTTTTACAAAATCAAGTAAACATAATGATGAATATAAAAGTATAACAGCAGTACTATCCTACATGCATTTACATGCATCTTCTTTCGATATCCCCTAAAATCCCAAGGGATCTGAAGAATTTATGGACCCACTGTCTTCTTAGATAGCGGATAAATATAATCACCTTTCCGTTATGAGTGTGCAAAAATAAATTAAAATGAATAGTGCACAACCTGATAAATAAATATAACAAACCCTTGCTCGTGTCATAAGTTTATAATGACACAACAGTGCGATCTAGTCTAAGCTGCTCTGTTCTTTGTTTCCGGCAAAAATGAATAAAATTATTTATTTACAAACGTGTAATTAAATCAACGTTTCTGTAACTTTCTGTACTTTGCCTGTGATATAGTATGACTTTTATTTATAAGAATAATTTATTCTTCTGGAAAATCTATGTTTCGATACTATTTAAGCAATACTTACGTAGTAGATCGCCTTTATACTGGAGTATAATTTCTTGTAATTTTATACCATTTGACCTACTTTTTATCCCCTTTTATTTGAAGAGCTCTTACACGTTACAGGGATTGCAACGATTTGTTTCGTACAGTAAGGGCGGTGAACGCAATGCGTACGATACGCCTAAAACGAGCAAACTGCTGTAATACAAAAGGAAAAGATGTGGTGACAACTTTTACCAGTTTACCACGATTATTTAATCACCACCATTTCATAGATATGACATTTCTAATCAAAGTAAAATGTCCCTGACAGAATAAATTATTCAGAGTTACTGTAAAACCGTGGATAAGATTAGGACATTTTAAAATTGTTGGGCTTGTTTTTTAGAAAGAGTGAGTGCCCTGCTTTTCTAATTTATTGCATAGATTAAACAGCAAGATCTCCATCTTCTTCAAATATACATTGGCGTTAAAAGTCTACACTGGAAGAAATCAGGCTTTGCACACCAAAATACACCTTTCCAATAAACCCTGTCAGTTTAGCACGGAGCACCTGAGATGTCTATTGGGGCTGAAACTATAGCTTGAGTTTTTTCTATGGGAAAATAATACGAATATGCTGTTTTCAAAAAAAAATTAACAAAGGAATATCATCTGTCTATTCAGAAAATAAGTTGGGCATTTTGAAGAATGGTTTTTCAGAGATGGATTAGTATAATATTTCATATTCCTTCAAAGTATGTATTGTCAGAAAATAATTGGTCAAATATATGACTGTCTTAAAGGCCTATTATGCTTATTTTCAACATTCTTTGGCAAATTAAAGATTAAATTTTGACTTCATTTCTATACTTTAATTATCCTTTAATGGACACCAAAAACAGCTCAAACTGGCCACATCAAAGCTTACAATAAATTATCAAAAAATATTTTTGATATGGTAAGATTTATATATCAAGTTTTTGCAATGTCAATGAAAGATGGCGAAGTTGTTAGTATCACACTATCCATTAATTTCTATAGAATAGCCATCTTTTAAAACAAGAGTTATTTAACCCTACTATCACACCAAACTAGTTCTCAATGCGTTCTCGAAAACGGGCTTCAACTGGGTACGAACTGACTGGACGAACTTAGAACCGTTTGCATGGGCGTAGCGCTATTTCCCCAAGTAGTACGCCACCACCACAGGAACAAGAGTCAAGAATAAAAAACAAGCAGTTAGGGGTCTGGGGTTTCTCCCCTAGGAAAATGTTGAAATTTGGTTGTATTTGGAGCGAATTTTCTACGCCCATGGTTTGGGGTCTATTTACTAAGTTCATCGAACGTACTCGAACGGGTAGGTCCTCTAGAACTTAGAACATGCTCAATAAATGTTCTCTTGGTCGTCACGTTCTACAATTAGAACGAGTGACAACCTACTAACGACGAGCTGGACGTACTGCGATCGGAACCGTCGTACTTCAATCCTACTAGGGACGTTTTTAGAACGAGTTGAACTGTCTGAGGACGTATTGAGAACGAGGTAGAACTAATTGCAAACGGGTTAAAAGTGATTAAAAACGTACTTATCAACGAGTTAGCAAAAATATAGCTATCTCACCAAGCAAGTTGCCACTGCGTTCTTCAAAACTGGTTTTAAACTGTGTGTGACCGGAATGAAGTTAGCTACAACGCTCTACGGTCTGTTTACGAACTTCATGGACTTTCCCGGACGGGGAAAGTGATTTAGAATTTTGAATCGATTCAAAATTCGATGACGACCATACCGTTCTGTAATCAGGTCATGATGACCTTCTAGACTATGAGACGCTTTATACTACGTTGCACACCGACGTGGTGCGACCTGAACGAACTGCGAATGAGATGGACATATTGAAGACTGTTTATGAACGAAGTAGCTAATCATTTTAAACACATTTCCCGACCACAGCCAGATCGAGCCCGTTCTACAACGTTTTCGTAGGACTGGCAAGAACGGATAAGAACTAGTTTGGTGTGATAGGGGGGTAAACTTGTACTTTGTCAAACATGAGCGTCACCCTGGGTATAGTCTGTCACGTGACTTCATGGATGACGTGTGCGCGAGTGATTCGCATTTTCTTTCGCTTGAGGTTTGTAATCACACTTTTACATGTTTTAAGATTTTGTATCTCTGTGAAACTTGTCCCGTACCATCAATGTCTGAAGACGATCTAATTCACCAAATATCTCATCCAAGCGTGTCCCGGTTAAAGAGAAATTCGCACTTTTGTGTCTCGCAAAATGACGTGTGCGCGAGTAAATCGAATTTTACGAAGGATGGGTGCGCGAGTCTAAAATATTTTTATTCACTTGAGACAATTCTGCAAGCTAAGGCAGAATACAACTCACGTGACATTTGTTTTTGTCATCTTAAAGTAGTATGTTAAAGAATAGTTTGCTATTTTGTAGATGTTTCATGTATGGCAGATACATGTCTACGTTTAATGACAATAAATGTTTTGAAATAGCTTGTAGGGCTGTCCGGCATTGCAGGTGAATTAAAATTTGAACCAAAAATTGAATCTAAAAGATTCAGCTGCTGGGGCAGATGACTTAAAACCTAATATTATTAAACAATGCAGCAATAAAACCTCTCCTACACATATTCAATAGCTCACTCTTACAGGGTGTTTTCCCAGATAAACTAAAAACTGCTATAGTTACCCCTATTCATAAAAAAGATGAACTTAATCTATTTACCAATTATCGTCCTATATCAGTTCTACCTGTCTTTTCAAAGATCCTTGAGAAACTTATGTATGTAAGGATGAGTAATTTTATTATTAGATTTGGAATTTTGTATTTGAATCAGTTTGGATTTAGAGAGAAAAGATCTACTGTACATGGCAATTTTACAATTTGTAGAAAAAATTAAGAAATCTGTTGACAGCAATGAATTCAGCATTGGGCTTTTTCTAGATTTTTCAAAAGCATTTGATACCATTGATCATAGCATACTGTTACAGAAATTGGAATTTTACGGTTTTAGGGGACCTGCTCTAAGGTGGGTCTCTAGTTATTTAACAAATCGCAACCAGTGTACTAAATATAATGATAAAATTTCATCTTTCAAAACTATCAAATGTGGTGTTCCACAGGGATCTGTCTTAGGGGCCTTATTTTTTATACTCTATATCAATGATATCTACTTGACCTCTCCAGCACTTCTCTTTGTTCTGTTTGCTGATGATACAAATATTTTAATCAGTGGGAAAAACCTTAATGAAATTAAAGATACTTTGAATACTGAATTAAATAGTATCGGAGATTGGCTTATAGCCAATAAACTGTCACTCAATATTAATAAAACTAAGTACATATTATTTACTTCAAAGCAGAAAAAGGTAAATACCAGGAACTTAGAGATATTTATTGATGGTAAAATTATTGAACGAGTAACACACACTAATTTTCTTGGTTTGGTTATTGACCAACATCTTTCATGGAATGAACATATTAGTAAAGTCAAAATGAAAATATCAAGGATAGTTGGCATTCTGTACAAGATTAACCATTTACTAGATAGGAAAACCTTTATGACTATATATCATTCTCTAATCCATTCTTATTTAACTTACAGCAATATCATTTGGGGAAATGCTAATATCACTTCAATTAATTCGCTTCACTTAATACAAAAGAAATTTGCAAGATTAGCTACTCAGAGTGGATTTAGAGATCACACTCCACCATTATTTAAAGAATTAGGAATTCTCATCATTTCTGATATATTTAAAGTCAATGTGGCAGAATTCTTCTTTAAGTGGCAAAACAATGAAAATAACCTACATGATATATTTCCCAACTTATTTACAAGACATAATGAACTACATAAGTATGATACAAGAGGTAAATATAACTATGCCTTGCCTAAATTTAAAACAGAAACCTTTGGCAGAAAGATGCTTTCATTTTCTGGACCATCTATTTGGAATAGCCTCCCATCAGAAATAAAAACATCAAGGTCAAGTAAATGTCTTAAGTCTAAATATAAGAAACATATTCTGGCGTTGTATGCATGATCTTCTTCTTTTTATATTTATGTACTGCAGCCTCCTTATTCATGCTCTATCTCCTTTATAGAAATATATACAGATATAACTCCAAGCCTGGGTACTGGACACTAAACTTGATAGCTTTTTATCTATGATGCACCTCCCCTCCCTCTTCGATTTTCCCTTAGACAAAACACAACCTTGATATGTTTGATTCCTTGACCTTACTTTTACTCTTAATATCTGTAATATTATGCTTTTACATGTACGGGTATAAACATCAGAAATGATGTCACCTGTTAATTCTTTTATATGTACCATGTATTATTGTATTATTAAGGAATAAATTGAATTGAATTGAATTGTGTCTAGCTTGCAGAATTGTTTAAAATGAATATAAATATGTTAGACTCGCGCACCCATCCTTCGTAAAATTCGATTTACTCGCGCACACGTCATTTTGCGAGACACAAAAGTGCGAATTTCTCTTTAACCGGGACACGCTTGGATGAGATATTTGGTGAATTAGATCGTCTTCAGACATTGATGGTACGGGACAAGTTTCACAGAGATACAAAATCTTAAAACATGTAAAAAGTGTGATTACAAACCTCAAGCGAAAGAAAATGCGAATCACTCGCGCACACGTCATCCATGAAGTCACGTGACAGACTATACCCAGGGTGAGCGTGTACTACTAACAATCTGAACTTAAAATGCTTTTTTCTAAGTGAATTATTTTTTTCTAGATTCAATATTGATGCAATTCAATCTTTGTATCATATTTGATTGAGTGTGTGAGAAACATGTTTCAGTGATAATTAAATGTAATACAAAGTTTGATTTGCAGTAAAATTAAACCACATAGAAAACGGCTTTTGAAGTTGAGAGATCATTGGTAGTGCATGCACATTTTTGACAAAGTGCATGTCTTAATTAAAAGCTGGCGACATTTCTGTAAAAATGAATGTATCGTGCAATATAAAACAACTTCGCCATCTTTCATTGAGATTGATGAAATGTTTATATTGTAACAAAATATTTTTTTTGAAAAATTATTAAAAGTTTTCCATTTGGATAGTCTCAAGATTATGGCCATTAAATACAACAACTTCACTTGTTCCCTTATTTTACCTGGTCCTTTGGTGATAATTATATTTATTTGTGACCTTTTACAATGTTTCTGTCTCATTATTTCAATGTAGTATTTTTCGTTTCATTAGTAGTGCTCATTTAGAGTAACTTCACTACGCCACAACTTCGAATCTTCAAGCTCCGTACTTATCGCAAAAATACAGGTTAGTTAGTCCATTTGAATTATTAATTTAGATTTATTTAGATAGATAACAATATTAGCGATCATTTCTGTAAATTAGGGGTAGCAATAATGTTTAGTTTTCAAGATATTTGGTCGTGAATTTGAAATGTCAATTCAATCTCGTCTGCCATTTCGGCGGTCATTTTATTTCCTGTTCCATTAAATAACTTGCTCTAGCCACCTATTGTGAATGTATTTCCACACTTTATCATTATATTTCTTATCTGTATAATTAACTCGCAATTACCAACCATATTTGTGAGTTATTTTCACGTCTGTAGGCCCGTAATCGTAATTTAAACATTTGGTTAATCAGTTTGCGCCAATATTTTGTATTGCGCGAATACGTCATCCGGGCAACCTCCTAGAGTATATAAGCTGAGAAAGTTGACACTCGAGAGAGACTTGATTTAGCTTTTGACTGGTACAGAGCTCCGCTCGTGATATTTTGTAAATTTTGACAACTTTGACTTTGTTGGACTTTGACATTTTCTGTACATGATAACTTCGACTTAGAATATTTCTCACTGGCACTTGGGAATATTCTTTGACTTTGTTCTGTTCACATGTACCTGGCTGTAGACGAATCTACTTGAGGTTAAACTTTGGCAAAGTCAATTTAGTTGGACTTATACATTTTTCTGTGGATGCTAACTTGGACTTAGAATATTTTAATCATTTTTAATATTCTTTGACTTTGTTCTGTGATACATCTACCTGAAGTTGGAGTTGTACATTTTTCTGTGGATGCTAACTTGGACTTAGAATATTTTAATCATTTTAAATATTCTTTGACTTTGTTCTGTGATACATCTACCTGGAGTTGGACTTGTACATTTTGCTGTGGATGCTAACTTGGACTTAGAATATTTTAATCATTTTTAATATTCTTTGACTTTGTTCTGTGATACATCTACCTGGAGTTGGACTTGTACATTTTGCTGTGGATGCTAACTTGGACTTAGAATATTTCAATCATTTTTAATATTCTTTGACTTTGTTCTGTGATACATCTACCTGAAGTTGGACTTGTATATTTTGCTGTAGATGATAACTTGGACTTAGAATATTTTAATCATTTTCAATATTCTTTGACTTTGTTTTGTGATACATCTACCTAGTTGGACTTGTACATTTTGCTGTAGATGATAACTTGGACTTAGAATATTTGAATCATTTTCAATATTCTTTGACTTTGTTCTGTGATACATCTACCTGGAGTTGGACTTGTACATTTTTCTGTGGATGCTAACTTGGACTTAGAATATTTTAATCATTTTTAATATTCTTTGACTTTGTTCTGTGATACATCTACCTGGAGTTGGACTTGTACATTTTTCTGTGGATGCTAACTTGGACTTAGAATATTTTAATCATTTTAAATATTCTTTGACTTTGTTCTGTGATACATCTACCTGGAGTTGGACTTATACATTTTAGTCGTTTATACTAAATTGGACTTAGAATATTTCTTACTCACACTTTGAAATATTCTTCGACTTTGTTCTATTTGAAGTTTGACTTAGATAATTTATTGTGAAACTTCCTCATTGAAGACGTTCCAGTTGACTTTGTCGAACTGACTCACTGAGGCTGGGTCTTTATTTTAGCGACTTTGTCGAACGGACTTCCTGAGGAAGGTGATCCATTGGACTTAACCGGAGGAGGCTACCAGAGGGAGAAGAGGATCCATTGGACTTAGCCAGAGGAGGCTACCAGAGGGAGAAGAGGATCCATTGGACTTAGCCAGAGGCTACCTGAGGGAGAAGAGGATCCATTGGACTTAGCCAGAGGAGGCTACCTGAGGGAGATGTTCCAGTTGACTTTGTCGAACGGACTCACTGAGGCTGGGTCTTTATTTTAGCGACTTTGTCGAACGGACTTCCTGAGGAAGGTGATCCATTGGACTTAGCCAGAGGAGGCTACCTGAGGGAGAAGAGGATCTACTGGACTTAGCCGGAAGAGGCTACCTGAGGGAGAAGAGGATCCATTGGACTTAGCTGGAGGAGGCTACCTGAGGGAGAAGAGGATCCATTGGACTTAGCCGGAGGAGGCTACCTGAGGGAGAAGACGTTCCATTGGACTTAGCCGGAGGAGGCTACCTGAGGGAGAAGAGGATCCATTGGACTTCACCGGAAGAGGCTACCTGAGGGAGACGTTCCAGTTGACTTTGTCGAACGGACTCACTGAGGCTGGGTCTTTATTTTAGCGACTTTGTCGAACGGACTTCCTTAGGAAGAGGATCCATTGGACTTAGCCAGAGGAGGCTACCTGAGGGAGAAGAGGATCCATTGGACTTAGCCAGAGGCTACCTGAGGGAGAAGAGGATCCATTGGACTTAGCTGAAGAGGCTACCTGAGGGAGAAGACGTTCCAGTTGACTTTGTCGAACGGACTCACTGAGGCTGGGTCTTTATTTTAGCGACTTTGTCGAACGGACTTCCTGAGGAAGGTGATCCATTGGACTTAGCCAGAGGAGGCTACCTGAGGGAGAAGAGGATCCATTGGACTTAGCCAGAGGCTACCTGAGGGAGAAGAGGATCCATTGGACTTAGCTGAAGAGGCTACCTGAGGGAGAAGACGTTCCAGTTGACTTTGTCGAACGGACTCACTGAGGCTGGGTCTTTATTTTAGCGACTTTGTCGAACGGACTTCCTGAGGAAGGTGATCCATTGGACTTACCCAGAGGAGGCTACCTGAGGGAGAAGAGGATCCATTGGACTTAGCCAGAGGAGGCTACCTGAGGGAGAAGACGTTCCAGTTGACTTTGTCGAACGGACTCACTGAGGCTGGGTCTTTATTTTAGCGACTTTGTCGAACGGACTTCCTTAGGAAGAGGATCCATTGGACTTAGCCAGAGGAGGCTACCTGAGGGAGAAGAGGATCCATTGGACTTAGCCAGAGGCTACCTGAGGGAGAAGAGGATCCATTGGACTTAGCTGAAGAGGCTACCTGAGGGAGAAGACGTTCCAGTTGACTTTGTCGAACGGACTCACTGAGGCTGGGTCTTTATTTTAGCGACTTTGTCGAACGGACTTCCTGAGGAAGGTGATCCATTGGACTTACCCAGAGGAGGCTACCTGAGGGAGAAGAGGATCCACTGGACTTAGCTGAAGAAGCTACTTGAGGGAGAAGAGGATCCATTGGACTTAGCCAGAGGAGGCTACCTGGGGGAGAAGACGTTCCAGTTGACTTTGTCGAACGGACTCACTGAGGCTGGGTCTTTATTTCAGCGACTTTGTCGAACGGACTTCCTGAGGAAGGTGATCCATTGGACTTAGCTGGAGGAGGCTACCTGAGGGAGAAGACGATTCACTAGACTTAGCCGGAGGAGGCTACCTGAGGGAGAAGAGGATCCACTAGACTTAGCCGGAGGAGGCTACCTGAGGGAGAAGAGGATACACTGGACGTAGCCGGAGGAGGTTACCTGCACGAGACAAGATACTGGTCCTTGTATGGAACTGGATGTTCTTTTCATCGCTTTGATTGTGGGCAGCATATCGTTTGTACTCCTTTGTTTGATGTTTGTTATTTGCACTCGTGTTTGCATTACCACTACAGACGAAGAATCTAATGATCAATCTGCTCTAGTACCAACTAGACAAATTCCAGTGTTACAGTCATCGCTTGGCTTCAGCCTGAGTACAGTGAACTTTGTGTGACTTCAATACAATCCCACAATTGATGTTTATATGTATAGACTTACAGTGAATAACAATAACAACAACAACAACGAACATTGGTTCTATTCCAGTTTATTACAAGGACATTTTGCTATTTGATGTACACAATTTTGGGCCTACAGACGCCACAATATATCGTTTGTTGTGTAATAAATATAATTTAATGTTCTGTTGAATCTTTGGTGCAAACACATTTAACGTGTGTCACGTAACCCACAAGGTATACAGAGGTCTATTAGTCCACACTACCATAATATCCACAAAAAGGCCTAACTGTTACACTGGTGGCAGCGGTGGGATTGAATTGTTTCCAAAGACGAGCCAGAACTAGAGAATTTACAAGATGGACAAGATGGAACTAGAGGCAGGTCTTCCTTATCCAAGAGATGGAGACGAGTCTGACATGGAGAAGACAGTGTTCCTGAAACCAGAGTCAGCTGAAGTGGAAAATCCTGGAGCTGAAGATGAAACTTTACCTGTGCAACAAGATGGAAAACCATTGTCTGATCAACCAGAGGATCAACTTGGTGTAGGCGCCAGAGCTAAAGATCCGAAGCTGGATTCTGAAATGAGCATTTTTCCTGGCATACAAAGTACAGGCTACTGGACAGGAGGAGACTTAGATAATATGGGAACTCCGGCACATCCCATGATTCGAGATAGAAGGAATCCTCCCCCAAGACCACGTTTCCCATTGACATCAACTATCATTAATCGGCCCTCAGACAAAGTTCAAGCAGCCGAAGAGATGAGACAAGAACTAACTATGATTGAGGGACAGCTCAAAGGGAAGATGTCTGTGTTAGGTGACATTGCGGATACACAACAGAAACAGTTGAATGCCATAACAACAACTCAGCAGATACAGACCAGTAGCATGTCCCAAATAGTGGAACACCTTGCGGAGAGCAAGAATATTCAACAAGGCAGTGAGCAACAGCATGAGAGGCGACTACAAGAGATTGCGGGAATACAAGATCGCTGCTTACAAGAGATGCAACATCGCATGGAATCTTTCCAGAAGACTATTGGTGAGTCTATTGACAAGTTGCACTCTACTTTGACCGTTCCTCCAGTTCAGCAAGAAGTCGTTTCGAGGTCTTGGAACTATGAAGATGTTGGTTGTCCTTCAGAGTTTGATGAGAAACCTAGGTCAGATTCTGCAGGAAAATCTCGACCGTTCAAATCACCTACGATGCCAATGAGTCAAAAACAAGATTTAGTAGACGAAGATATTCCAGAGTCCTTTCCTCCTCAAAGGAAGCGACCATGGGCTTTACGAAGACAAGACAGAGTCTATGTGCCATCTAAACACCAAACAGACCACAGAGATCCCACTATGCTGTTTAATAAACCTGATGAAGTGTATCTTCCTAGAGGCTGGGACGCTAACGAGTTTAAGAGCCAAAGAGAAAGGGATGGACATCCACCTAGAAGCAGTGATCATACGGCACCATATTCTGATATAAGAACTAGATTTGAAGAAGATAATAAATTCTCGGGTTTTGATTCCCCGGAACCAAAGATTTCGAAAGATGATACTAATATACCTGGTGTTTCTACAGATTTCCTCAAGATGTTCAACAAGTTGTCCCAAGATGACAGGTCCAAGTCCAAGAGTCGAATTAAGCCTGACACTTTTAATGGAACCACTCCATGGCAAGAGTATCGAGCTTACTTCGAGATTTGCTGTAAAGCCAATAGATGGACGTCAGAGGAGAAGAACGAGTACCTGGCCACAAGTCTGCGAGGTCCAGCACAGCAGATTGTGTTAGAGTTGGAAGAGGGATACACCTATGAGCAGTTGATCCTGGCCTTGGAGAAGAGGTTCGGGCCTGGTGGCAAAGCAGAAATCTATGAGGCGGAACTTGTTGGTCGAATGAGGAAGCCCAAAGAATCACTTCAAACCTTGGGTCAAGACATCCGACGTCTTACGGCATTGGCCTACCCTGAAATGAGCAGATCATCTCAAGACCGCCTTGCCAGACGCAGCTTTGAACAAGCTATAGTAGAAGAGGACATACGCAGAGCAATCCACGCAAAAGAATGTACTACTCTGGATAAGGCAATAGAAATCGCTCTGAAGGAAGAGTCCTACTTAGAGTCCGAACGGATTAGAAAAGGACAAAAGCCAAAATACAGTAGAATAAGTGCGTTGGAAGAAAAAGAGAGCGAGTTCAAGCAGATTACCCAACTGATAGAGAATATCCAGAAAAGCGTACAAGTGGAATGCAGCAAGAACTTAGAGAAAATGGTGGAGTTATTGGAACAACAGAAGAAGCCTGGGTTCGAATCGAAAGGAAACCGAAATAGAAAAGTTGAGTGCTTTTACTGCCATAAAGTAGGACACGTGATGGCCGACTGTTATTCGAGGAAGCGAAATGAAGAGAGAGCCAGAGAGGCCCAAGCTGGATCGAATCAGACTGCCCCGGTGAAATTCCTGTCTCATTCAGGGAGAGATGTTACCAAGAACAAGTCCCCTAAGGATGTTCGGAAGGTTATAGCTCACGGCGATGTTTGTGGCACTGATGTGATCTTTTTGTTAGATTCTGGAGCAGTGCGTACCATTGTGAGTGGTGAAGTTTATCGTAGGATGAACCCTCGATATCGCCCAAAGTTGTTACCTCCAAACCATGTTATGGTCCAAGCAGATGGGGAACCACTGGCCATGATGGGAGTTATCTTTGGTACTGTTAATATAGATGGACATACAGAAGAGATGGAGATTGCTGTAGCCAACATAGACTTTGATGGAATTTTGGGAAGCGACTATTTATCTGCATCTGGAGCTATAGTAGATTACCATCGCTGTCGACTTAGTTTTGGGGCACAAGATAACTCTGGTGCAACAGAAGATCAACTTGATGATCCTGAGGGACCTGAGTTAGACGAATCTGATCACTTCTGTAGCTGCAGTACTAAGTTATCAAGAAATGAAAGCAGTAGTAGCGGCTCAGCATTGGAGGTTGTTGGATCCATGCCCAGGACTACAAAGAGTTTAAAAGAATCAGCTGAAGCTGGACCAAGTTCAACACAAGTGAAGAGAATGGTAGAACCTAGACCTGAGACACCTTCACCTAGAGTCAAGATAGAAATTCCTGATAGTCCCCTGTCTGTAGTCGAGGAAGACACAGAGGAATCAGAAGATTCTCAAGTTTTTGAGGATGCCCGGGAACTATTTGTACCTGAAACTCCGTCGCCTGAACCAGAGGTACAGTTTCCTGACAGTCCCCCAGCGGAACCTATCGTTATTCCAGAAACGCCACATGGGTCTCAAGAGAGTTTGGACTTGGAAGATGATGTATTTCCCGATTTGAGACAGATGTGCGGTCAACAACAATCTACATTTTGTTACAACTGCTCTGAGGATGAAGTGGTCATACCTCCTTACTCTGGTAGATGTATCGAGGTTCGGTTGAGGGAACCACTAGTGGGGGTGGGCATTATTGAACCCCACTTATCTGATACCCAGATGGATGAACTTGAAGTGGTAACCATATTAGCTGATGCTAATCAGGTCAGCTATATAGAAGTGCGGAACAATAACGACTTCGAAGTATCCGTCCTCCAAGGAGAAACTTTGGGAGTCTTCACTTTGGTGGATGATGAGACCTACCATGTGAATTTGGAAAAAGTTAAACAAGAGGTCGTTTGCCCACTTTCAACTTCAGAGGGAGCTGAAGAAGGACTTATACCATTGCCAGATTTTATGCAGGCCTTATTTGAAAGAAGTTCATGTGGACTTACACAGAATCAGAGTGATCAACTTCAATCACTACTTGTGAGGAATCAAGATATTTTTGCCCAAAGAGATGGTGACTTGGGTAAGACAACTCTAGTAGAGCACAGCATGGACACTGGGAACACTCCACCAATAAAGCAAAGATATCGAATGTTACCCCGAAGTCGTCAGGATACTGTGACTGATCTTATTGAAGACATGATGAAGCGAGGTATAATCGAGCCCTCCCAGAGTCCGTGGGCGTCACCCATAGTACTTGTAAGAAAGAAAGATGGCTCATGGAGATTCTGCGTCGATTACCGAAAACTTAATAGTGTTACGAAGAAAGACGCTTTCCCGATTCCTAGAATCGATGAAACCTTGGATATGCTGAATGGATCGAAGTATTTCAGCACACTGGATCTTGCAAGTGGGTATTGGCAGGTCTTATTGGATAAAGATGCTCAAGAGAAGTCAGCGTTCACAGTAAGAGGTGGACTTTACCAATGGACTGTGATGCCATTTGGCTTATCGAATGCACCTTCGACATTTTGTCGCCTGATGGAAGAAGTTCTTAGTGGTTTGAAAGATGATGGTTCTCTGGTTTATTTGGACGATGTGATTTCATTCGCCCCCACGTTTGAACAAGCGATTGGTCGCTTAGAAAGGGTATTTGGTTGTCTTCGCCGAGCTGGATTGAAGTTGAAACCTAGCAAGTGTACCCTGTTCCAGACTAAAGTGAACTTCCTCGGCCATGTTGTTTCTGGTGATGGCATTGCACCAGACCCGGAGAAGATAGCAGCTATGGTGAAGTACCCTACTCCAAGGACAGTAAAACATGTCCGACAATTTGTAGGAGGGGCTTCTTACTACAGAAGACATATCAAAAACTTTGCCGAAATAGCCGGTCCTTTGCACAAGTTGACACGAAAGAATCAGAGATTTATGTGGAATCCTGAAGCAGAGGAGGCCTTTGTTGCTTTGAAGGAGATGTTAACTACAGCACCTATCTTATCTTTTCCCAGAGATGATTGTCCCTATATTTTAGACACGGATGCCAGTCATGAAGCTTTGGGTGCTGTGTTATCCCAGATTCAGGACAATGAAGAGCGGGTGATATACTATGCAAGTCATCGGTTGAATGGACCAGAGTTGAATTACTGCGTGACTCGCAAGGAACTTTTAGCTGTGGTATTTTTTGTCAAGTATTTTCGCCAATACTTGCATGGAGTCAGATTTACCATTCGTTCAGACCATGGATCATTGAGGTGGTTAACTAACTTCAGGAATCCAGAGGGACAACTAGCTCGATGGCTGGAGGTACTACAGGAGTATAACTACCAACTGGAATATCGCCCGGGACCAAAACATGCGAACGCTGATGTTATGTCCAGACGGCCCTGTCACCAGTGTTCTCATTGTGATGAGGTGGAACAGGAAGATGTGCTTCAGGTACCAATCTCTGTGGTCTCTGTTGAACCAACTTGGACTTTGGAGAAAATTGCGGAGGCACAAGGACAAGATCCTGAGATACAGCCTATATTAGAGGCTCTGCGAACTTCTTCAATCAGACCAACTTGGGATAAGATCAGTTACAATTCGCCCGCTACAAAGCATTATTGGCACCTTTGGAATCAACTTGAGATCAACAACAATGTACTCTGCAACAGATGGGAGGATGCCAGTGGGGAGCATGGTCATCTACAGATACTAGTTCCATCTCCAATGAAGGCGATTGTTCTAGAGATGAGCCACTCTAACAAGGTTGCCGGACATTTTGGTGTCCGTCGCACCTTCCTGAAGAGCCGACAGAGATTCTATTGGTTTGAGCAGAGAGTCGATGTTAGAGGAGTTGTGCGCTCTTGCCACACCTGTGGAACCAGAAGAAAACCCTTGAAAGCTAGAAGAGCTCCCATGCAGGTCCAAGGAGTTAGTTCTCCTATGGAGCGTTATGCTGTGGATATTTTGGGACCATTCCCTGAGACACCAAGAGGGAATAAGGTGATAATGGTGTGTGCCGACTACTTCTCGAAGTGGGTTGAAGCCTACCCTCTCCCTAATCAAGAAGCCACAACTGTAGCTGATAAGTTGGTAAACGAGGTTGTTTGCAGATTTGGAGCCCCAGCAGAACTGCACTCAGATCAAGGCAGAAATTTTGAGTCTCATGTATTTCAAGAAATCTGTGAATTGATGGGGATTCACAAGACCCGTACTACACCCTTCCATCCGCAGAGCGACGGGATGGTGGAGAGGTACAATCGGACTCTATTGGATACTATTGCTAAACTGTTACAGCCTGATGTTCATCAATACGACTGGGATGTGCAGATTCCTTATGCATTGCTGGCCTATCGCACATCCACTCACGAGGCGACAGGGGAGACACCAGCAATGATGATGTTCGGAAGGGAGTTGGCTGTGCCAGTATCCTGGATAGTGGAAAACCCTGTATCAGAAGAAACTAAGACGGATTACGTGATTGAACTTAGACAAGGCTTAAGAGATGCACATGAGCGCGCCAGCCAAGTGTTGAAGAAAGCCAATCAACGGCAACGAGATGCTTATGATCGGCGGGTTTCAGGGAAGGGATACACTATAGGGGAAGCTGTGTGGTTAAAAAACAACACTAAGAAGAAAGGGGTGTCTCCTAAATTACAATGTAAATGGATTGGTCCATTTCAGGTCCTCCAAAAGATGTCAGATGTGACGTATCGTATCCGTGAGTGGGGAAAGATCAAGCCTAGGGTGGTACATTTCGATCAGATGAAGCCTTACGAGAGTTGCCTTCCAGACGGTTGGACTATACCACAAGAAGGGACCACTCCAAAGATGTCTGAGCTAGCAGCAGATCCATTTGATTTCAAACCTAACCAGCCGGAGTTGAAGAATGAGGACTACAAATCTGAAGAACTGAAGAATGAGGAATCCGAACCTAAGATGGTGGAGATACACACCGATCCGATGGACTACAAGTCTGAAGAACTGAAGAATGAGGATACCGAGCCGGAGTTGAAGAATGAGGACTACAAATCTGAAGAACTGCAGAATGAGGAGACTGACAAAAGGGCAACCAAGAAGAATACTGAACCTTCGGACTTTGAAGCCAAGGAAGCGTCGAAGACGGAAGATCCTGATGGCCAGATGGACACAGATTTTTGGGAGCCTGCTGCGTGTGATAAGCCAAAGTCAGATAATAATGTGTCTGATAAAGTTAAGAACTGTGTTGGTAAGCGAGTTCGTAAACCCCCAAAACGCTTTGCGGACTATGACTTAGAGACCTCTTTTTGTATTTCCAGGTACCAAGAAAGAATGTCTCACAGAGGACACGGGCGTAGGGACTATGGAGGCCGGGATGACAGATATGGGTCCCAAGACCGGAGGGATCGCTCCCGTAGTAGAGAGACAGACAGAGACTATCGCAATAGAGACCAGGGTCAAAGTAGGGACCATGATAGGGGCAGAGCTTCTAACCGGAGAGAGAACGACAGAGGGACAGATCATAGAGAAACAGAAAGAGACTATCGTAATAGAGATCAGGATCAAAAGAGGGACCATGATAGGGACGGAGCTTCCAGCAGGGACTATAACAGAGTAGATAAATTCGCCAGGTGGGAGAGATCCTCCCGGTCCTCTAGTAAGGCATCTAGTCAGGAAGAACAAGTCGCCAGTCTGCAAAGTCCAGAGGGGATACAAATTATGCGACAGATTTCAGGACTATTGCAAGGTTTACAGACGCCTTGCACCACAACCTATCCACCTTCCGCAAGCTTGGGAGCACCCCCTGAAAAGAACTCTCCCATGACAGTGTCAGTACCACCTACCGTTGATAAACCCGTACCATGCCTTTCAACCGGGGAAGAACCTGCTGACAAAACCAAGAGGGTAGAGGGAGTTTTATCAGTGTGGGGTAAGATATTGGATAGTAAGAAAGAACCAAGCGTGAAAGAGAAATCACCAGAGAAAATAGCGATAGACAGTAACAATAACGAAAAGAGCGCTGACATGAAGAGACCAACCGACAAGGATCCTAAGAAAACCACTGAAAAAGACACTAAGAAAACTGATAAAGACATAAAGCAAACCACTGATCCTAAGAAAACCACTGAAAAAGACAAGAACACCACTGATAAAAACATTAAGAAAACTGCTAATGACACAAAGAAACCCACAGATAAAGACAGTAAGAGAGTCAGCGATGAGACAGTAAAACCAACCGATCATGACATCAAGAAAACCTACGAAGAGAAGGCAAAGACAACCTCTAAACAGGGTAAAAGAGTAGTCAAGGACAAGTCTAGTCAAGACAAAAAAGTGGAGAGTGAAATAGAAGAGGTTGAAGAAATGGATAGTCGAACAGTAGTAGTTGAGGGGGCGTCATCAAAGCCGCATAACAAGAGAGTTCGAAAAGCGCCAAAGAGCAAGAAATATGTGGTAGATAGCTCGGATGAGGAAGATGTAAAGTTGAACCAACAGCCCAGGGTGGAGTTACAACGTTTACGGGATGAGGAAACCGATGAATATGAGGACTACCAAAGGGGGACAATCCGTAACCCTATCAAAATGGAGATCCGTTTTAGGTATTTTGCCAGGGACGGTTCAGTGATAGAAGATGAGACATTGGTAAGTCGATATAGCGATCTCAAAATATAAAGATTCTAGTGTGATAGAGACTATTATGAGGACTTAGAAAATATAACCAGATATTATAAGAGACTGTTATTAGGACTTAGAAAAGATGATCAGTTTTTAATGGAGAGATAATTATCTTGCTTCGTACATGAGCTGTTTACAATTATTTTGTATGACAATGAGCTTATATCTTGATTTTATGGCGAGTAATTTAAGTACCTGGTGATAAGTGATGGGTGAATTTATTTTTGTAATGCTTATGATATCACATATGGTAATGACAGAGTATGAAGACACTTTAGTAGTTGTGACATTAAAATAAGTTAGTTCACATGATGACTTAGAAATTGTAATGTGGTTGTGCATGAGTGAAGACATTTATTTTTTGTATATTGCATGACACACTTTGTATATTGGTAGTTTATTACAAATCATGTCGCTAGAGACTAGTTTATGAATCATGTAATCATTTGAAACTTGAGATAGTACATTTTTGTTGCATGTCATAACTTTTTATGTTTTGAGTGTATAAGTCATGATGTTACTTGAAACAAGAGATAGTAAATGTTTATGACCGGACACACTTTGTGTTTTGGTAGTTTATTATAAGTCAAGTAACTAGAGATGTAGTTTATAGCCATGTAATCACTTGAAACTAGAGATAGAAAACTCCTGGTTATAACCAATGAGAGAAAGTAAAAAGATCTTTAGTAGTAGTGCCATCAAAATAACGTGTTTTCATAAGATGTGATGTAGTTATTTTTATAATGTAACTATTTTTGATAAGAAAGTTTTTATAGTTTAATACAGTTTATTTTTCTTATAAAAATATATTGTTAGTTCAAGAGAAATTATGCTTGGTGTTGAAAACACCAAAAACAAAAGAAGGGAGGAGTGTAACAAAATATTTTTTTTGAAAAATTATTAAAAGTTTTCCATTTGGATAGTCTCAAGATTATGGCCATTAAATACAACAACTTCACTTGTTCCCTTATTTTACCTGGTCCTTTGGTGATAATTATATTTATTTGTGACCTTTTACAATGTTTCTGTCTCATTATTTCAATGTAGTATTTTTCGTTTCATTAGTAGTGCTCATTTAGAGTAACTTCACTACGCCACAACTTCGAATCTTCAAGCTCCGTACTTATCGCAAAAATACAGGTTAGTTAGTCCATTTGAATTATTAATTTAGATTTATTTAGATAGATAACAATATTAGCGATCATTTCTGTAAATTAGGGGTAGCAATAATGTTTAGTTTTCAAGATATTTGGTCGTGAATTTGAAATGTCAATTCAATCTCGTCTGCCATTTCGGCGGTCATTTTATTTCCTGTTCCATTAAATAACTTGCTCTAGCCACCTATTGTGAATGTATTTCCACACTTTATCATTATATTTCTTATCTGTATAATTAACTCGCAATTACCAACCATATTTGTGAGTTATTTTCACGTCTGTAGGCCCGTAATCGTAATTTAAACATTTGGTTAATCAGTTTGCGCCAATATTTTGTATTGCGCGAATACGTCATCCGGGCAACCTCCTAGAGTATATAAGCTGAGAAAGTTGACACTCGAGAGAGACTTGATTTAGCTTTTGACTGGTACAGAGCTCCGCTCGTGATATTTTGTAAATTTTGACAACTTTGACTTTGTTGGACTTTGACATTTTCTGTACATGATAACTTCGACTTAGAATATTTCTCACTGGCACTTGGGAATATTCTTTGACTTTGTTCTGTTCACATGTACCTGGCTGTAGACGAATCTACTTGAGGTTAAACTTTGGCAAAGTCAATTTAGTTGGACTTATACATTTTTCTGTGGATGCTAACTTGGACTTAGAATATTTTAATCATTTTTAATATTCTTTGACTTTGTTCTGTGATACATCTACCTGAAGTTGGAGTTGTACATTTTTCTGTGGATGCTAACTTGGACTTAGAATATTTTAATCATTTTAAATATTCTTTGACTTTGTTCTGTGATACATCTACCTGGAGTTGGACTTGTACATTTTGCTGTGGATGCTAACTTGGACTTAGAATATTTTAATCATTTTTAATATTCTTTGACTTTGTTCTGTGATACATCTACCTGGAGTTGGACTTGTACATTTTGCTGTGGATGCTAACTTGGACTTAGAATATTTCAATCATTTTTAATATTCTTTGACTTTGTTCTGTGATACATCTACCTGAAGTTGGACTTGTATATTTTGCTGTAGATGATAACTTGGACTTAGAATATTTTAATCATTTTCAATATTCTTTGACTTTGTTTTGTGATACATCTACCTAGTTGGACTTGTACATTTTGCTGTAGATGATAACTTGGACTTAGAATATTTGAATCATTTTCAATATTCTTTGACTTTGTTCTGTGATACATCTACCTGGAGTTGGACTTGTACATTTTTCTGTGGATGCTAACTTGGACTTAGAATATTTTAATCATTTTTAATATTCTTTGACTTTGTTCTGTGATACATCTACCTGGAGTTGGACTTGTACATTTTTCTGTGGATGCTAACTTGGACTTAGAATATTTTAATCATTTTAAATATTCTTTGACTTTGTTCTGTGATACATCTACCTGGAGTTGGACTTATACATTTTAGTCGTTTATACTAAATTGGACTTAGAATATTTCTTACTCACACTTTGAAATATTCTTCGACTTTGTTCTATTTGAAGTTTGACTTAGATAATTTATTGTGAAACTTCCTCATTGAAGACGTTCCAGTTGACTTTGTCGAACTGACTCACTGAGGCTGGGTCTTTATTTTAGCGACTTTGTCGAACGGACTTCCTGAGGAAGGTGATCCATTGGACTTAACCGGAGGAGGCTACCAGAGGGAGAAGAGGATCCATTGGACTTAGCCAGAGGAGGCTACCAGAGGGAGAAGAGGATCCATTGGACTTAGCCAGAGGCTACCTGAGGGAGAAGAGGATCCATTGGACTTAGCCAGAGGAGGCTACCTGAGGGAGATGTTCCAGTTGACTTTGTCGAACGGACTCACTGAGGCTGGGTCTTTATTTTAGCGACTTTGTCGAACGGACTTCCTGAGGAAGGTGATCCATTGGACTTAGCCAGAGGAGGCTACCTGAGGGAGAAGAGGATCTACTGGACTTAGCCGGAAGAGGCTACCTGAGGGAGAAGAGGATCCATTGGACTTAGCTGGAGGAGGCTACCTGAGGGAGAAGAGGATCCATTGGACTTAGCCGGAGGAGGCTACCTGAGGGAGAAGACGTTCCATTGGACTTAGCCGGAGGAGGCTACCTGAGGGAGAAGAGGATCCATTGGACTTCACCGGAAGAGGCTACCTGAGGGAGACGTTCCAGTTGACTTTGTCGAACGGACTCACTGAGGCTGGGTCTTTATTTTAGCGACTTTGTCGAACGGACTTCCTTAGGAAGAGGATCCATTGGACTTAGCCAGAGGAGGCTACCTGAGGGAGAAGAGGATCCATTGGACTTAGCCAGAGGCTACCTGAGGGAGAAGAGGATCCATTGGACTTAGCTGAAGAGGCTACCTGAGGGAGAAGACGTTCCAGTTGACTTTGTCGAACGGACTCACTGAGGCTGGGTCTTTATTTTAGCGACTTTGTCGAACGGACTTCCTGAGGAAGGTGATCCATTGGACTTAGCCAGAGGAGGCTACCTGAGGGAGAAGAGGATCCATTGGACTTAGCCAGAGGCTACCTGAGGGAGAAGAGGATCCATTGGACTTAGCTGAAGAGGCTACCTGAGGGAGAAGACGTTCCAGTTGACTTTGTCGAACGGACTCACTGAGGCTGGGTCTTTATTTTAGCGACTTTGTCGAACGGACTTCCTGAGGAAGGTGATCCATTGGACTTACCCAGAGGAGGCTACCTGAGGGAGAAGAGGATCCATTGGACTTAGCCAGAGGAGGCTACCTGAGGGAGAAGACGTTCCAGTTGACTTTGTCGAACGGACTCACTGAGGCTGGGTCTTTATTTTAGCGACTTTGTCGAACGGACTTCCTTAGGAAGAGGATCCATTGGACTTAGCCAGAGGAGGCTACCTGAGGGAGAAGAGGATCCATTGGACTTAGCCAGAGGCTACCTGAGGGAGAAGAGGATCCATTGGACTTAGCTGAAGAGGCTACCTGAGGGAGAAGACGTTCCAGTTGACTTTGTCGAACGGACTCACTGAGGCTGGGTCTTTATTTTAGCGACTTTGTCGAACGGACTTCCTGAGGAAGGTGATCCATTGGACTTACCCAGAGGAGGCTACCTGAGGGAGAAGAGGATCCACTGGACTTAGCTGAAGAAGCTACTTGAGGGAGAAGAGGATCCATTGGACTTAGCCAGAGGAGGCTACCTGGGGGAGAAGACGTTCCAGTTGACTTTGTCGAACGGACTCACTGAGGCTGGGTCTTTATTTCAGCGACTTTGTCGAACGGACTTCCTGAGGAAGGTGATCCATTGGACTTAGCTGGAGGAGGCTACCTGAGGGAGAAGACGATTCACTAGACTTAGCCGGAGGAGGCTACCTGAGGGAGAAGAGGATCCACTAGACTTAGCCGGAGGAGGCTACCTGAGGGAGAAGAGGATACACTGGACGTAGCCGGAGGAGGTTACCTGCACGAGACAAGATACTGGTCCTTGTATGGAACTGGATGTTCTTTTCATCGCTTTGATTGTGGGCAGCATATCGTTTGTACTCCTTTGTTTGATGTTTGTTATTTGCACTCGTGTTTGCATTACCACTACAGACGAAGAATCTAATGATCAATCTGCTCTAGTACCAACTAGACAAATTCCAGTGTTACAGTCATCGCTTGGCTTCAGCCTGAGTACAGTGAACTTTGTGTGACTTCAATACAATCCCACAATTGATGTTTATATGTATAGACTTACAGTGAATAACAATAACAACAACAACAACGAACATTGGTTCTATTCCAGTTTATTACAAGGACATTTTGCTATTTGATGTACACAATTTTGGGCCTACAGACGCCACAATATATCGTTTGTTGTGTAATAAATATAATTTAATGTTCTGTTGAATCTTTGGTGCAAACACATTTAACGTGTGTCACGTAACCCACAAGGTATACAGAGGTCTATTAGTCCACACTACCATAATATCCACAAAAAGGCCTAACTGTTACAATATATAAAGCTTGACAGATCAAAATATTCTTTGATAACATATTGCAAGCCTTGATGTGGCCTGTTTGAGACTTTTTGGAGTCAAATGAAAGATAAAGTACGTATCAGTCTATTGGAAATGCTATCAAATTCAAACGTAGGACTTTATTTTGCCACAAAATGTTGAAAATATGCAAATAGGGCCTGTTAATATTTTGATCCTATTTTTCTAACTGAATTACAACAATAGATCAGAAATCTTTGATTATTTTTCAAAGCATGTTTTACTTGGTGGATTCTTGGTCTACAACAAAATAATGATTTGATTTATTTTGGAAATACAAAAGAACAGAACCTAAGAATATCTATTTTATACATCAAAAAGATTTATTTGTACATGCACTTAAAAACACAAAATGCTGTTTCCATTGAATCAAGACATATCTTCAAAATGTACATCTGCCTTTACATACAATAAACATAAACTGGTGAAATCCAATACATAAAACACAAAAATTGCTCCCATGGTTCATTCTGTGACCTAGACTGTGTAACCAAATTGTCAGTGTGTGGGATGGTGGGTTCACCAAACAGGAAAATAACAAAACAAAATCTAAGTGTTTTGCCATGCCATTGCTTTGATTGTTGATGAGCCTCACAGATCATATTCAATATACGGGTATAATCCTCCACGCAGGATTTCATTCTGTGTTTCATTCACAATTCAGTATCCAATTCTTGAATCCACACAGGCTTTCATTCTGTGTTTCATTCACAATTCAGTATTTAATTCTTGAATCCACACAGGCTTTCATTCTGTGTTTCATTCACAATTCAGTATCCAATTCTTGAATCCATGCAGGATTTCATTCTGTTTTTCATTCATCATTTAGTATCCAATTCTTGAATCCACACAGGTTTTTATTCTGTGTTTCATTCACAATTCAGTATCCAATTCTTGAATCCATGCAGGATTTCATTCTGTTTTTCATTCACAATTCAGTATCCAATTCTTAAATCCACGCAGGATTCCATTCTGTGTTTCATTCACAATTCAGTATCCAATTCTTGAATCCACGCAGGATTCCATTCTGTGTTTCATTCACAATTCAGTATCCAATTCTTGAATCCACGCAGGATTCCATTCTGTGTTTCATTCACAATTCAGTATCCAATTCTTAAATCCACACAGGTTTTCATTCCGTGTTTTATTCACCATTCACTATCCAATTCCTGAATCCACACAGGTTTTCATTCTGTGTTTCATTCACAATTCAGTATCCAATTCTTGAATCTGCCGGACTACATTCAGGAATATATGGATCAGGATGGATATATTCTTTATCTTGCTTCATAATTTATAGTTCTACTCATAATCTCTTGCATTGAACTATTGCATTGTTAATATTAGAAATCTTACTAGATTTAAAATGAATCTATCAAATTCTTTGGCAGATCTTGCTAAAAATGATTTTCTGACTGACAACATGATTTATATATAAATTACCTGGCAAATGAGTTAATACTCCATTATGCCCCTAAAAACATTTAAAACCTTTTTTTGCATTGCTTAATGAGATCAACACCAGAACACACTCTACAGCCATAATTATTATGGCAACGAAATAACAATACATGATATCTTAAGTAAATATGTCCACACTTGTTAAATGCAACCAGTTATCAGTTGCAGCAAGGTGGATGACTACATGTATTCCTAGAAGACTTTGGCAGCATAACATACATAGAACATTCTTAATGAACATAGTTTAGGATAAAATCAATGTACCCTCGCGAATATAAAACCTAACTATGAAGACTTCAACCATTACTAGCATTCAATTGTTAGAACTTTAGTGGATAGGTGCCATGATTAAACATGTACTTTCCCTATTAATAAAGGCACCATCTCAACATTCATTACATTTCGATTTCTCATGTATTGAAGCTCTAAACTGCAGTTCTGATTTCATATTTAATGACATCCAGAAGAAGCCATTGGTACAGAATATCTAACTTTGACAGTTAGACATTGTCTTTAATGGATTTTGATAATACGCATCCCAACAAAAATGATCTTAATAAACCTCCATTATAAGGCCCGTAGCCAAAATCATGCAGTTTTCACCATTTTGAGCACTTCCCAAGTGATTTTAGAAATATTTAGGCCAAAATTGTCAAATGTGAACCCCCCCTGGAAAGTCTTGAAAACTGAACCCCCCCTTGGCAAATCCTGGTTACGGGCCTGATAATGATGATCTAACCACAGTTATGGAGTTCAGAAAACAAGCTCTGAAACAGTGTTTATTAGTGGTGCAAGACAAAGAGAAAACTTGAGTTGTAATTAAGTTCAATATAGTTGCTTCAAACAGATTTTACAAAGTCATGTTTTTCTACACTAGAGCTGACACGATTATTCGATCGAGGCCCTCATTGTGTCAGTTACACAAATCTACGATTATTTACTGCACAACTAGTGCTTATGACATCAAAATCATGTGTTTGTATGTGCCAGAATAAAAACAGGGGTTCACTAGAATTAGGCAATTTTCTGAAGTTCTTTTATGGAAATAGCCTGTTCCAAGGAACTTCAACTGTTTCCATGTTACAATTATGATTTCCAATAATTTTGCCTGCTGTTTCCATTCAATTAACCTGTAGAAGTTCTATTGAAACCCCTCGTTTCTTTCAAGCTTGAATTAGAGAAAATGATAAATTGTTGGCAGTATTTAACAATTGTTAAAATAATCTTTACCTAAACAAGTAAATGTACAGGGTGTCCCGAAAGTATGGCCCCCCCCCTAGGCAGACATATTCCAGTGTCCTCATAGTATGTGTCATATATCATTTGGGAGTTAAACCATTATACTTGGCAAATCAATGTAACTTTGGATAAGCTTTAAAATGATATATGACACATACTATGAGGAGACTGGAATATGTCTGCCTAGGAGGGCCCCATACTTTCGGGACACCCTGTATAATACATGTTTATCTAAATAAATGTTTCAACTTATCAAATGGTGATCTTATTAACCTCTTGAATCCCAGGCTCTAAAATCAGTTGAAACCAGTACTACCTACACAACTCTAGATGCTCAACTTGGTAAAATTAGACGGCAGAGATAATTTCTACACATTTTAAAACAATTTTTGTGTAAATTGGATGAAAATTGTTCAAATAAGAGAAATTTTAGTGCAATTTTTTGACAGATTTACTATGGGTTTCAAGGTAATTTCTGTGGGGACGAGAAATTTCTTGTCACTCCAGGTAGTCAAGAGGTTAAGGATTTGAAATCTGCTACTTCCATGATCACTTTCAACTAAGGCATCACTATTAAATGCATTGCAATTAAAATTACTCACTATCCAATGCATTGCTATTAAATCAATGCAATCTCTCTTGTATTTTCAGAAAAAAGTGACATGATTTGAACACAATCCGAAATTATGGAAGAAAATATTTGCTATCTGTGATTTTGTCTTAAACAAAGGTGCAGCAATCATTAGACAATCAATGTAAGTCTGAATAAACAAATTATTTGTTACTACCAGTACTACAATTACACCCTTTTTGACCTGTTTTAGCATTTCAAAATCTACTGTTTCATAAATATTAGACGTGGTTACTCTCAGGATCTAATGGACGTTTCTCTATACTGTCACCATTTCCTAATTTTGTGTCACCATTTCTTATTTTAGTGTCACCATTTGAAGCATCCTTGTTTGTTGCGGAATCAAGCATTTTCTCCCCAGCTGTTTCATTGAGATTGACTTCCTTCTCTACACCTGAAATTTTCATAAAACATATGTATTATTAATAATCTCGGACAGGATATGGGTTTTATCCTAATATATAGCAAAATAGTTTCTTCAGGATTGGGAATTTTATATTCAGTTAATAAAATGGTTATCTTATGGAAGATGTTGGATATGGGGTTATCCTGACCGAAATATATATAGTATCTAACTAAGTGCCAAGTTCAAAATTATATAAAAATCAACAATTCCCTCTTCTTTCAGTTTACAAATAATTGAGAATACAATTTACATGTTCATAATATAGAGATATAAATCACATCACTAAGATTTTTTCAATAATTTCGAAAATATAATTAAATTCAATTACACGTAGCATTAGTACATTTCAAATTTGTAGAAGGTAAATAAAGTATATAGGTTATGTACTGAAAGGTTTTAGATACAGGATTTATTAAGTTCATTAATTTTGGAACCTTAGAATGTACACAACACCATTCTCCCTCCTAAGTTTCAAAAATTTCTTTTGGCTAATTATTAAGAAGTTTTATTGTGAAATTTTCTTTACTTTTCTTAAATTGAGCGGAACGAAAATGGCTAGAGATGTACATCCCAGAACTTGGTGATAGTGGAAAAAATACAGAAATATTCATAAAAATCATAGGATACATTTATATTTTCCTACATGTGATGTCCCTAGAAGCTCAGCAGGAATGGGATGCATAGGTTTGACTACAAGAATGGGATATTGATTTTATTCCCTTTGGAGATTTCAGATATAGGGTTATTTTGACAAAAGGCTCCAAGATTGCCAATAGATGGCAGAAAAAGTTGTATTCAACTAAGAAACTTAACACATATAAATATATTGCCTTGAAAATACTAAGAACAAGTTGGACTGATTGGATTTTCCATTATTCACATTATCAATACATAAAATTGTATATAGTTTATCGCAATATGTTCAAGAAAGTTGGAATTTCTGTACAGTCATCAAGTTGTAATAATAAATGCAAAACAAACCTGCCATCTTTATGAGTAAAGTGCAAGGGGTGCCATAGAAGAGAACCGAATCTATTTTCTCAATATAATCATGTGAACTCCCCATATAATTTGATGTATGGTACTAAACTATAACCCCAAAACTAACAATTTATTCTCTTGAACACAAAATCATGAATTGCAAAAGAGAATAAAGGTTTTGACAATAATTTCATTCAGTGTTCATACCTCGTTTCTTGATTACAAATTTCTGCAAGATCCAATACAGTGTCAAAACACTCAAACAGAATACTGCGCAGCTCCTAAACATGACTATTGGGCTGAATGATCCATATATCAGACCTCCTAGAAGACTACCAGCACCTTTACCTAAAATGTATGCATATTAGTTTAACAATTATTGACATTTCCGATAAACCGAGCCATCTTTTAACTCACCAGAAAAACTATAATATATTGCCTATATTGATGATGTCATTGGTTGTAGGTAGCAATATGCCCATGCAAAAATAGTATTAATTAATTGCTAATTTTAAAAATCTACAACCTATGACATCATCAATCTAGCCAATATATTGTAGTTTCTCTGATGGATAAAAAGATGGCACGATTTATCGGAAACATATATTGTATTCACAATGTTTCTTTATTGAAAGTAATTTGCTAAAATTTTAAAAGATGTCACTCAAGTAACCGTTTAATACAAGAGCATGTTTCACTTTTGCTTGCTTGCTTTATTCAAGAACGTCTATTTCTATCTTAAAATCTCGCAGTCCAGAAGCTGACGAGGGGGATACATTTCAAACCCTGCATGGATATTTCTACTCACCCAGTCCAAAGTGAAGACCTCCAATCAATCCCTGTATGGTGGCTGACATACCCTTTGGTGCAACGATGCTACCATACCCAGAGGCTGCAGCATACATCAAAGCAAAGGTGATACCATGAAGCAGTTCAATAGGTAAGACATACCAGGCCTCAGGGATGACAGAGTAACAGAAGAAACGGATGGACCATCCAAGTAGGGCAAGGTATAGGCAGAATACCTGGAAAATGCATAAAATATATAGACATTACTGTATGCATGTCTGAATTATTAATATGTGTAATGATAGTGTTATTTATTCATAAAAACTACTTATGAGTTAATTATAGATGGAAGCACAAATATCTTTCGATCAGCAGTAAAGTGCAAAATGATACAATATGAATAGTGAAACCTGTAAAGTGGAATACCTTTGTTAGTAATACATTTTTCAGAGTCCCGACTCAAAACAAACTGACTTCATGTCAAATAAACCTTTCTGTTAGTGAAACACTTAAAAGTACCAAAGGAGTAGCCAGGGGGGGTGCAATGGGTGGGATCACCCCCCCCCCCCCCATAACAGATAACAATAGGAGCGTGAGATAGATAGAAAAGGGCATTAAAATGCTTTTTATTTGAAGCTTTTAGCTCAATTTTGAAGGAAATTGCATCAATTTTTGTAAAATTCAAAATAAATCTTATTTTTTGGCTTATCTATCCCACAATCGCACCCCCCCTGACTGAAAACCAAAACCGAAATTCTTTTGGCGATCGCACCCCCCTGACTGAAAGCTCGCTACTCCCCTGGGTAACAGAACCAAAGGTGCTCTGCTAAGATGGGGTTTGCTATATATGAGATCCTTATCCAAACCTTATTAGAGATAACAAATTATTACTATAAAATGCATGCATTACTAATCTGCTTTATGAACCCAAAGCAAATGAATATCTAAGTATCAGCACTTAAATGCAAAAATATACCATACAAAGTACAGGATGTAAGATGCTTATCCAAATCCAAATTTCCAATAAAATGAGCTTTATAAATAACATGGGCATGAGCTTTTTCAGATTATACATTTTATGTGTATTATGAATAGATCCAAAACAGATGGGTAGGCTATCTTATGATTACCAATTAAATGCAAAATTATGAAAAAATCCCATAGTCCACACCACCTTTGGAATGAAAGGCATAACTTCATTCAAAGATCTATAGTCTAATGATGATTCAACCATTATGTGTATTCACATTATGTACATTGCGAATGTGATCGTGATACTCTGTTATATTAAGTTTCATATTGTTTAACATAAAACATCTAGACTTTCAATGTAGACAGAATTATGAAATGGTTATGTGACGTTCGGCCAATTATCACATGATTTGATGATTTTTAGTGAATGTACACAAAATGACAATAACAATGAAAACATTTTACACATGCCAGTTAGATGCTATTGAAGTTACAAATGCCTTAACTTTCAAAAATTGATTTATCAGTTTCACAAAACTACGATTTGGGACATTACATTATTACTAGGGTGACTTATAGAGATTCAATGAAATGAAGTTATCGGGTCAAGGGACTGTGAAGTGTTCCACTTACAGAGACATTTTGTTTGACAAGTTTTACTATATAGTATATATTACTATTAGATTAGTACCTCTCCTATTTTGTTTATCACTTTGCCAGCAAATAGCAGCGCAGGGAACTCTGCCATACACGTAACTGCCAGGGCCAGTCCTATAGTGATTTGTTGAGAGCCAAGCTCTATGAGATACCTAAAATTGTAACATACACAGTGACTAACTACTATAGCAGCAATACACATAGAACTCAAAAAATACATTAAAGGCCCACTATACTTAATTTAGAAGAAAAAAGAAAAAAATAATCATTGAAACATGATACTCACACACTCGCTCAATTATAAAACAAAGTTTGATTTGCTATAATATTGAACCAAGAAAAAAATAACTCACATAGAAAAAAGCATTTGAAGTTCAGAAATCATTAGAAGTGCATGCTTTAAATTACTTTTGATTTAAAAGATGGCGACACTTCTATAAAAATGAATGTATCATGTAATACTAACAACTTCGCCATCTTTCAATGACATTGATAAAAATTTGATATATAAAGCTTGACAGATCGAAAATATTTGTAAGCTTTGATGCGGTCCGTTTGAGCTGTTGTTGGTGTCAAATGAAAGATAAGGTTCTTATCAATACATTGGACATTCTATTATATTCAAATAAAAGTCTTAATTTTGCCCAAAACATTAAAATTACGAAGTGGGCCTTTAAGCAACTGCTAGGGCCAGTCCTTAAGTAGCTAAACTTGCTTCAGTATAAAGCACCCAAGCTATTTGGTATTTCTCAAGAAGTTTTGCTCCAACACATTTTATTGATATATTGTCACACGACCTGATGTACAGGTACTTAAAAAATCAGAAATATATACATGAATCTAATAGAAAAAATAAAATGTTATTGATTTTTCAGTGATACCATTGAAAACCAGGATTTTCAAATTATCATAATTCATTGAAATTAATATAGTTGATTGAATTTAGAACATTGAATCATGAAATGAACACAAAAAGTCATGCTCACCATTTTATAAGGGATTGTGCACAATTATTAACAGCCGTAAGAAAAAGAAAGTTAATTTTGTTATGGTTCGCCCCAGCCTACCACTTCCCCACAAAATTTAAATAATGAATGATATTTCAAAAAATTCTAATTTGTTTTTCACTTGAATTAACATCCCTGGCCCTTACTCATATAATCATTTAACTGACAAAATTAGCTTAGTTCTTCCACAATTAAGTGTTGATAATTTTATGAACTATTTTACATCGTCCCCCCCACATCACCACATAAGATCAGTTAACATTTAGTCAAACTATGTATGTACTAGATGTGTCAAGGAACCAAAAAATTGGAACAGTTTGGAACATTTGGCTTCAGAACAGCACAATTTTAGAATGGTTAGGGGAGTGATTGTTTGTATTAGATTAAAACACTGATTTTCTACCTATCTGGAAGTGAAAAGCTGTTCAAAACTCTTTAATGAAAAGGAGAGAACTTCTTTCGTAACAAAAAATTGTAAGAAAAATTCTGTTTTGGGGTGATATGAGGTCCAAAAGCTGTAAAACGGTAAGATTTTCTTGTCCCAGAAATAAAATATTGAATTTTTGTTCTTTGTTCCAACCCGAGAGCCTAATTCCACAGATGGGAACAAAATGGGGTAACCATGACCCCTCTAGTATCATATGCGCAGTTCTACTTACCAGAAAAGGAATGCCTCGTGAACACCTGTCATCATACCAAACACGAACACGACTATGAGGAACACCAAAATGTCCAATCTCTTCAGCAATTGGCCCAGGTTTGACATCATGGCGTTACAACTGACGTTCTCTGTGATACGGAATGTATATGTCACAATGGCACACATAAACATCAGTGCACCAAATATATAGAAGGAAACTGAGTAGTCGACTTGGGTTTGATTTCGACTTATATGATCCATTATGAAACTAGATGTGATTGCAAATATTCCAAATCCTAATGTTCCAAACATCCGTTGCTGTCCCCATTTCCCATAAGCCCCTTCTAACATGTCATAAGTTATGGCATCATTTAATGGGAATATTGGTGCAAATGCAACATTCGCTAGAAGATTAATCGCCAGGAATAACCAAAATGTAAGTGTGACGAAACTTTGTTCAGAGATGGCACGACATGCAGTTATTGTGTTTTCATCACACACAACATTACAGATAAATGGTTCAGAGTCATTACTACATGACAATCCATGACTTACAGTTCCGCCACTTTCAAATTCTTCAACAGAAAAGCACAGACAGCTGTCAATAGCTAGTCCTTGATTTTCTAGCTTTTTCGATTTTAAAACAGTGGTACTGAAAGAGCTCATACTGTCTAATGAACTGTTGCAATCGCTGACTAGGTCCTCCATTGTTTTAAGAACATAATTCAGGGGTATCCGATTATGCAAGGACTCATTTTCATGTTTTGCATTGAGCATTTGTAACGTGAGGAGATCATGATGTGGCGGAATACAACTATGGATTTCTTGTTTGGAAAACTGGCTGTTGTTACACTGTAAATGACACTGGGACTTGTTTACCACTGGATTTTCTAATTGTCCTAGCTGACACTGTAATGTCTGATCTGTGCATTGTGACATCACTAAATGATCATTCATGCATGTAAGATTCACTTTATTGTTACTGTTATCACTAGGGGTCTGTTTTCCTTTACTAGGCACTGCTAGGATGAGTGCAAAAAAGGCCCCACAGAACAAACAGCAAAGTATCAAGCAGAGTTTATGTTGACGGAATTTATCAGCTAAAATTCCTATAACTGGTCGCACGAAGAACCCTATGAAGGGCATGAGTCCATAAATGACTGCAGTTTCTGATGCTGTGAGTCCTAGTTGTTTCATGTAGATAGAGATAAAGGGAAGTAATGTCCCCACAGCTGAAAAGCAAATTCAAATTTACTTAAAATACAAAATATGTACATATATTATTACCCTGTTGAATTCATGTAGAAAACAGCTTGAAACCCTTACAATGAGGTTTCATGCCAAATGGGTACAAGGCAGGGTGCAAAGTAATTTTTAAACAAAGCATTAAAATGCAAAACGCCACCAAATGCAATTTCTCATAGACACTGACCGTCATACCCCATCCACCAAACACAAAAAAATTGGAGACTATAACAATATGTCATAACTTTTGGTAGTGATCAGTAAGCACCAAGTTTATAGAATAAATTTGTTTTATCAAAAATAAATACATGTATTTTAAATTGTTACCTGCCAAACAGCAAAAGTAGAAAGCCTTGACTGGCAGTAGTCTCTTGTTGATGGGGCCACAGCATGCCATTTTTATTGTTCTTTATGGCTGATGTTAGACTTTCTTACTTGCTTTGATCTCAGGCTAAACGCAGCGAATATCTGGAAAAAATAAAGTCAACAAAACATATCATAAAACTGGAACATCCTGAAGAAAAAAGTCTTACTTTACTTACTGGTATTTCATGGTATAATACTGAAAGCTCAATTGGTGATTACTGGTATGATTCAGGAAACATTTTTGGAAACCATAGAATATTCCAAAGTGTAAATTTGCTAATTAAATATGTACAGCTGATAAAAAATGTAGACAAATAACAAGTATATCAAATCATTAAAAAGTGTAACAAATCAAAAATGATTACAGTATACTGTTTAGCTAATGAATACCTAATTGCTCGCAGTGTTCAGTTAAGCAAAATTCCTTTTTTCCAAGCAGACATAAAATTGTTAAACGATCCAATCATCCTTTTTTCCTGTGTAATTGTTAATATTTACAACTGAATAGACAGGAGCAATATTTTACCTTCTGTGTTTGTATAGATATTAAGAGCAATTGTTTGAAATGTATGTTGATAAAAACAGAGAATATTAAGATATGTGTTGATAGCAGATAATTTATAAATGCATATCTATTTTCTATTACATGTATATTTGAATAATTTTCAGACAAATATGAAATGGTGTGGTAGAAAAAATTCTGTTGTCAATTGAATCAGGAATGTTTTTTTTCCAGACACACAGAAACATACATGTACAGGGCGTTCAGTAAGTAAAGCTAATTTTGCTCTCAAACTTTTATTTTTTGTCATTTATCTTTCAAATTTTCAGTGAAGAAGCATTTGACATTTTTCTAGCTACCCTTAAAAATTAAATAAGATATGATGAATAATAGCAAAACAATGGTTGTCATAGTAACGTGAATACGGGTTCTGCGGAGCAATTTCTTACTTTAATAAAAATGTTATAATGCAATGAAATTGATTAAGATTAATGCTGCATGTCTTTGTTTGCTATGGCTGAAAGTCACAACAAACATAACAACAACATACACAAATATGATACCATGGCAACAGTAGTATATGACATCACATACAGATGATACAACAGATGGAATGATCCAGAATGATCCATCAAACACTGCTCCATGACATCATCAAAATCATGGCTGCCAGGATTGCCAATGGAAGCAAAATGAACAATGAAATGAAACAAACAATTGAGAAGTAGCATCAGATACAGTGATACTATGACAACCACCATTTTGCTGTTATTCATTATATCTTAATCATTTTTTCAGGATAGTCAGAAAAGTGTCTGATGCTTCTCCACTGAAAATTTGAACGATGATAGACAAGAAATATAAAAGTTTGAGAGCAAAATTAGCTTTACTTACTGAACGCCCTGTACATTAGAACCAGCTCAGTGGAACACCTCACAAGTGGAACAGTCTTTAAAGTCTCATGGCCTATCTACTCCATGTTAATGAATCTCTGTAAGTGGAACACCTCCCAAATGGAACACATTTTTGGCCCACCTTGTATTATGTAATATGAATATGTTATGATACTGATGAAATAAAAAAGAAAAAAAGAAAGAAAAAAAGAAAAAAGGAACACATTTTTTTGTGGTACCAAGGGTGTTCCACCTACGTAGGTTCTACTTTACTTGTACTTGTCTTCCAAACTGTAGATTTATTACATATTATATACTTGACACTAGTATACATAACTCATATATGAAGTTCAAATCCAATATTGATTTAACACCATCAAACACAATAGAGGCCATTGAACACATAGATAAGTAATTTATGGCTTGATTGTAATATGTTACTTAAGTGTTTAAGAAAAGTATTAAAGTGAACCAGACAAAACAATAATATACTGGAATTGGAATGAAGCACTGGCACTAACTTTATAAACATTTTGAATGAAATGAAAATAAAACCAGTATTTTCCATGTTTGAATGTTCATCTATTGGCAACAAAAAGTCAAACAATGTTATGACAAGTTTAACGTACTCTGTGGGACTCTATGGTAGGAGGTAAACCCAAGTAACAACATACCTATTAGTACTTTAAAAAATATTTCCTAACCATCCATATATATGGCCCCTAAGCATTGGGCCAAACAACTTATCCAGAAGTTCTGATGAAAATGCTGTATCTTTTTCTTAGAAAGATGCAGCGTCTCTTAGGTTTCTCTCCTGGGTAATCAGTGATGTCCCATTTAATGTTTTTTTATTAGACCATGGGAAAAATCTGATGATGTTGACCCCGGATTTACGAGTTATTTCAACAAGCCAGTCCACAAGACTGTCCATGTTTGATGGCAAAGATATGCACCAGATTTCATCCGATCGACGTACATGTACTTCATTTACTCAAGATCGCCCTCATCATTACATTGTAATTACATACATGTATAGTGTTATTTATCACTTACTTTAAAAACTGTTGTCTGATTGGTCAACATGAATCGTAGCCTTTTGTGGGTAGTGACCTAATGAAAAAATATTCAATTCCGATCGATGTAAAATTTCTGATTATTTGATTTCTAAAGCATATTATCAACCAGGTATTAAAACACAAGCCCTTCATTACTGTCCACTGTAGTAATAAATAGATATAATAAAGTGAATAATTACGTGGAAATTTAATAATTTTTTCATAAATAAATATGTGATTTAATGGTAGTATATAAGCCAAAGCGAAGATATGAAGCTGACTCCATTTTCATCTACAGTAAAAACTGTCTAATCTGAACGCCATTAGGACCGGATTCTGAAGAAATGTAAACACATTCTCGGGAAATATTTATAGTTCTTTTGACCACATAACTTTATGGCATTCCAGAATTTTTGAAAATTTGGATATTGGAATGTTGGAAGTTATGCATTAATTTGAGAGAATTTCAATGCAGTGAGTCAAATTTTTCATAAATGTGCTCATCGGTGCATTATTAGCCTACATTGGCACAAGATAAACATTATATGCTGGGTATATGTTATTTTTGAAATTTTATAACATCATTCTATATACCTGACAGAAGCAAATAACTAGATCTACCTGAAAATTGGACAGGTAGTTATTTTGGCACCAGGCAAAAAATGTGAGTGTCAAGGCCTGTATATCCATGGAATAATAATATTCATTGACTTATGTTGGCATTCACTTGTTGTTGATGTTGTAATGATACACAACGTGAGCAAAAGAATGTCAAAGACTCAGTAGCAACTAAAAGCTGACTGTGATCGTAGCCTACTACTTTTTTCAAGGCCTGACTTCGTCGCTAACATGCTAAATATAAGAGTTAGCTGACGTTTGGGAGTCTGACTTACCTTCTAAAGGTTAGAACCCGAATCTTAATGAAACCATATCACCTTTGTTGCGTCGATGATGATGCATAAACATAGCATTTGATAGAAATTAGTGTAAATGCTTTTCCGACTTTTTCATTTTTCATCAATGTTGAATCCGGGAAGGCGTTGTAGTTATCACGAAATAGCGCATTTTACTCGAGTCTCTAGCTTACAGCTAGACGAAACTTCATTGATTTCGTATGTACTGTGCTATACGCACCTACACGCACCTAGAACTCATTTTTAATAAATTTTATAAATATTTTTAAGAATATTAATCATATTTAGGATGAAGCGTTGCTTGTCTGGATTTAGATATTTCAAAATTTCATTTCGGAGTTTGACACATGGTGAAATTTTCTCGCTGTAGCTAAAAATGGCTTCCGGTTCTGGACGTGAATAACATTTGAAATTATTCTCGCTTAAAGAAATCAAATATAACAATAGATTCAGACGGGGATGTGAGCTGATGTTCTTCAAATCTATACATAAAGGTATATTTCATATTATTATGCCATATTTACTGTGCGTGTGACACAATGATTTACAATATTTATAATACTAAGGCAGCTCAATCTTCCTCCTCAAAGCCGGAATATAGAGAAGGCTTTGGGCCGAAGTAAAGCGCATTGACCCTTGAACTTTACTTTGTTGACGTGTCAACCAAGCATGTCTGGTGTGAAAATTAAAAGAATATTAAGCAATGTTCTACATCCGCCAAGCTAGCTAAGTGAAGTAGCCAATATTTAAAATTACCAATTTCAAGTTAAGTACGCAACGAACGAAACTGCGTGAGCGTGATCTACAGTCCCAATATTTGTCTGAACGAAATGCTACGTAGAAATATGAGCCGTCTGCTGTATAAGTCGATTAATAGAGTAAGACCTGTTGGTGATGCTTTATAATTTAGACCAAAACATTGAAGAACATACGAACCTGTAAATCGTGAAAACAACGAACAAATATACGGTTTTCATATATGTTCGGTAATTTTTCGTATTGAAACTTCCGGAACTTACAAGGAAATCATTCATTTTCTCGGTCCATGATTTACCTCTTGGATGTTGTGCCAAATGCTCCATGGTTGACTAGTGGTGTAACGAGTGACTCGGGTAATCGACTAGAACTCGAATGAGCCTCGAAAAATGATCAATCGATTGAAAATTTGAAAATCGTGATCCTGAAAATTTCTGAGAAAAATCGCGATTTACCCTCCATACTCACGATTTAAGCAAGGAATGTAGCTGCCTTTACGTTTTTCTAATAAATTACATACTTCTGAGTATATTCTACAGATTGTTTATTTGATTTAATGGTCATTTGATGAGAATAACGTATGAGAATCGTATTCATTGCTTTTTATGTTTGTTTACATCCGGTATATCGCATGCGCATATGTATTTTGACGGAAGTGGAAATTTCAAAGTCGAAAAAATCTATAAAAGGCTTATATCATCGCTAATATACGGTAAATGTGCGTCTAAAACATCCAAAACGGAACCCAATCCGTTCAGAACTACATCATTGAATGGTCATTAAACCAAAAGTCGATGTAAGTAGTTACAAATGCCTTGATTTTCCAGGTTCTAATTTTTTGTCAATTTTTTTAAAAAATAATCGCCAAAATCGTCTACTCGATCGTCAAATTTATCATTCTACTCGAGTAGAGATTTTGGTGGCGAGTCCCACCACTATGGTTGACCGAACAAAGGTGATATGGTTTCATTAAGATTCGGGCTCTAACCTTTAGAAGGTAAGTCAGACTCCCAAACGTCAGCTAACTCTTATATTTAGCATGTTAGCGACGAAGTCAGGCCTTGAAAAAAGTAGTAAAAATAAAATTATTCAGATCCAGAAAAGAAATATTATTATTACAAACTCACCTTCTAATTCTCTCTTGGAGGTTGTGGCGAGGGGAACTGCTTAGATGTCTTCCGAAAACTGTTTATCTAACAGCCGAATATAAAGTCAAGATCTAGTGCATTTCTGGATAAAGTACAAGATATTATGTATCAAGTTCAACCAACTAAACGTGTACTTCACATGTAATCATTTTCTAATGTTGAAGCGGTAATGCATAAACATTGTATATCACGAAATAAAATAACGTAAAGCTGATATGTAATAGAAATGAATGAAAGTCAAGCTTTGATATCAAGTATGAAAGACATGAAATAAATCAGATATTTTGATAAATCATATGCATTTTTCATCTTTGAAAAATTCCTTTAGAATAAATATTGCCAGTGAAGATTTATTTCGTGACTTAATTATTCCTTCTAATATTTTCAATGCTGTTAGCGGCTTTCAGAAAAATGGATTTTTTAATTTCACCAAATTTTCTTCATTTATCCTTGTTTTTAGTGGCTACTTTGACATTCTTTTGCTCAAGTTGTGTATCGTTAGAAAATGAAAATACTGCTACATTCAAAATTGAAGGAAAAGTTAATATTCCTTTCACTACGGGTCAGGAATGGCTAACTCATACCAGAATTTTGCTTGACGGTGGTGAAAAAATGATTGGTTTTTTGAAGTAAGTATGATCACTGGTTCCGACCTGTTTAAGGAAGAAAATGTATCAACTTCTCGAAAGAAAATCTTTATTTTCATCCTTTTCATCTCGAAGGATGTTGAAAAGATGTTATGAAATTCACTAGATAATGTCCCGGTTGCTGAGGTGAGGGAGTTCTCACTCGATTATTGGAGCTGTTGGATATATTTGCTCATGACTGACTAGCTCTTTAGTACCTGGATACAAATATTAACATACTGATGCAATATTTGAATACAAATAACCCCTTTGTTCAGGTGATAAAAGAGGAGGGAAAAATTCCAAATGCTACACTTCGTTGTGATGTTTTTATTGATGTAGGAATATTCCGTACACCTTTATCTTGCGATGAAATAAGAAGCTATGGTATTGGTTAATGTATCAGAAATGAACATAATATTTCGAAAATTTTGAGGTTGCCATTTTGTTTGTCAAATCGTTCAATAGGATTGTAAAATTGAAGGAACTAAATTAATTTAAGTCAATAGATAAATGTAGCATTGTGTAAATAAAACTTTTTTTAACTCTGTCTTTTCTAATGTAAATATGTTGTAAAAAAGAAAGTATTGTAAGTATTGGTGGTTGAATAAATAAACAAATACCAGAACAGTTCAATCCCATAATACATATGATAAATATACAGCTACTTTATGGTCACACAGTATTCTTCTTCCATGTGCCTGTGCGATGGTACTTTTCTAATGAATAATACGATAAATATACAGCAACTTAAACTAACATATTCTTCTTTCAGGAGTGATGGTACTTTTGTTGTGAATAATCTAGCACCAGGTTCTTACCTGGTCCAAGTAGAGAATCCTGACTACGCCTTTGAACCCTGCAGGGTTGATATCACTTCTAAGGGAAAAATAAGAGCACGAAAAATGAACAATGTGCAAACTTCAGCCGTCCAGTCGCTGCCGTATCCACTAAGATTCAAAGCAAGGGCGCAAGCTCCTTATTTCCAACAGAGGGAACAGTGGAGAATCACAGACATGCTAATGAACCCTATGGTATGGAAAAGCAAATTTTTGATCGAATCATTTTCAGCGATTTTCACCTTCTTGACTTAAGCTTTGTGCAATAAATTAAAAGAGTTTAAGTTAATTCATATATTTCCTATCATCTTTAACTTAGAACAACTGGCATGTAGCTTCAGTTGTACACTTAAATAAATCCCACATGAACATCCTCCGATCACAGGGCTTCAAAATCCAGAATATATTCTTTCTTTTTACCCCCTGCGATAAGCAGTTAGCATTTCACCGATTAAGAACTCGCAATCTGATTGACTGTCGCAACACTGCGACAGAAATCATGTATAAGTCATTACACATAATTAGATCAAGTGATTCAGTTTAATCGGGGGCTTCAAAATTGGTTATAGCAGGGGAAAGAATGAGGTACGGATTCTGGATACCTATTAGGAGGATGCACATGAAAAGTTGTATAGATTTACATTGAGACTCTTATTTTGATATCTCTATGTTGCCATGATTACAGGTGTTAATGATGGTGCTACCAGTCTTACTATTAATGGTTCTGCCCAAAATGATGAATGCAGCAGACCCAGAAACCCAAAAGGTATGTGAAGATTATCTGAAGTACATGTATATGAGAATCTGTTTTTGGTTCAAATTTTATAGGCTGATGCCTTATGAGCATATAGGAACATAGGGAAGGGACATATGGGTTTTCTCAAAAAGCAATTTCCAAGATGATTGCTGAATTCAAATAGTCCACCTCATTTTCCCAGAAATATAATGTATGATATTCAAGTACCTGGCACCATTTGTCAGATTTGGTTCAGATTTTATATGCCTATGAGTACAAGAAGGAAAGCTGAATTCAAATTGGCCAATACCTCACTGTCATAATACATCAATAAGGAATTTACACTATGGCTTCACAAACATCATGAGTGTTGAATATTTTGTCAAAAGGAGACAATACTACACTATACCTTTTTATTTCTATCATGTTGACTGTTTTGATGAGTGATTCGATATGTTTGGTGGACATTGACAAGTTTGGAGGTCATAAGTGGTGACATATTGCGATGATGTTTGGCAGTTGGTGTTTGGCATTTAGAGTTGGTGGTTGGTGTTCATTGTCTGTAGAAATGAGGGTTGGTGACATTTTGCATTTTAATGCCTTGTAACTCATATAATGTTTTTTTATTTCTGTTTTTAAGTCATGTTACAAATACATTTTTAATGTTACAATTATAAGATACAGTAGTGCCACATATTTTCCAAAATTGTGGGTATAATCAGTGCATGAAATAAGGATTTTTTTAACCTAGACATTTTGGCAGGCCTGCCAGATTTTAACAAGCCATATCATTTTTTTCTCAGGCCAATTTTTGGCAGGCTGTTTCTTCCTTCTCTGGCCAAAAAGTTCACTTACCATATTTCTCCACAACCACTCTAAATTAAGATTTAGTTTAGTACAATATTAACAAAGATAAAACTAATTGCATATTGCATGTCATGTATCATTCACTATACTGTACTTGATGACTTAACCAACAGCCTGAGTGTGTTGATTCCCCCCTAGATTCACCTTGCAAAAACATGAGGAACATGTACATATTGATCAAACTAAATTGTACTGATTTTGGTCGGTTTAGAATTGCTCAGAACTCAGAAGCTTCAAGGTATTCAAAAACACATATTATGTACACAGACTCCACTAAAATTCAAGGTATATATTCTTGGTGTCACGGTCAAAAAAATTCGGTACGGTTTGGATCGGTACAAATGGTCTCGGGATACGGTACTTTCAGGACGGGACGGGACAGACAGAACACTAAAAATGATACAATCGTCTGATGATGACAGTTTCACTTTCACTTTCAGTTTCACTTTTCAAAATCACATTCAGAAATACGTCAATTAAATCAAATATAAAGCATCTGCCGCGAATGTGATCGGCATTTCACATAGTCTGCATGGTGTACTATCACCAATTCGTTTACCTTGTGATATCGGAGTCCCAAAATACTTCCAAACTGCCGACTTTTTCGACTTAGATGCCGGCTCAATTTTTCAATTTCTTTCCTACATCCGGCATACTGATAATGCACTCGATTTGCGAACGACAATTAAGAAATGAGTCATTCATAGCCAATCAAAATCACCGTAATTTCAACAAACAACAACAGCCAATCGAAAGTCACGTTATATCTTGTGCTTCGGTACCAAACAAAAGTCATGAAATAAGCCGAAAACGCAGGGAATTCGGAGGATTTCCGGACTGATATGTAAGTTCTATTCATGGGCAATCTAACGAATGCCACAAATGTCTAGCAGGCCAAAATGTCTGGGTGTTTTTATCAAAACAAGCCATCTATAATTTTGTCAGGCCAATGGCCGATGTCGGACGTCTATTTCGCGCACTGATAATATGTTTTTCCTTATAGCTATTTCCTTCTTCAAAGATTGTAATATAACATCTATAACATCTAAAAACTCATATAATGTTAACATTCCAGGAGATGCAGAACTCCATGAGCATGTTCAGTGGGGCAAACCAGAAATCAGCAGCAGATAGCTTCGATCTCTCCAAGAGTCTCACTGGATTGTTTGGCACCACTTCTCCAACTTCTAAGAAAAGGAAAAATAAGTAAAAATAGCGAGAGATGGATTTAAGTTTAACATTTGGATTAATCACAGTGAATTATGGATGTATTTAATCTATATGGAAGTTAATTACCTCCATTTCTGGATATATGAATTATTTCAACACATTCAAAGTCAGATGGACTCAACCTAAATATTGACTGAGTATATATGATACTTCATGATGTTTCCTCAACATACCTTTACTATTTCTGATTTGTTATTACTCATTCCTTTGCGGATTGGGAGTGTAGCATTGGCAAATTCCTGATTCTGTGATACTTTCCAGTGCCCACCAGGAATAGACAATTGGGAGACACCCATAGGTCTAAACAATTATCATTTTATCACTTAAATATTTTTATTGTTTATATTATATTACCCAAAAGATTGTTTCAAACCAACTAAGGAATGATCAAACAGCATGAGCAATTATCATTTTATCGCTTAAATGTTTTTATTGTTTATATTATATTACCCAAAAGATTGTTTCAAACCAACTAAGGAATGATCAAACAGCATGAGCAATTATCATTTTATCGCTTAAATGTTTTTTTTGTTTATATTATATTACCCAAAAGAGTATTTCAAAACAACTAAGGAATGATCTAACAGCATGAGTTCAGACGTTTGATCTAGCAGGAAGAATACAGATGTTAGATTGCTTTTAAAGAATTTGCATTCAGGCATACTCAGATTGTACATGTTATTTTGACTAATTGTTTGAAAATATCTCAAAAATTTGTCCTTAAAGACTAAGACATCTGCAGGCTGATCAGACAATTCTATAAGTTATTGTCTCGATATTCTGTCTTCGTCTCTTCCAATACGGAATTTCTCGAGCAGAATATATCCTGTATTACACTTCAAATCATTCAATAACGTTTTTATCGTGTGATCCTCTGTATTGCTACTGAGATTGTTCCCTCAGTACCAATATTTTCTGTATTGCGACGGAGATGATCAATGGGGACAATCTCAGTAGCAATACAGATTGGTACAGCACAAGAACTGACCAATCAGAAGGCTTCATTTTACAGATCATACAATAATATGCTGTACGATCATCCAGGAAAAATGGAAAATGTGTGAATATGGTGTAGATAGTGATTTTTACATTTATCCAAGCTCAGACTGAAAGGATGTCATTGTGCATCATAGATATCAGGCCTACTGGACAAAATTGTATTATGGACCTGTTGTCTTTCTATTTTCCTTTGAATGCAATAATAAATTTAAATAAATAAAACATTTTTTTTAAATTACCAAACAGTCAATCTTTCTAATTTTCACATATTTTGTTATACAAGGTATATCAGTATAAACTTCACCTAGATTATTTTCTTGATTGTAGAAAAAAAGTCGGGTCAACTCCCGAACTGCTGTACTTTTTGTAAAATATTCAGAAATTAAACGATGAGAGGAGATAATTTTAAAATTGTGTCACATTTAAAAAAAAATTAGTCTCTAAGCCTTCTACTTCCATTATGCAAGTCAGCCTAGCATTTATAAGTGAGGCAGTGCATGAGTTAAACAGTATGCAGTTCAACATTGGAACAATGTCAAGTGAGCATTGCATAATATGCCAAGGGTACATGGTATCACCTATCAATGATGGCTGGATAATGGATATGCTAAGACCCATTTTATCAAAACGATAGAATTCAACTGGTAACATTTTGACCTTGTTTGACCTACTAAAGTCTGACCCTGTTTTAGAGCCACCTATTTAGCCTTGCTCAAGTTATAAAACACAAAATCCTGCATAAGTAAGGTTATTGTTTAAAAGAAATGAATGAACCTTAGGTCAATTTTAAGATGCATGTTTACTTTTTGCAATACTAGTATATGTTTTCTAAATTGTTTTCATTTTGTATTTACTTTCTTTGTAATACTGTATCACCTAAATTTCATATAACTCAATTTTCAATGAAATGTATTTGTATATACCGTGCATTGTAAAGTATTGTCAATAAATGTGAAAAATAAATTATTAAAACATGAAATATAACTGTTTGCTTGAAATGGTCTTGCTGCAAGCTCTGGACTCCCCCCCCCCAAATCTACTCCCCACAAGAGGTAGTATCCGTCCATTCTTAGGGATATAGAGACGCTGCCTGTCTATTTGTACGTTTTACCGTTCGTTTGTCATACTTGGCAATAACTTAGATACCCGTGAAGGATTGTATAGAAATCGTCAATCAACAACAATGAAGTCATTAAACAAGTACTTGTTAATATCGAGTTCGTATTTCCTTGATTTCAAGCTATTTCAATCAGTTTTTTTATATGTAACAAAACGAAGTTTTCCACAATTTGACACATACTATATAGTAATACATAGTTAAAACTAAGCATTTATTAATAACATTTTAATTGATCTAGCCTTTTCCACCTAAAAATACAATTCTTCAAAGTTTTTAATCTATGCCCTATGCTCCAATCGGATCCTTTTTTATTCGCGGATCCTCTCAGGAGAGAGAAATCTGCTTATAGCTATAACTGTATAAAACGCCTACAATGGTTTTCCATGAACTGTGATTTGGGGAATTGATCTAGTTTAGCCATTCTAATGTTTGGGAGTTGTTTTTTCAACTGGGATAACTAAAATTTGACCTAAAAGCAAGAAGACTTCTTATTTTGTTGATTTTCCAACTTTTTTGTTTATTATCATGATTATAGACATACTTTTTTATTTTCTTGGTGGTTGCAGAGGTGGAATGCCGTTGGAAGTTTTTGGTGATGTTCATCTGGAGGCCGTTGCATAAAACTATTCATTATTGCAGTATTATCACAGTGATTATGAAGTGTTTCTTTTTAATTTGAATATCGAAGGAAGCTTAATCTGTTAATTAAAGTTAGTTGGAAGGTCAATTTTTCACTCCACTTTTGGCGATTAAAAGTCCGAGGAGAAAATTTAAAAGTTATATGGATTGGAGAACTAACTACAAGTTCGCTCATCACTCAGATTAAGTACCTGTAACATGCTAGTCTATTGGCCTGCTAAACGTTACATGACAGAAACGATTTGTCAAGCAAAGCTTATGGTGAACGGACAACTGCTAATGAACATATAGTTCTGCAAAATAGATTTACAACAAATAAGCATGCAGTTATTACCATATTAACTGCTGTAAATACAAATCACTTAACTTTGCATTTTTTAAATGTCTAAGCTTAGAATAATATTGGCCGTTCATTTTTATGTATTACTCATATGCGTAATTATGGTTTTATTTTTCAAACCTAACGTCTATGATGTGATACAGAACAGAGCCACTGACATTGCAGAACGCGCATTCGCTCAAAAGAACCAAACACACAAACAGATTTCAAAACATTACAAGATATTGTGTTGGATAATGACTAGTCCGACGGATTTAGAAAAACGAACAAAACACGTTAGGGATACATGGGCAAAACATTGTGATATAGATCTATACATGAGTTCTCAAGAGAATACAACATTTCCAACCGTAGGGTTGAACGTAACTGAAGGACGGGCTCATATATCCATGAAATCTAAGGCAGCGTGGACGTTTATTTATGAAAATTATTTAGAAAAGGCTGATTACTTCTTAAAGGGAGACCCAGATACTTTTATTGTTGTCGAAAACTTGCGAAGGATGCTTCAAAATTACAACCCAAATGATGCAGAAATATTTGGACATATGTTTTATTTAGGAGGCGGGAAGCATAATGTATACATGGCTGGAGGACCTGGTATTGTGGCTAGCAGAGAGTCACTGAAAAGAATGGTTGAAATAGCATTTAGGAACTCAACTTGGGAAAAGGATTGCTTTCCTGATGGAGATTGTAAGCTCGATTTCTCTTTCAATAACAGACAACAAAACAGCCTATTCTGATCTGCATTTTCATCAGTTTACTCAAAATTCGGTCCTTTGAAACAACTGCAAACGAGATGACAAATTGACAATAAACAGTCGATATCGTCATTGGGTCGTGACTCGTGAGGCAAGCGGCGAGGCAATCAGAATTGCCTCCCCAAAATTTAACAAAAGCACGTTTATTAAGATGCTTTTAAACAAAAAGTTATGAAAAAGTGTGGAAATTAAGTCCAATAGACTAGATGCGAGTAGAAATGTTCTTGATTTACGTCATTAAATATTCAAAATTCAGTCAAAGTGATGTCATATTTGAAATACATATAAAAATATGGTTTCGAAAATTGTTTATCAACTTTGAAAATTTAATATTTTTTGAAAATGTGGCTTCTAGTTTGGGTTGATTCCCCGTAGACCCCATATTACAAAATCACAGATAGTGAAATATCTTTTCTTGTATTTGACATATAACATTTTCTTTTACTGGACACACTTTAATTTGCATATAACTATTCGATACATTAGGGTTATATGAAAATTGAACCACTAAAACAGATGTAATTCAAGTTAAAGGGAACTTTCTACTATACCCGCCATGCTATCTGACCCGAGCAAGCCACCTGGTGGTGAAACCTACTCGCATTTGCGTTATTATAGTATCTTATATTATTCACTCTAGATTATTTTACCTTTTTAGATTTGCCTCACTTATTTTCATATGTTACACATCACTGAATTGTATTGATATCTTTTATTATTTACAATTCACTCTTCATTTGTTTCTCACTAAAAATCGATTTTTTGAACCATTAATATTCAATACATGCGTTGACTCAGTAGTAAACAATGCATCTATCTAGCAGGTACTTAGTTGCACACATTATACAGCTTTTATGAAACAATAGTGAATGACGATAACTATTCCGCAATATAAACATTTTTCCAATATTGCGAAAAATGATGGCAGGTTTATATTCGTTTTTTTGTCCGGTGCAATCGTAATTATGATTTCGGGACAACTAAGGTCTATTTTATGACGAACAACGGAACAATGTCTTGCGACATATATCTTGTAATTGACGACGGTTCCAAAAACTGCCCCCAGTCATTGATCGCCAAAAAGTAAGGCAATGGTTTTCTCGGGGTCCGTTTTTGGAACTGTCGTAGTTTATAAAACCATGACATCTCATTTCTTCTCAGCCCTGATATGTTTCTGGTGAAACATAAAGATTCTATGATTATAAGAATGCTTGACTTATAACTTTAAAATTGTTTGTTATAGCAGAGGACTTTAAGTCCTGTAACTGTATGATAAAGGCTGGAGCAAAGCCTATCAATTGCACAGATGAGTTAGGCAGGGAGCGATTCCTCGTCTATCCGCCACATACTTACATCCAACGGTTACTGGGGGGCTGGTACACAAAGGCGTACAACGCAGACAAAGGAAAGAATCAGGTTTGAAGATTTAATCATGTCTTTGGGGCTGAGACTGTTTAAATGGAGGTTAAAGCTTTGGTCATATTTGATCTACGGCAACCGTATGATGGACGTAGTTTCCCCCAAATCGAGAGAAATGTGCAGCATGCAATATAGGGATAAGCAATTACGACGTTCATTTTCTATATCAATTATTGAATCTACGCCCGCCGTTTAGCAAATGTTACATGTTTGTTGGAGATATCGATATCAGCCCCGGATATCAGCAACGTATCGGTGTATTGAAATATTTTCTGTCAAGTCCTCATTGTACATGTTGATATTCTATGCAACACGCTTTCCCATAGCCTTGCCCAAGTCGGTATTTTTTACTTATCCTGATCTTGAATTATTACCATAATAGAAATCAAGATAAGTAAAAGAGACCGATTTGGGCAAGGCTAGCTTTCCCAAAACACGCATGAAATAGCAATACACGTTCTTTTTTCCAGGGACCCAACTGTTGCAGTGAATATCCAATTGGCTTTCACTACATTGGACCTTCGATAATGTACGACATGTACTATTATTTTTATAAAACCAAAGTGGATCACAAATTCGATAAAATAGTGGACGTTCACATGCAAACGTGAATGCCTTGTGAATCTGATAATAGAAAGGGATCAAGCTACACGCTTTAGGAGAAACTCTTACGCAGACGTGTAGATTTAGGGTCCTTTGGGAGTAAGTTCTCCACTTCATAAAGTCAAGTTGCAGATTGAAGCGAATGATTAAAAATTATGAATTGCAGCTTTCGTAGAAACGAAATTCCAAACTTCTACAAGCCACTCATCACTTCTTACGTACAAAAGCCACTCATCACTTTCAACTTACACAAGCCACTCATCACTTTCAACTTACACAAACCACTCATCACGTTCAACTTACACAAGCCATTCATCATTTTCAACTTACACAAGCCACTCATCATTTTCAACATACATGAGCCACTCATCACTTTCAACTTACGCAAGCCACTCATCACTTTCAATTTACACTAGCCATTTACACTTTCAACTTACACAAGACACAATCCACTCACTTTCAAAAACAAATCCAAAGCAGAATGGCAGGAGGCCACTCAACATACAATTTTCAGAGAATTTTCAACGTACACTTTTCAAAATGCGTATCTCAACTTGAACACTTGTTTTGTGATAACCAGATATCTCTTTTTCAGTCACTTTTATTATCACTATGATATTTGAAATATTGCTATTTTCAAGCTATCACATCAACGTAACATTCTCTGTATATTACAGTTAATTATGATTGAAATTTATTTCATATATTGATGTACTTTATCCAATGCATTGTGATAATCTAGACAATTCAATAAACAATATCAAAAATCAATTCCGCAAATAAGTAAACATTGTTTACTCTTACAAAAAAGCATTTCATTTTGTCTGATTTCATTGGTTTTTGATACAATTTGTAAAGTTCATGTTTGCCGAACATATACACGTACAGTAGTCTAGATATTGGCTGTGTATATAATAAAGTTCAATGTCATTTATATCTATTTGATATTGTCATTGGAACATTTTTGCTTGAAGTCTGTTAAATTACATTGTATAAAGGGAATAGAGTTGATAAATATTCATTGTTTGCATTTATTTTTTAGTAGCATACATTCACCACAATGAATGTAAAAATAAAAAATCCATAAAAAATGAATACATGTACATGTACTGGAATTGTTGTTTCATATAATATGCAATTTTATTTATAATATTGATGTTAAAAAGCGTAATATCCAATACATACATGTGTAATATTATACCAAGGTCCTTAGTTCAGGTGTGTATTATATTATACACAATGTAATATGCTACTCTTTTATATGACAATAGTTCTGGACAGATCCTATCTGACATTTTGAATATAACAGTTGCTTATTGTTGAGATAACGTAAATTGCTTTAGTTTGGCACTGTCAATTTAGCAAAGGCACTTTTTGAAATTTTGGCTGTTATCAAAATTGGAGGATAGAGCCATCAGGAAAATGAGGAAATTGGAGGGCTAGCTAGTACAAAGACGCAAATAGTGCTCAAGTTTTTCAAAACGCAATCTCCGTAACAACATGAAAATGGAGCACAGTACCATTACATATACATGTACAAGTATGTCTTCCTTTTATTACAAAAAATGATGGCTGCTACATGGAAAAGTCACTGGACGAAAGTCCCTGGGGATTCCAAGGGATCTTTTAAATAATTTGGTGGAGACTTAATTTGGAGATTTTTACCTTTACACCAAATTAAAAATGCCATCAAATAAAAGCAATTTACAGTTATGCAACCAAAAGCAAAGTTGCAATGGACCACAACATCAAGATTTTTCCTCTAATTTGAGATTTGGTTTCAAAATAAATGTTATTGCTGTTGCTGTTCGTTTTGCAGTAACAACAATTGCTTTGCTTTCAAATGACTCGGTGACTGTTTTGAACAAGCCTGCCAGCTCCTTAGACTCTGAAGCTTCTTCATTCTGGAAATAAATACAAATAAGAATAGCTGCTAATTTTGCCATAACCTTTGTTATAAGCTTTAATTTTCATACCACTTCCACAATGGTTACCATAGGAGCCCTGGCATTATCAATTCATATTTCTTGCAAAAAGCATCTATTTTTTAATTTCATAAAACATGACAAAATGTAAAACACTTTGCCGAGGTACATATAAATATTCTTTTGAATAAAGAGTATCACCAAGATTGTACGACTGTATCAAAAGTAATTTGACAATTTGATGAACTATTTTCTGAACACTATATATTGATTTTTTTATCAAGGCAAGGTAATATCTCTAATTTAAGAGTGAAGACAAAGCTGGTTGTATCAAAGGGTACCTGCTTGTTTCCCTGCATTTGTATCTTTTTGCTGAAATTCCTAGACTCTTGCAGAGATACCTGCACCTCAATGTTTCCCTTGTCTAACCAGTCTGCTATCTTCTTTATTGCTAGCTCTAAATGGTGCTTGTTAATCGATGACTGCAATCACATAAAATTGAGGAATAAATAACTGGAGTCCCTTATCAAACCAGGAACAAGGCATTAACATGCATAATGTCACCACCAGTCATTTGATACAGATGCTGACTGCCTAACACCAACCACCAAGCATCATCCACAAAAAAGTTGGAGACTATAACAATATGTCACCATTTCTGGTGTTGACATAAAAATGGTAGATTTTATCAAGCTTGTGACAGAGCTGCCAAACAAATAAGCTCACATCTGAGCAGTCTTCCTGGTTTGTATACAGCAATAAGTACCTTAACTTGTATTTACAAGCTCACTGAAAGTATCGCACTGTACTCAGCCTTTAAATCAAGTAATGTCAAATCCATAGGCCTATTGAAGAATGTATCAATTGGAGCAATTGGGTGCAAGTCTGTTGAAATTCAAGAAAAATTAGGATGGTGCATCCTGCTGAGAAAATACAGGGAGATCAATGTAACCTCTAAGGCCAAAGCTCAAGATTTTTGTTTTGATTTTGTTTTATTTAATAATCTTTTAATTAATGATAAAATAAATAAACATGACATAATATAAACCAAAATATCTGAATATTTGAATGTATTATAATTACATAAGATCTTGTACCTTTAATGTAAGTTCCTTTAATTTAATTGGTTTCATCTTTTTCTTTAAAACTGGATCTTTCATAGGACGAAATTGTTTATTGATTTTTGAACTAGTTCCTAAGGTAGCATCTTCATTATCCTCATTATATACACCATCCTTGGAATCCCTTTGCAGGCTAACAGGGTCTGTATGAATTGACTGTCTCTGTTGACATTGTGACCCTTGTCTAGAAAGTATTGATGAAACCTGACATGTCCTTTGATAGCCTAGGTGGTCAATAGAAATATTTCCCCAACTTTGCATATTTCTACAAGCTTGGAATCCATAGCTCAGCCTGGTTGTGGAGAGGATGATCTTCACACATTGTGCTCTGGATATAACTGTTTTAAGACTCATGGTTATTGTAAGTTCTACAAATATATAAAAACATAATAATATTATATATAAATATAACATATATCTTAATCATCGTTTTCTTAATGTTTACTAAAGACAATCTATGACTGATTTAGTGCTATGATTCAGTTCTATGCATATTACCATGGCATAGCAAACCTTGACTTTGATTCCTCTTATTTTCAACAGATAAGTGTCACCATGGGTGTCCCCAAAGGGGGGGGGGGGGGGGGTGATGAATTGGGTGCGAGTGCGACCAAACCTCCTTTTTGAGCTTGAAGAACTATGAAGAAAAATGCGTGAAGAATATGTGGAGAAGCTAGGCGTTAAGTGCAATCATGGGCTTTCAACTACATGTATTTCAACTATTTTTGTTATTTAGATGTAAAAAATAGGTTAGATCTTAGATTCTACGTGTGCATGTTATTTGTGCATCGTATATCTTCTACATGAAAAAAAGGCCTGGGAACAGTAGTTTTTATGGGTCTATTTCTCAACAAATATGCTCCCATGTCACAAATAAGAATCAAATACTAGGGGGACTATATATCAAAAATAGAACAGGAGTAATATTATCTACAACCGAACCAGATGCAGATTCCTCTAAACCCGATCTGGTAGAATGGTGGGTGATAATTGACAATGTCGGTGAGTGTAAAAATATCTAAAACGACGTCTGTATAGTAATAGCTAATTATTTTCAATGATTCTCTAAAATGAGGAACGGCAACTAATTGCTTACCTTATTGCAAGGATTCAGTCTATTAAAAGTACCCTTATATTACAGTAAATGTACAATAATGCAGTAATTTTAAATATTTTTTATGGACGCCGCCATCTTGATTTGGAGTTTTATTTCATAAATTGTTTAGTAGTTATTCAAAAGTGAAAAGTACTCGTCAAGCATGGTAGATAAATCCATCAATTTACTAAAATAATATAATAAATATTTTTAGATGATTTAATTATATAATTAAATTAATAAATGTGATTCGTTTATCTAGAAAATATGATTAAATTTATACGTGTATTCGGCTAGGATTTCATGCTTGGCAAAATGGCCACCGTTGAACATCAACAAGAAGAAGAATGGCTTTACGGTGGTAAATATTGACTTTCTCTTAAATATTATGTGTTCATAATGCTCCCTAAATGCAGATCAGTATTATGAAATTACCTTGTTCAAATGACGATAAGTCCAATAGGCTATACCTTCTCAACTTGTGAATCCAAAATGCAAATGGTCAAAGAAAATCAAAATTATTTTGAAAATAATTTCAAACCTGCACCTCTCTTAAAAAGCATTCGGGCACCTCTCTTTAAAAAGCATTCGTGGGTTGTTCTGAAGTACCTAGTGCTATTTTCAGCTATAAAAGAGATTATAGGCTACAATGATGAAGATATGTGGCAAATGTTGCCATAAATACTCACAATAAATTTGTCATTATGAGGATTGTTCCTTCAATAGATCTAGTTTGTATGTTTGGCGACCATCCAATTTTTTTCGAGGTCTCCTTTGCCAAAAGCAGCGCACAATAGGAGCCTTAGCGACTACTTTGCGGGAGACCTCAAACCATTGATCACGTTTGCTCCTGTAATAATTCACTTCTTCACCTCCTTCCACCTTCATTTAAATCATTCGATCATAAAAGAATATCACGGGACTAACTACCAAATTAGAATACTGAAATTAATGTGCATTAAATTACTCACTCGGGTAAAGAAAAACACGGTAGTCATGTCATTATCCTCACTTGGCATGCAGTAGACATGGTTCAAATCCCCGCACAACCTTTTTTTATGTTTTGACTAAATCAAATGGTTTTGCTTTGAAATTATGCAGAAAAAAGTTTGTAACCATATCTGCTTAAAACAATGGTATTATTAGTTAAAAAAAATAAAAAAGGTTGTGCAGGGATTTGAACCATGTCTATCGCATGCCAAGTGAAGTTAAGCAGTTAAGTCAGTTTTATAAAATATGAAAATAATATATGTCAAAATAATATGAATATTGCGTTTTAAAGGCTTTTATTTAAATTTAGTTTAGTCACAAAGTGGTAGAGCTTGAGCAAACATTTCTCATTATTGCACCACATTAGGAAATGGTTTCATTTTTCGGAAGTACTGAAACTGCTCACAACTTATATAAAAGTGTGTGTATGATATTATGTATAACCATCAACTGTTTATTTGCAGATAAGAAGGAAGCTGGGGCAGGTGACGCAGAGGGAGAACCAGCAATACCAGGGTAAGATTGTTCAAAATGTTGATGTATATTGGGCTACTGGTCCGTAGCTATCTTTTGCCAGGGGCACTTCAAAAGTTCCAGGGGGTTCACATTTGACAACTTTGGCAAAATTACTTGAAAACTGCTCAAAATGGTGAAAACCTGCATGATTTAACTTATCATAAGTCATACTAGACTATCCAAAATTTGAAAAATTATTATTGCTGATAATTTTGTATATAAAATGCATACATGTATGTACATTTGTAATAATTCTTTGTACCAAAATTCCAGAGTTGATCCACCTAGCAATCTGTCAGCGTCTGCTGCACCGTTCACCCCCACAGCCAACAACGGCACTGCAAGTGAAACTGTACGTACTAGGAATTCATGAAATTTTGTAAAGATTGATATTTTAATTGTCATCTTTTTCTCTTTAATTTCCAGTTAATGATGATTTTTTAAATTTTCTCACACTATCATTAAGGTGCAAGAGATCTTTACTCAAAACTAATTGTCTATTAAGCTCATTTTCAGAAGTAGAAAATAATTAAATGCCAACTTAGCTAATGCTGATCCAAAACTGGTGTCATATCTATTGACATTAATGTAAAAAGAGGGGAGTGTAACAAGGAGATATAATTAAGAATATATTGTAGCTCATGGTCATTTTGCGCTTCAAAATGTAATATTTATTTCGTGTGTCTTGTTCCCCTATATAATTGAAATGTCTTCTCATACATGCAAATAACATCCTCCTAAGCAGGTATCCAGTATCCGTACCTCCTTCTTCCCCCTGCTATAACCAATTTGCATTTATGCGCAATGACTTATACATGATTTCTGTTGCAGTGTTGCGACAGCCAATCAGATTGCGAGTTCTTGATCGGGGAAATGCTAACTGCTTATCACAGGGGGTAAAAAGAAAGAATATATTCTGGATTTTGAAGCCCTGTGATCGGAGGATTGTAAATAAATACTAAATATTACATACATGTTATTTTGTTCCATCAGGTTGTTGAATCTGGTGAGGCAGACGATGATGATGATGATGACTCAGACGATGATGTAAAGATCACCATTGGTGACATTAAGACTGGTCCAACAGCATATGAGTAAGCATACAAGGGGCATCCAAAAAGTCTTGAAATTTTTGTTCTCATTTCCTCATAATTTATGTATATTTGCTGAAATGTAGACGGGATTCATTCATCCTTTATGAACAAAAATATCACATAAGATATCTTGTGTGATATGGTTGCTATAGCAACTAAGCAATAGAGGGCGTGGGAAGAAGTAGAAGTATAATCTTGGTTTTTGAACTGATCGCTGCAAACATCATCTCTTATAATATGTAAATCTGTATATCTCCGACCAGGAATCTTTCGGAATGATCTTACCAAAGAACATCATCTGAAAAATATTATGTTTTTATTAGACTTATAGGAAACCTAAGTGCTTACACATCCACATGAGAAAAGAAAATCTGTCCATTTTCCATCTACATATCTGATTTCATTTCAGGACCAAATATAATAGTCATAAATTAAACAATTGAGACTCCTAATATCCATGCAACATTTGTTAAATATTCTGACAAATTGTTTAACTTTATTCCAGTGGTACTCCTAGGATATTTAAAGCTGGTGCCCAGTACAACAAGGCTGCAGGTTAGCAATAAGCATTATATCATCATTACTCTTAAAGCAGCACTTCCATTAATTCACAACTTGAATATAGTAAGTGCATATCCAACCATTGTTGTTGGCTCACAAGCTTATTTAAACAAGAATTTTCATTTTATAAATTCAGCAACTGTACCGAAGCCAGCACAGACCAAAGGTGTTGATATTGATACAGTGGCCAACATAAATGGTGTTCCCATATATGAATATGATGTTGAGACAGCTGACGAAAAGCCTTGGCAAAAACCTGGTGCTGACATAACAGATTATTTCAACTACGGTTTCAATGAAGAAACGTGGGCGAAGTATTGCGAGAAGCAACGTAGAATGAGACTTGAGTCAGGCAGTAGTACATATCACACTTCAAAACCTGTAAGTGGAATTATGCCAAATATTTACTTTTTTTTTTTTTTTTTTTTTTTTTATTGCGATTTATTTTCTCCAATCATTGTACATAATTTTATACATTTCTAATATTACATTCTTGATCAAACAAGCACAGTAAATTGGGATACTCCCCATATTTGTACTTACTTATACAATTCTTAGCAATAACAATGATATAATTGATGTAGTCTTCTTCCTTTTTTGTTTTACATTCATACTTGAATAAAATGTGTTTGTGTCCTAGTCTAATTCTGTGCCCAAATCTAGCATTTAGTTTGCACTCTACTTCATTCCATAAAGACTTTACTCTTTTGCAAGAAATGAAAAAGTGTGCATATGAATCTTCCTCATTACAATATGTACAATTCTTTGAGGCAACTCCTTCAATTTTCCATTTGAAAAGGTGAGTATTAGTTGGGTAAATATTATGTAAAATCTTATATTGAATGCTCTTAAGTCGTGGCTCTTTGAGAGTTTGAATTAACTGCCAATTTCTTTTCCAATTTAAATCTGGATAAATATGTTTCCACCTTTCAATGCAAATAGGCACAACTTGGTCTTTCTTTAGAATCATTTTCCTTACATCCTTTGAAGTTAGGTTTTTTATCTTTACATTATTGTACATCTTCTCACCTTTTGATCTATTCATACCCATTTTCTTATTAATCATTGCATTGCGAATTACATTGTATTCCAGAACAATGGCTGCATTATTTTGCATTTTTTGTTTGAAAAATTCTAATGACTTAACATGTTTATTTGTATCCAGTATGTCAGCAACATAATTGATACCTGCATCCTTCCATTGTTTAAAATACATTTGTTTATGTTTGAACACAATGCATCGATTATTCCATAATAAATCTGATTTACAGATTTCTTCATCATACTCTCGATATTTGAACCATGTCTTTAATAGAAAGGAGTAAAATTCTGGGAGCATATCTAGGTTAATTTGAGGTTTTAGATCTTTCAGATCTGAGTTACATATAAAAATATCAAAATCATGACCTGTTTTGGCTAAAATTATTTTACTAACACCTTTCCACATTGAATTTTCACCATTCATAAACCTTTTAACCCAAGTGAGAATGAGAGATTCCTGACTTAAAAAAGCATCTACCATATTTATTCCACCATCTTTGTATGATTGCCGTAATACTTTTCGTTTAATCTTTTCTGAGCCCTTACCTGATTTTTTCCATAAAAATGTGTACATTTTTGTATTGAGCTCTTTTAAATAGTTATCTGGACATTTGAATGTCATTAACATGTGTAAAATTTGTGATGAAATGAGACTTTTTAACACACACACTTTACCAGCTAAAGATAATTTTCTTTTGTCCCAGCATTTCATAATGCACTCCATCTTATCTATTTTATCTCTCCAATTTTCATCTAACAAATGTGCTGATTTATGGTTAGAGAAATAAGCACCTAGTATTTTAATTTTTGCTGATTTTCCAATTTGCCAATCAATTCCCAATGGAGTATTAACATTATTCTTATTTTTTCCAAGCCACATTGCTTTTGTTTTAATCATATTTAGTTTTAGTCCAGAAGTTTTATAGAAATTATTTGAATGAATCAGTATATTTTCCAAGGATTTAATATTTTTAATAAAAATCGTTGTGTCATCTGCATAACTAGTCAATTTGATTTCGGTGTTGTTTATCTTGATGCCTTCAACGTTATTATCTTGACGTATTTTGCAAGCAAACACTTCTGTTGATATAATAAAAATCAGAGAACTCAAAGGGCAACCTTGTCTCAATCCTTGATTTAGATTAAAAGAATTTGTGAAAACTCCATTATTAGAAACCATGGACTTTGTATTTTTGTTAAAAACTTTTATCCATTTTTGAAATTCTGGCCCAAAATTGAACTTTTCCAAAACTCTAAATACAAACTTTTTAGAAATTGAATCAAAAGCCCGGCTGTAATCCAGTGCTGCAATAATTCCTTCTTGGTCATCATTATATATAAAGTTCATGACATCATCTATTAATCTCAGGTTAAGGTGTATTCCTCTATCTTTAAGGTATGCATTTTGATCACTATTTACTAACTTTTTAATGACCACTTGTAATCTGTTTGCAAGAACTAAATATTTACTTTAGGGAAATTAATGATGCCAAATTTTTACTTAATGCAAATAAATGATGCCAAATTTTCACTAAAGTCAAATAAATGATGCAAAATTTTCAATTTGGGCAAATTAATTATAAGGATTTAAATGATTATCATTTTTATGTAATTTCAAAAACTCATGTTTTTCAATTTAAATGTTATTGTTAGCTTGGAGGTGTAACAAAATGAAAATTTAATGGAATTCAATAATGGAATTTTTTATACCATTCAATTCATGTGTTTAATATGGTTCTAGATATCTCGTTCAATCTTGTGAACCCAGGTCTAATGTTGGATGGGCCCCATCCAACACAATGTTCATGCAGACCTCCTCTCTATCTTTTATCTGTTTACTTTAGTATGGTGGGGTAACAACAATCAAACAAGAACCAGTTCAACACACACCAGTTATGCAGGGTTCCAACAAGGTCCTTACACCAAGCCATGGACCCAGGTCCCAATGGAAGAGTCCTATCACAAGCCAACCTCATATAGAACGAAAACCTACAGGAATCTCTGTTGTGACATCACGTCGTCCTAGCGACCAGGCTTATGATGCAACAAATAGTAATATTGCTGTCCTTGGTGGAAGTGGTATTCCAACCAGTTTTAATGCTCCCCCTCCTGCTATAGGCCAACCTATCCCAACAGGCGTACCACCTCCAAGTAAGTATTTTTCAAATGTAGGGATAAGATATGTATTTTATTCATCTGCACAATATGATATTCACCTCAGAAAAAGATTATATTTAATACTTCCTTTTTATCGCACTTTGAAAAAAGGCTACTATTGTTGTCATCTTGGGCTGCTGGGTGGCATGCATGCTGGGAATGAGTGGGTGGGTGGGTGGATGGATGGATGCCACATGCATCATCAATATTCTTGGAAACCGCTTACCTGTTTACTTGAGATTTTCACAGATGCAAGAACAGACTAGTGCAAAGATCTGATTAAGTTTTGGGCCTGTTGGTAAATCACTTTGTGGCCATTTTGCATTTTTCGAGACAAATAATGTGATATTTATTTTCTAAATGAGGAACATGTTAAAATAGGATAGAATAGAATATGTTTGATGATGCTCCACTGCATATGCATACACTTTTGAACTTCATTCAGTCATTCCTTGTTTCAAAAATGTAGTTTTATACTCATCTCACTTTTTCTCTCAGTGTGTCATGCTTCTTTTTACAGATGTTCATATGGGGCCACCCCCAGGTTTCAATCCAGCACCCACAGACACTTATGAAGGTATAGTCATTATTTCACCACCAGGTGACATATTGTTATAGTCTCCATATTTTGTAATGGCAGTTGGGATTCAGAGTTCGGCATCTATAACAAATGGCAGGTGGTGACATTTTGCATATCAATGCCTTGTTCTTTGATTATATCCCTACATGAAAATTACTTCAACATTATAGATAAAATCTGTTATGGTGAGCCAACTGTCTAACAGTTTTGGAGCTGTTTCAGTATGTATGATAGTGTTCAAGGTTCAACTTAATTAGCAAGCTTATTGATTCAACTTTGCCTTCCTTAAGATCTTTGTAAATTGAAATGTCAAGCCATGAGACGATTTATATAGACATTGGTCAATACAAATTTTCAAAGTTGAATAACAGTAACCTCCTCAGTATAAGAGCAACCAGGTACTACATTCTGTTGAAACTTTATAAATGGCACATTTCCTTGTTAAAAACCCCCTACATAAATAATATTAATTGAAATAGCTTCCTCATATAATGGTGAATTTTCTTTTCTTTATAGGTTATTATCCCCCTGCACCTGGCCAAGTGCCACCCCCTACCAGACCTGAGCCCCCAGTATATGGGGTACCACCCCCATCATATGGTGGCTCTGCCCCCCTACCATTCAGTGGACCCCCACCACCCACAGGATATTACAATGCAAGGTAAGTGAATCTATTGAATCAGATATAAGATATCTTTCATAAAAAATTAGACAAGTAAAACTAGGATTTGAAAAGAATAGTCATGTTTTTTGTTAGTAATTGAGTATCATGTTCATATCATATCATATCATATCATATCGATCATATCATATCATTTAATATCATGTCATATATCATAAATCAAAGCATATATTTAGGCTATGGCCAACCACTGTATAAAGTCATAAAAAGGAAAATAAATAAGATATTTCTTGCCATTTAGTAGTTTTCAACATTTTTAAAACCTGTTATATTACTGCTGAATTTGTGTTTTTGAATTGTGAATTTGAGTTTTGATTTTTAGACCATCATTCCCTCCCCCAGGTGGTTGGGGTGACTACCCACCTCCATCCAGGAGTCCCCATAGCAGTGATGAAGAAGATTACAGGTCAGTTACATTATAAACCTTAACCTGACATACAGGGTGATCCAAAATGTTTCCCATTCTGAACTGGCGAGGATATAAGGAATAACATGTTTTTGTCCACCTCGTATTTTTGAACTCGAGGGCTGATAGAATCATTATCTAAGCCTTGTTTTTAACAAAATACAGTAAAACCTGTGAATCAGAACTCATCTCTAATCTTGATACCTCTCATTGTGCATGTTTTTTTATGTCCCATTTTTCTGTCACCAGAAGTGGTGACATATTGTTATGGTCTCCAATTTTTTGTGGACGGTTTTCGGCGTCCGTAACATGTCATCTGTAACAAATGACTGCATTTGCAACAAATAGCAGGTGGTGGCATTTTGCATGTCATTATGCCTTGTTTTAATCTGCTTTTACACCCACTCCATTTTTATGTGACATGTTGTTATAGAAAAATAGAATACACTCCAACTTTTTTGTTGATGGTGCTCAGCGGTTGATGTTTGAGGTTTGGCTTAACCGTTCAAGGGTTAAATAAAACATTCACATTGAGATCAGAATCACCTAAGTGAGAAAGATCATATGATCCAATCCTTGGTAAAAACATATGTTATCTGTATTTTTGTAGGAGAAGTAGGGAGAGGTCACGGACAGATGACAGAGATCGGGATAGAGATAGGGATAGGAGAGACAGGGAGAGAGACAGAGATAGAGAACATAGGAGAAGGTACCTACAATCTTAATACTTGTGCTTGTCAATAGATGATGTAATATTACCAACGTTTTAAATATTGATTGGTCTAAACAGGCCCCAGAGACCTTCAGCCTCAGACAGTATAACATAACTATATAGAGATCAGTGGGAAAGTAAGTAAGCTATACAGTCCTCTACAGCCTGTCTTCATTTATTACCATGACAACATCATGACGTCATGTTGCCATGGGAAGAAATGTATGTAATGCATCAGTTATACAACTTTGATATGAAATATGTCCTTGTTCTTGCCCAAATATAGACATCCAAAGGTCAGCGTATATCGGCGGAACTGCATATTTCACATCATAGTTATATTCCCTATTACTCTTTTATGCATATGTTTTGTATACTTTTGTTTTGTATAACGTTTGTATACTTAAAGGTATGAATCTAGGGATAGGGACCGAGAGAGAGATAGAGACCGCTCACGTGATAAAGATCGTGATGACAGTAGAGACAGGTTTGTTATCCATTCAGGCTTATTTGAGTAGTTTATAATTCCTTCATAAATCATTTGAATGAAAAAGATTTCAATAGTTGAAGGGTGTTTAGCTATAAAAAAATTTCATCGCCCTGTAATTTTTCATTTTTGGGTCAAAAACTCCATTTTGACAACTTTTGCCCCGAAAGGGTCAAAAACTCAATTTTGACAACTTTCGCTATGGTAATGGCGTGTCAGACAAAAAATTTGAAGAATCACATAAATGTACACGAGAAAAAATAATTTCAATTTGTTCACAAATTGTGACATTTTTTTAGTATAATGGATTTTTGTTTTCATTCCAGGAGGAGGGATGATGATGACGATAAAAAACATAAAAAGAGTAAAAAATCTTCACATAAAGACTATAAAGATGTTAAAATCAAAGTTGAAAAGGACCCTTGAATTTCTCGTGCATCAATGTGAATCTTTTATGGAAATAATGTCGTCTTCAACACAGGCTAAAAACAGATTTGAGCAGGTTAAACCAGGCATCGTATCCTTTCTTCAGAATTTAAATTCATGTCTAGTTAATCATAGATGTCAGTTGCAAAATCATATTCATTGATGACTGACTGTCTATGCCCACATAGAAATCTGATATTCTGAAGCTGCAGAATACTGACCGGATTTGTCTCGCATCAAGGCAGCATACCTCAAGTTGAAGAGGGGGACAACACTAGAACTCAAAAATGAACTTATCTGTGAGCATCATTTTGACATGAAGATGGGTTCATTTATGAATTATGTGGTATTTTCCTCCTCTTTTCCGACTAGCCATTTCTGATTTGTACTCTGTGTTCAATATGTTTACACTGTTTTAGTTGTAAACCTTGTCGGAATATGGATTTTTTTATGAATACCAAATAAAAATGCATAAACAATAAAATGTTTTATTTCTTTTTGAATTTCTTCATGTTTAATATCCATTAGGTTTGAAATCTAAATGCTAATGCTAATACTTGAGTGTAATTAATAAATTCCAGACCCAAATATGAACATAGAAAATTCTGTGGTAACGATTTGTGAAATTTCTGTTTTTTTTGTAATAGTGTTGACATAATGTTACAGCTACCATTTTTTGTGTCCAGAGTTCGGGAAGTTGATAGAGGAGTTGAATTCAAAATGAAAATCGGAATTATATCCACCCGATACAACTGTCAACAAAAAATGTTCACTTTAGAAATGTTTTATTGTTACATAGTGCAATATAGAGGATGGCCCCTATTTTGAAATACTATGAATGTATTGTGCTAGGTTACACTAAACATGTCCATGTATTTATGATGGGCTACAATATTGTTCACAGTGAGTGATTTATAAGCGTCCCAGTTAGTTTGATCTTGCAGCTTTTGTTGAAGAGCATCGTCCGTTGGATACGGCTGCACCTGAAGTTATACACATTGGGGAGGTTAAGGTATATGTTTGTAAAGAGAAATTGTACGTACACGTGTAGAATTGTAACTCTCTAGTGATTAGGTCTTTGATTGTTTACTTTCCCGATTGAGAATAAAGGAATAAGAGAAATAGCTGTAACATTTAATAGCAGTCGAGATATTAATGAATTTCAGAGAGAACTTAATACTCAATCGAGCTATATTCCAAGTGCGCAAACTGCAACCAGACTCCCAGTAACTCTGGCTCTTATTGGTTATAATTTTTTATTATGTAGCTTATTATTTGAAGTCACAATAGGAGTCTCTTTGTCCTAGAAATTTTTGGAAACGACCCCCTGGTTGCAGTTTACATGGATCCCATTATATTTTGATAGTACTTAAGTATTTACCGCTCTCCGGAGTTTCTTGATATAGTCTTCAGAGGCTTGTTTTAGGAAGAAGTTCTTGTGCACCAAAATACATTCTGCACCATCCGACACCAGCGTTACGCTCGTCATGTTCAACATATCACCAAACGCGAACTGAGCCAGACCCTTGAAATGGTATAAAGTAAAGGTGGATAATTGTTCATGCACGTATTGTCCTCTTGGAATTCTTGTTCTCCATATGACCATCACATGCTCTGATTACGTATGAGCTTTTTAAGGATATGAGTTTTTTTAAATATATATTTATTTTCATAACAGCGTAAGGATATGCGTTATTTTGGTTTACTGAGTTGCAAGAAGGGGTGTTCTTTAGACGCTCCGTGTACGTCAGAACATTGTTTGGGATGTTTGGGATTTGTGAGCTCACATGGTAAGCTATTGTTTTTAGGACCCCTTTGAAAATATTAAATCTGCTTGTTATACTAAACAGGTCGGTTATCTCCTGTAAATGCGTTTTGTACTGAAATTGAATGTGTATTGTGTTACATAATCATTCGTTTATGGTATTGATCTATTGTCAACTTACAAATGTGTTCTTTGGCAATAGTCTCTCTAATTCTACATAGACTTTGTTGGGCGTCTGTTGAGTAGAGTTGGATTGCATCTGTGGAGTCGATGTGCGTGTGTATGCACTGCCTACTCTTTCATCCTAAAATACAAAATGTATAGTAACATGCGTCATTTTTTGGTTGAACTGATTTCAAGTTGTTAAATTCAACTATTTAGAGCAAGTTCCTAATTTGAATTTGTACCATGGTGCCTTCCTGAGTACTGGAGGTTCGGTCAGTTCACTGGCTATAACGATGAAGTCCAGCAAAACCTTGATATTTAATACAATTCGAAGATGAAAATTTTGCAATTGCATAAAACATGTCTTTTCAGCGTGGAATGTATAATATATTTACAAGTTATTACTTAGGTTTGCTTTGCATATTCGTTTTTAAAGTTGGATACCATTTTTAACACGGCCTTCAACACATACCTGTCCAGCGGGATGTTGAGTTTGGAATACTCTTTCTAATAATGCTTTATGTCGTTCTTCTTCCTCCAAACGTTCATTTATCGCTTGACGTTCATCCTCTTTTGTAAGCTGAGACTTAACCACTCCATGTCGCACCAATGGAGGCAGTTTGGGCGTACGACGGGACCTTTCCTTAGTTGCACTCGGAAATGTATAAGTCCTGTTCCTCTGTTTTAACTTATTTGGCAAGTCTTCGTATGAACCATTTGGCCCTTTGATTTTAACATTAGGTACAGTCTTTTTATTTTCACTTGTATCTCGATTGCTTTTGATGGATGATTTTGTTTGACTCCTTGTGATAAAAAGCGACTGTTTGTTTTTACTGTTTGCGGTTTCATCGTTATTGTTTGCGTTTATTTCGTCATCACTTATGAGGCCAGGAAAGTTGGGTTTGGTTAGAGTAAGACCTTTCAGTACCCGGCAGTTGCCAGTCTTAAGAATGTAAATCCAGTCGGAGTTTGATCCATCTTTACACATGACGATTCCACGCCTGAAATAATCGATTGTTATTTAATATGACCCTTTGTTTTTGAGAATATTTACATTTACTTGTAGACTATGTAATATAGGAGTCACAATCGTTATAGTTATGTGCCATTTTTGTGTTCGTCGTTCTGCGTCTGTCACAAATGGCAGGTGGTGACATTTTGCATGTTAATGCCTTGTTTTTTAGGTTGCCATTCAACTTTCTCATTTTTTGATCGTTATTATCACCTTCGCACCCGCTTTATGACGAACACAACACATCAATGGACCATCAAAACTGCCGAGAAACAAAAACTGCAACTTTACTAACCTGAAATAAGTAAAAATGCAGACTTTGGTATCATCATAGGGCAAGCTCTCAATGGGCCAACCGTTCAAAATGTCAACTTTACGTAAAAATTGAATGTGTTCTGGTTCTTGATTCTCCTCGACGTGCATGAATATGTCTTTGAAGTCTTCTCGTTGCAGCGCCAATAATTCTACGTCATCTTGACACGTGACAGTAGCGCTACGTCGTCCGCCATCTTGCATAAGAGCTAGCTCCTGCAAAACCAGTCAAATTATGAAATGAGATATGCGTATTGTTAGTAGCTTTATGGCAATTTTATAAGTCACTTGATGAATTCAATAAGTAGGGAAGTTAAGCTACACGATTCTTAAAGTACAAGAAAGCGTAATATTTGTGTTCCTCAGAGATTACTGTCGCCTCTCAATTGCTTTTCCAAATGACCTTATAACCCCTTTCTCCTTGTACCTGTATACTCAATCGGTTGGGTAAATACTTCGAAAGGATCAAGATCGAGATCTCGTGTAGCCTATCCTCTCTGATGTCGTATTTAATGGGTGATTGGTACAAGTCCAACTACTTTTCGGTCCAAAAAGGGTTAAAACATGACGAGATCTAAGTTTTACATATCTTGTGCAGTTTGACAACAAATTGGATCAAAAAGTCTTGTACAACAAACTTACCCCAAAACTGTGACCTTTCTTTAAGAATGCGACTGTTTTCGAAAAGCTGTTTTCCGTTTTAGGATCCTTGTCAAGTATGGTGACGACTGCAGTTCCGCTAAGGATAAAATAAAAGTTATCCGCCAGATGGCCCTGCCTGATGATGATCCTTTTTGACCCAAACCTAAAATATGCAGAAGTTCATGATTATGTGTGGATGTTGACAAGGGTTCAATATGTTTGATATTTAGCCACCCCCCCCGTGTGAAATAAGATTTTCTTATGAAGAAACGATCATCGCATAAACTTGTCCTAATATAATAAGAAATAAAAAGTGAAATACATCCCAATACACAAGGGTATTCTCCACGCAAGCGGAGGAGGATGGTCCATCAAAATGAATGAAATGTATTTGATTTATTAAATACCTCTCAAGCGTGATTGAAATGTATTTGATTTATTAAATACCTCTCAAGCCAGCCCGCCTTCACCAAGGATTCTTGCATTTTGATAGGGAATTCACTGAAGGCTTCTACCGTTTGGTTGAGGGAGACTAGAGCAATGTGGTTCTGTTCTGGGGTACGTTCCAAAGGATCAGTGCGTAGAATGTGCCTGGCCTCATAGCTCAACAGTACCTGAAATCGAGCGGTATAATTACAGCTTACCAGGACCAAAATAGGACATCAATCCTACCTTAACATCTATGAGTAATTCTGATGTTATCCTGATGTATATGACATTTACATCTAGCGGCAACCAACGACTTTTTGGGTTTACGAGTTATCGAGCCGTGGCTGAGCTAGTTTCTTATTTCTTGCATTCTCGTTGGTGAATATATATTTAGACGACATGCATGTCACTTGTATGTGGTAAATTCGATTTTGATCAATAAGTCTAGCCTCTGCTGCCTTAGTGATATTAACCCCAAGGCTCCGGAATTCAATAATACACGAATCAACTAAAAAGTCCCTTATGCTAATATTTCAATTCACAGTCAGAAAGAGACATTCGATATGCACAGTAACCAATATATGCAGTTTTGAATCTCAAAATATAGTCTTAAATATTCGTGCTCCTATCGTTTATCAATAAAATTTGACCAACCTCTTTATTCGCCTTGTAGGTTCTTGGATCAAATGAAAGACCATAGCTGTCAAATGTCGTCACTCCATTCTCTTGTTGAATCTGGGCGAACGAAAGCAATTTGGCTTCATGTCGTTGCTGATCCTTCCTACAACAAAAGCAAAAATGTGATTTTGATGATTTATTAAACTTATTAGGCTTGGTTATCCATAAACACGACAGGTCGTAAAATTCGTCATTTTTTGAGTTAATTAAAGTCGATTGTAAAGGAATCATTCGCACCCCAATTAGAATTTTGAAACGTTCCATTATTAAGATTGCCAGCAAATAGAGTAGCTTGTGAATATTTCTGATGTTTAGATAGGTTTTATTCAGGTACATAACATCAATTTGCCTAATCTTTAATGAATTGTGTATTTTGAAATCGAAAGTTTCGAAGTAAAAGGAAAGACCATGAAACTTTACAGAACTACTCAGTGTAAATGTTGCCCGAGTAATTCGAGTTCTCATACTGACGTACCGATTACCGATCAGTTGAAAATGAAATCAAATACCAAGACAATGATCGATTATCGAGTTTGGAATTGAATTTTCGAATAAGACGTATTTCTGAATAAGTATGAATTGGCCACGCAAAAATTAGCACAACAATTTATCTAAGTAAAAGTATATTGGTTTGACCTAAATATTCTTATGGCTGGGCCTCAATTGAGTACCACTGTCGACTTTCTCCAGCCCAAACTATATGTCAATATCCTTTTGAGTTAATGGAAGGTTTGATGTATGAGCGACGACAAAACGTTACCATGGGCATGTTTGACAATTTGGAGGGGTAAGATCTCTGTGTATGGAGTCTTGTATAATCGATTCTTCGATAGAGATAGATCTAATGCATGTTCTTTACCTCAAGAGGGAGATGCATTACCCATCTCAATGGAACAGTATCTTTCAAGAGAAAATGTAAAAAAGTTGATTACTTTGCTCCAAGAATGCAAATAAGAAGACTTTCTGTCTTATCTCTGTGATTCAGATCCAGAGTACACATTGGCAAGAACTCGCATCCAGGAACTTATAAGTGATCTGATATTGACAGAACGCCAACGTTCAACTACCGATGTCGAATGCCAATTTGACTTAACAATAATTTGCAATTTTTCACTACTGTTACTTTTAAAACGTCCAAGGGTTAACCAGACATTGGTTTTTAATTTTAATTTCTGATTTGGAATTCTGGTCCTTAGAGTTATCGCCACGGGAACGAGATGTAATATTCAACAAAAAAAAACATTAAAAAAAACAGCAAAATGCATGCAAAACTTTATCAAGATTTTGGCCTATAAACAAATTATATACGATATACACGATATTGCGTATAAATCGAGTACCAATTAGAAAACATATTTTAACGATTTGCAATAGTTCTAGATTTACTGCTTTACTGCAAACTCTAATCTCAACCATTCCCATTCTGAGATATGAGATACAGTGTCTGCCCAATTTGAGATATACAATTGATTTATAAATCTTATGAAACTAAATAATTAGAGCCTTTACTAAAAACACCATAAGCTCTCATTTATGAAGATGTAGCAGGAAGCGTAGGTTCAGCGGAAACTTGTTTCACAAAGTTCTTTTCTGATATTTTACCCCGCAAGGAAAAATCAATCGTCGCCAGGCATTAACGTAATTGTAATTGTTGTCGAACTGTTAGTGTTTCAGGTGATTTCAACGCAGCAATGCAATATCACACTGAAATGCACTTTGGTGTCACTGCCCTTGTTAAAAGTAAAAGTTTGGTCGTTGACCTTGAAAGAATTACGTATTCTATTAGGTATTCTATTCAGTGCCAAATTATATTTTCTTACAAGCTTTATTTCAGTACCAAAGACACAGCTGCATTTTACTCCCAACCCAACTCTAATTTGTTTCTCCATTTCTATTTTTCAGTTCCTTGTACAAGCCAGAGAAAACAATAGGACTTTGTCAAAGTTGTAAAGCCTCAGTCACATTTGCTCTATGGCGGCCGTACGATGGCCGTAGCTTCACAAAATCGATATAGAAAATCTAAATCGTACTGCTTATCCCTATATTTTATGCTGCATATTTTTTATCGATATTGGGAAGCTACGGCTGCCGTACTGTTGCCGTAGATCAAATGTGTCTGAGTTTTACTGTGATACCTTATAAATGAGCTAAATCAGCAGTTTTCCCGGTTCGAATGCTGCACTGGTTTGCTAAATATATTAAGCACCTCAACAAAATCCAAAGGTTGCCCTAGCCCTTTACCTGGTTGATGCAATGGCCCGCAGGACAATCTGCAGCGTTCTCACAGCTTTCCGGAATCTCTGCAGCGGCTGAAAAACAATAATATTATTTCAACTCTTTTTTTAATGGATCAAACGTTGTTCTAAACCTGTAGTCAAGAAGAAATTGATGTTCTGCCAGAATCACAATATCGATATGACAAATCTGTATTGATTAGACCTTTGAACAAATCAAACACTGTTTTAATAATCTAAAACGACATTGAAAGACGGAAATCAATTTATTGCTAAAGATAATACTCTGGAATGTAAAAAGAGTTATGTATATATTAGCGAACATAAGCGTCTGGGGTCACAGGTAAAGAGCAAACTAAGCAAGCTTGCACGTTACCATCTGCCATTTGTTACAGACGCCGAACACCGACCGCCGTCCAGAGAAAAATTGGATCAGACTTGTTGCGGTGACATAAAAACGAAATCTCAACATTCAAAATCCGAGAACAAGTCAGACAGGCAGTCATAGTGTATAATATCTAAAAACATTACTTTGTGACCATATTAGCCAACTGTCAAAGTTACCCAGTGACATCCAGTGACAAAAACGGTCAAAATTATACTCCCAACATTATGAACTGAATCGAGACCGCTTGTTAAGGTTTACAATGGAGGGCAGTCAACCGAATGAAAATGACTATAATTGTTTTGTTTATCCGAAAAAACAACGTGTGTCTAATCTTAAAACGCACGTGTTTCATCGGTACCGTTTCATCGATCGGTACTGTTTAATCGGTACCGTTTCATCTGACTCTGCAAAACTTAGTAAAAGGGAATTCACAAGTAGATACACATCCTGAAAATGGTCAAATCTATTGACCACTCCTCGACCAATCAAAATTGAGTATCTGGATTGAGGCACTAATATTGCAGAATATTTTAGAAGTTATTCACCTGTACGAAAACTATTTTCGGAATACTTAGGTATCTCTCCAACCATTCTTTCTTTGAATTTTTACGTTTTCGTTTCCCTCGTCCAGGCCCAACATCGGAAGCAAGAACTGTAAGCTTGTGAGAAACAATTAAAGTTGGCTGCCTCAAATTTGGCAATAGTTTCTTTGGAACGTTGAATTGTAGATCCTTTCTTGTCCTTGGTTTTACGGCGTAATCGGAGTTTCTCAACGTAATGGTCGGTACTTGTAATTTACGCGTTTCCATTTTCTTCTGTCGAAAACCGAACATTCAATTCGTTATGCACTTAGGTATCTCTATATTTGAGGCATTGGTAGTATGATCATCTCTTTACTGGGTGTATTGTCCACTGTCATTAGTGCAATTATTACATGTATATATCCCAAAATGATATCCATTTTTTAGTTTCTTATAGCTTCTTCAATCTTTCTCTAACATTGTACGTCACCTAAACAGTTCCAGGGTAATCTTCAGCTCCAAATCCAATATAAGAATTTTTTTTATTGTCTTCTAAAAGTGAAATCGATGGAGCTACTCATCTCTTTAGAAACTAAGCTTCATTTTATTCCATAAGCCGCTGGCTGCTAATCCCCGATTCTTGGCATTGCCGTGATTTTATTACTTATAACTTCGATCCAAAATAAAATAACACATTCAAATCGGCGTAAAAGTTGTCATAAGACCTTCTTAATAATGTATTAATTAATAAAAAAATTTGCTCTCAGCTTTACCAGCATTGTTCTTCATATAATTCCTAAGAGTTCTTTTATTCTTATTTCGATACCACCTCATTATAACTTCCAGATGCCCTAAGTTATCGCTAAGGTATCGCACATTTCTTAAGAATGGAACGCTTGGCAGTCTGTACTTTATGTTGAAGATTTCCAATATGATTTCATGTTTGGATTTTTAACCTTATGTTTTAGATAAGGTTTTTGATAAGATTCAAAACAATTTTTTCCTCATCCCAACTTGAAACGCTCAGGTGTTGTTCCATATTTACGTCCCAGAGATCTGAATTAAAATTTTATTTTAATATTTGTTAATGAAATGTCGGTTAAAATAAATTCCCTTTATGTCCAAATGCGTTTAATTCAGATTTCCAACTTCTGATCCGTTCGCATCGCAGATAACGACCGTCCATCACTTATATTGCGATAAATTGTGCCAGGCGAGTTCCTTGGAGATCATATCGTAACTAAGATACTCGCTCGAGTAGCTAGAATTCTTTGATATTCCATTAAGTACAACAACATATGATATTTGTTCTAAGTGTATTGAGTCAACCACCGAGACAATTGAGTAGTGTCTGATAACGGCCACTACTAATAATTAATGTTCTTTAAGAGCTTTTATTGATAATGAAAGTAATAATAAAATACATTCTTAAGATCGCAGGTAGTCGAAGTAGAAGAAATACCCTGATAATTGTCATGATTTCAAAGCTGGTATATATAGATAACATACATTTTTAGCGTAGAAGGAAAGTACTTTACTGAAAATAAAACTGTAATTTAATAAAGTATATTATTTGTCATTGTTTCCCGACTACTTTAAGATTTTAAAATACATTCCATTACGCCATTATCAATAACGGCTATTTAAGAACGTAAATTATTCGTTAGGCCCGACACAAAGCGCTTCTCAATTCAGCTTAATTATTTCGCCTGAACTAAAGTTATTTTCCATAATAAATTATTTCGTAACAATTACTTTCTCCCGCCATCCGAAAATTGTCTTTTCTAACCACTTAATTTTCAGAATCCAAAAATTGCAATTGAGATAAATACGGAAACGTTTGATTAGACAGTTTTACAAGAACTTACCGTTGCAGTTTCTAATACCGTATACACATCTTTACTCGGTGCATCGTTTATCGTTTTATTATTAACCATGCCCTTTTTTATCCTCAGAATTTTGGCATTGGATTTTGGAGTTGGAGATTCCTTGTGATACACCATCTTATTCAACATTCCACAGTCAGGGTGTGCATCCATTGATTTTGTTATGTTTTTAAATGGGTTTCGTTTGGGCATTCCACCCTTTGCGCACTGCGTTCCGCATGATGGGTTTTGTTTGTCATCCATTTCCCAAGCGCGAATTGGGTGCATTTTTGAGTGGTTGCGCTCATTGTTTTTACCTGTTGCACTGTCATATTGTCTTGGCAAAAGCATTTTGGAATTTGTTCGTGGGCTTGGGGCCGTTTGTGGACGAATGATGTTCGCCATACCGTAATTTCCCGCTTCTCGTTTTAATTTAACATCTCGTGAGACTGCTCTTCTGTGCTTCATGTATCCACTCCATTCATCGTGACTCGTGGGGGTCGTTAACTGCGATATATTCATTCTGACGGTCGATCTCCTTCCGTTATTATCGTATATTTGGGAACTAATCACATCAGCTCCATCGTCTATTTTATTGGCTTGCATCGTGTTTTCGTTCCCTGGTTGATCAGTTGACTTATTTGCGATGGATTCCAATAGCCGTCAATAGATTAAACGTCACATTCACCTTCATATGCTTAGAATAATTGTATAAGTACAATCCAGAATATATTCATTTGGAAGACACGCGTTCCCGTCGCAAGTGTCTTATATAAATATCCAACGTGTGTGTGTATCATCTTTAATATTAGCTCAAAGAGCAATGTACATAGATAATCTCCCGATCCCAAACAAAGACAAAGATCTTGTCGTTCTTAATCATTATACTGTATTTTCACTCTTGTAAAATGTTGTCTTTTCTTCACTTCAACGTTCCAGTATTACACTCTTCTATTATCTGACCACCGATTTAGTTTCTCGGTTATTTACGTATGATTTTCGTTGCAATCTGTTTGTGCAAAATGGTTTCCATGTGGCACTGTGTACCGAAAAGCTCGATGAACTTAACAGCTTAATTGAACAAATAATGGACATTTCACGATATCAAAAAGTAGCCGAATTGGTCAACAGACACGGATTATTAGAATAGCTATATCATGTAAATAAACAAAAACAGTAGATAAAAACCATAGAGGTGCATTGGTACCTTGTCAGTTTGATATTATTGGGCGGGTTTAGATTAGGTTGCTACCTAATGTCAACAAGGCATTAACATGCAAAATGTTCCAACCTTCCCTTTGTTACAGATGTTGACTACCATCTTATACAGACACTGTTATAGACCCCGCATTTGATGGATAGCGTTTGACGTCAATCCTCCCGCAAGAACTGAAATAAATTATTCCCCTTTCCAGAGGTTTTGTCCCCTTTCCAAGGTAAAGTTAAAGTAAACCTCTTATTTTTACACCTTGCAGGTTGATGAAGTTGATGAAGGTTGAACTCCTTTAACACAAGATAATTGTATTTGCCAGCTTCTTTGCCATTTTACTCCATCGACAGTTTATCAATTTATTCATCATCGAACCAGTATTTGATTTTTACAATATGTGATATAAGTAGTAGAGACCCATTTCTCCCATTTCAAACCAAGATATATAATTTCGAGCCATTTTAAGTGAAACACCTCGTCGCTTTGATATTCATCACCGAATTAATCAGAATCATTTGAAAGTCTACACGTTGTTCATTGTTCGTTGTTGTTTCGTAGATCGTCTAATGCATGCAGATACAACTTAGTTCAGTGAAGAAAATAAAATACCGGGGATGTGAATCCTGAGGTTACGTTAGGACTGAAGGATGCACTGAACGACAATGTGAATGTCATGTGTGGTATCCCATGGACGTTTTGCCCAATCGTGGGTTTCACTTGACCATATAAGGGTATAAAGAATTTAGGATTCTCCATTTGAGAGAGAGAGAGAGAGGGGGGGGGGGCAATAATCTCTGAGTTCATAATATTACAATCACGTGTACTTAACCCCTTTGACACTTCATAATTTGACTTGAACGTGCAAGTATCAACACGCTTCTGCCTTAAAGGTGTGCTTTTTACTATGCTTAAAAGTAGTGATATTCTTTCTAGCAATATGTGTTTTCTAGCTACTTACTGGTACTGGAACACAATAAAGGTAATCAATTTGGGTTACTCCATCAAAATGCGTTGTGCTTTCTTTATTACTCTCTTTCTTGTATCTGATCTGTCGTTTTCTTTGCCTTTTCTTTGCTCCGGACGAACCCGAACCTTTCGGGTCATCAGTGTCAGATAAGATCACGGGAGCCATCAGGCTAACCTTGACCTTTGAACTATCTGAAAGGTCAGAGTCTCTGGACAACATTTCGGACATTGGGGACGGAATATCTGAATATGGGCTGAGTTTTCTTTTAGGGTCACTCAGTTTATGTTCCAAAGAAGGAATAGTTTCCATGTTGTTTTTGGACATAGACCTTTTACTTAAAGCTCTACGGAGGAGATTAGTACGTGGCTTTTGGGTTTGCTGATTAAGGCCCCCCTTAACAAGACTCGGAGGTCCCTTTTCAGAGATATAGCTGAAGTATGTACGGATTGCATCCAGGACCTTTTCCCGTCTGGCTTCTGATGCCCTATTCCTGCTTCGATTGCGTAACTGAGCAGCTTTTACAACATCTGCTAATTTTGCAGACGACGGTCTGTCGTGCTTTTCTAGATTCCTTTGTGTTTTATCTTCCAACTTTTTTTGAAGTGTTACCTTGACGACAGTGTCCTTCAGCTGTGTCGATCTCACTAATTTTGGTAATATATTTTTAGTGGATTTGTCATTTTCCACACTCTTGGCATTATTCAGCGACGGCTTACCACATTTTTCATTAGGTCCTTTATTCAAACGCTGTCCTGTGGTTTCACGAATGGAAGTATCATCCACAACCGTATCACAGACTAATAGCTGACTATCATTGTCACGATTGTTTATTGGAATATTTACATTTGGATTTTTTCTAATGGCTTTCTTTGATTGTGACTTGATTTTCAAATATGGCGGTAATTTAGCAAGCGGGTCATTTTCTACGACAGGCGCCTCCTTTTCTGGTATGACATACTTTTCAACAATATCTTTAACGTCATTGTTCCATATTCGATCTAAATCTGCGGGGTCGCCATCGTCTGTAATAAGACACGGGTATGTCGTTGCTCTTACGTGCTCGATGTACTTGGAAAGTTTGTTGATGCTTTTCGGGTCTCCTACTTCAGTATCTACGTCCTTGTTATGTTCGATACCGTTCTCAAATCTCAATTCCTTTAGCCCTGTTTTTCTATGCGTGTCCCTGTATTCGATTCGTTCGTTATTACTGCTCTGATACGAATATTTCCGGATAGGTGTAATGCCAAAATCATCAAGTAATTGATCCTGAGGTATACTATGCAAGTCTTCTTTTCGTCCAGCGCTTCTTGGATTATGTTTTGATTTGCGTCTCCTTCCAAAATTAGGTCTTTCAGAGCCGTCGGATCTGGGTCTGTCGGTAGAAATGAGATTATTCTCGTTCCTTATTGGATTAAACATTATTCTGTGTTTGTATAGTCATGTAAAAATAGTAATTACACAAAGTTTGGTAATCTTACCCAAAGTAAAGTCTGAAAGTTAATTAGCGTCGAATGTAATATTACCTTTTAAATTATGTAATTACTCAAATCAGTTATTTTGACATTTCCTAAAGATTTCACTTTAAAAATGACTGAGATATTCCGTTATTCCCATGCTACAATTCCTCTGGCTCAAATACTTCAAAATAAAACACGACTGAAAATGTAACGTAATTCAGGAAAGATATCATAAATCATAAGGAATTATGGACCCATTTACAATCATCTACACCCAGTACTATGTCGATGATAAAGGGAGCAGAACAACTCCTGAACGCACGAACAGACAAAGTGCAAAGAGACCCAAATCCGCCGATGAAATGAAATGACGCGAAAACTAACTAAGACAATCATCAAACGGTTTTAAAAAAAATCATTAAAAAGTTAATACATATGCAGCATGCAAGGGATCTTTAAATGATCAACGAGACACCAATCGTGTAGGAAGCGATACTGTGGGTATTTGAGGAAACGCTCCACATCGGCAACAATAGAGGGAACGATTTCCTTGACATTGTTTATTGCTTGACGATACTAAAATGAACATGGAGCCATTCAGTAAATTGAGGGACCGTGTTTTCCGCTAATTGAGTGTAATATATTACTTCTGATCATGACTGCTTTGAATTAATAAGTCATCATTCATTGGCTATAGGCTCGTTAAGTTATGCTTAAATCATTTGGCTTTTATGTCACGGTCACCAGAACTCTTTCCAATAATTGCAATGTATATATATTACTTGCATTTCCTAATCATTGTTTGTTTATTTTTCGTATTCAGAAAATATTGATTATTTTTAGCCTCTTCGCATCAGGGTAGGATACCAGATAAATGTATAGATAGCAACATACAGTAAAACCTCTATACCCGGGCACCTCTCTAATTTGAACATTTTCGGTCCAATTTTTAATCTCATGAATTAACAGAAAATAATGATTTTATACAAAGCGCTACGTCGATATGTGTAGCTACATCTACCAATCCGAATGCCTTTGACTTGTCCCGGTGGCGTTCGAATGAGACAGGTTTTACTGTTTATAGTAAGAATGACAATTGGTTGCATACTATTTCCTATAATAGGGAATGTACTGCAACCATGACCGTGGCTATTCCAAGATGATAGTTTTCAAAATTGTTCACTTCAAGTAGATCTACATAATTATAAAATATGTAATCTATTTTTCATTACTATAGTTACAAATAATTTGCGAAATGTGAATATTTATTCACATCTTATGTAGAGAAGTTTAAAATCAAAAATATTCAATCATGAAGTATCCGTTATGCTTATGAATGGTTATGGTAAGGATTGATTAAAGGGAAGTACACGTTTCTAGAGTACAAAATGGCATTGACATCACTTCCCAAAATAAATTCCAATTGGTTAAAGACTCAGTGAACATTTTCGAACATTAATATCTTGTCACACTTTAATTTACCTCAAACTTCGTGATCCCTTCGTTTATGTCAAAATGTTCGTCTGCTTCAATACCATCTGATGTAGCAGAGCTAGCATTTTTCCCGCGTCTTGTTTCGTCTGACGCTGGCTTCCTCAACCTGGAACAAGCATAGGTGAAAAAGCTTAACAGTTGAAATTATATAGTAATTCTTAATTGTATATTTAACCAAATGCAAGTTAATACCAATCACATTTATTTATTTTTTCAATTGTCATTATTTCAATCAATGAAATCAGATAAATTGCCATTCACATTACTTTAGTCGGGTTTGATATTCATATTTGATATTTCTCATAACCGAGGTCAGAGAAACGTTTTTTCGAATTCACTGTTTCAATGGCTTATGAGATATTGACCTAAGATTTATTAATATTTGCTCTGATAAGTGAGCCATCGGCAATCGATTTGGTAAGTGCAAAACGTCGAATTACAGTTGAATTCCGTCCCAAAAGAATATCGTAACATGTCATACACTAAGCTTTATGGACCCCTCGATGACTATTGATTAAAATTAGTATTGACGTTACAAGGAAATCGTAAGCCCAAAGACCAAATAGCTAGATGTTTTGAATCAGGGGCGGATTCTGATATGCCACTAAAATCCAAAAGTGGGATCAAATTTTAAAATTTTGAGGCTCATTTTCTTCAAAATTTGGCCTGAAATTAAAAAATAAGGCCTTGAAAGGCCCAGTAATGACCAAAGAGGCCCACTTTTTGCGGCCTTCAGGCCTTTTTTGGTCCAAAATCTTTTGGGACCAATTTTTTTCTTTCTTGGCCCCCAGCCCCCCCCAGATCCGCCAGTGCGAATTGACTATATTATTTCAAATACATGAGCTAGAGATGCAACATCTTTCAAAAGCTTTCATACGGTATATGCGGTATGATTATAGGCTGTTATACCTGGGCCCAATAATTCCGACTTGATGGAAATCAGCTGCGTTTCTCCGACCTCTTCCGCTTGATATGTATGTTCTTGCGGAACGAGTGTTGAGTTCACGAGGTCTCGTACCACTCGTAGTAGCCAACGTCAATGGTCTTGTGTTATTATTATGCATGGTTTTACTGTCATTTGTGGCGGTATAATTACCGCCCATGTCAAATGTTTCAACATCGGCTTTGTTAGACTTTATTGTATTTCGTTGCTCAATTTTATGGTGGAGAGCTTGTGCGTTTGATTTGTTTGCTTTTCGTAAAACCTTTGAGTAATGTTTCTTGAAAAAACTTTTCTCTGGTGATCTGTTCAAAAGAGAATGAAGATCCCAGCTCCATTCGACATCAGGCCCTTTTTCTTTCAGCGAATCATCGTGTTTTATTGGCTCATAGTCAACATCTATGACATCTATCGGTTGGTTCACTTGTCTGTTATCCAAAGGTTCAACAACAAGCGCATAGTCTTCTGTATATCTCAATTTAGAGGCAGAATACCTTGAATGTTCATCATTGTCACGAGAGGACTGAGTCCAGGGTGAACCCAGTGCGTTACCAATGTGTGGAAGACGCAATGGTTGCTCAGCTAGAACAGTTGTATCCTTAATTCTGGTCTCAGCTTGTATTTTACCATTCGGGCTAGCAGGCAAAGACTTGGCCATGGATAGGAAAGAGGTAGACCTAATCCCAGCACCTGATATACATTCATTTGTAGCTGATTTTGGTCTATCTATCTGGTGAACATTTTCAGATGATTTTTCATTGTTATGATCACATTCATCATATTCATCTTCATCAGTATGCATACTCTGTTCGTCTTCTCCATGTATATTTGGCAACGAGCTATTGGCCTCGTTTTCGAAATCGTCTGCTTGAATATTGAGATTGAGGTCACCCTCTAGTTCTATTGACCGCCACTTTTGAAGGAGATTGTCTCTTAAACGAAGTTGACTCTGATGGGTAGTGTACGTTAGGTCGAAGAGTCTGAAATGAGGGTCATCAACACCGTCTTCAAGTACAAATACCTCCATTCTCAAACCTTGAAACTCGCAAGATCTACATACATGTATTTTGGGTAAGGATGATTTTTGGATATATACATGTCACAATGCAAGGGCTAATTATTATTAATTTTCTAAACGATAATGTTTTAGTCTCTATCGACACTTATTTGGAAAATATCGTTCCTCGTATTATTTTATGATTTAGCGGTTTCGGCCTATATGCATTTTTCATGTATCTGTACATTGGATATGCCATAGTTCGTACAGGACGTCACTCCAATTTGATGTGAATGCAATCAGCTAATGTTATTAAAATGTAAGTGGCATTGCCCGCTTGTTCCATAATTTGATTTGTGTCCATTTGTCTACTTATCGGCTTAATTTATCCGAAATCTTTAGTGCTGTCTATCATTGTTACGTTGAATTACCGAGACAGTCATTCACGGCGTTGGAATCACTTCCAAAATCGCATACTTTGAATCATCCCTGAATAGTACAGAATTTTTCTGAAGTCATATACATATGGCATATTCAACGTCGTTTTTTAGTATGTTTTAAACTCATTTGAATCTTTTCTTGTTTCTTGCCACAGTTTGCGTGATCATTTATCACTTTAATATATTAAATATTCCATACAAAGGATTAGCTTGTTTTTGTCGAAGTTGAGTCTTTATGACTCGACACTTGTGCATTTGATACTGTGAAAGTTTCATATGGGTCAGTCATTAATGGTAAGAACTCGCATTATTTTAGCGAACAGCAGTCCAATCAAGAGAAGGAACAAACCAATGACAATTATATCTGTCACTAACGTAGAAACAAGTATTCCCATATTTACATAGTTGTCGGATCTTTGCTGAATATTACACACCCATGTATGCTTGCATTCTTCACAAACCATGTATCTAAACTGTTTTTATAATCAATCTATTCCGCTTGACTGATATCCAATATGAAGATTTTCACATCGTACTAAATCATCCAATATATATGTCAACAATGACACATTGCGATCAATTAAGGTTTTATACTAAATAAAACCCAGGTCACTATTTTTCTTTAACAATATATTTTTCTGAACTTATCGAACATCTGGATCAAGGTAAGTCGACTTTCTTCAAGATAAAATACTGCGATGCATCTTTCACCAGAGCCTGATTTTTAACGTCGTTAACTGACGTGGCTTATTTTTCGCAAGAACAAAATGAGTTCATTGCCCATTGGACCGGTGCACTATTACCCTGTGCGCAGATTCTGATTATAAACTACTGGAGAAGAAGCTCTCTTGAAAAGCGAAGTCGAACGAATGCAAAGGGTAGTGCAATATCGAAGGTTCCTAAGTTCCTCAAATTTACTGCAAATTTATCAAAGTTATGATATCCCCAGAGCAGACCGTGTTTAACGTCCTACTTGATCGCGTACTTGGTAATCAGATTACGAGTGCCTCCAAATCCTTTCACACTGACATCATCTAAGTAATATCAATAGAGCAGAGCGGGCTCAACGTGCTAGTTGATCGACTACTTGGTAGTCATCGAAGCGACAAGAATACGGATGCTTCCAAAACTCTCCATGATGATCACGACCTCATCTTATGATATCTCCAGCGCAAAGCGAGTTCAATGTCCTACTTGGTGAGCAGCAGAGCGAGAAGATTCAAAATTTTCTGATTCCTCTAAGTAATAAACCAAGCAAACAAACAGTAGAGTCATTTCACACTTGATCGATACGAGAACATTTTGGTCTTGTTCTAATGAGATTATCGGAATGTTCTAGCTATATTTTAGACAGACAATATTCGATAATGGCATTTATTTCTTTGTTAAAGACCCCACTGGGATCGTATCCCTGTTACCTATCTGGTGTTCACCGGCAACCGTAGTTGCAGCTCAATATACTATATAGATAGTCACTATCGTCCATTGGCGCAGGAGCTACCCAAAAGTTTCAAAAGATTACTTTAGGCTAACCACATTATTCCACTGCAGAGGTGTAGATCAGTTATACCTAAATAATCAATCAACCCTTTGGCACTAACATGCGCCAAGGGACATTATCACAGATGTATCCTTATATTTTTTAGGGATTTTTCTATAGCGTAACGGTCAATGTCCTTTAATTAAGGTGAAGCGTAGATCATCAGTGGCCAGATCGGCAATGTTATGGCACGTATTATTCATTCAGGAAATAGTTCAATAATCCATTCCGGAACACTTTCAAATTAATCCACTAATGATAAAATATTTCTACTCTCTGACCTACTCTTGAGCTACTGGTCTGTTGATCTTTGAGTATCGGTGTTGCGTAGCTCCGTTAAGTGTTAATGTTGTGCTGTATAGACCCCTCGTTCGTTTCCTAGTGCCCCAGTGTGTTGTCATGGCACATTCTACATTTTTATTTTCACGAGCGTTCTTCTTTATATCCAACTTGTGATTTAAAGCTCCTTGTATTCCTTTTGTTTGCCGCTAATTAATGTCCGTGGAGATAATTCAATTACCTAAGCTGGTAAAGAATAGTTTCTTTTTAGATCTTGATTTTCAACAGAATCTTTATTGACATGTCAAACAAAGTCGAGTTGTACTTTCTCTTTTAATCAATACATCCGTACATCTCTATGTTTGTTATCAACTATTCTAGAAGTTGTAGACTAGTTGTCTATGATGATCGATATATTTTATATCTGTTCGAACTGTGTGTGACGTTATCTTTGCTTAAACATGCCGTTAAACAAGCGTATCCTTCGAAGTATCAAGCTGTTGTTTAAAAAAGCATCTTTTGTTGTTTTTGTTTTTTTTACATCCCAATCGGACTGTTGTACGTTCTTGTCCAGTTTACTCTATGTGGTTCTATTTTCTGACAACTGAACATGTTTCAGGGCAACCCGTTATGTTTGGTGGTCCAAGTAGGCTACCCTTTGAAAAAAACAAGTTTATCCTCACTCTTAATATATCCAAACAAAAATAATGTAGTCAGAATATCACCACACTTGTACTTAAAGGAGCTTACATTTATGTCACATTTAAACTTCCATAAAAGGCCAGGATTGCTTCATTTGAGACCATTGAGTCTTATAAGAGTAAGAATCGTAAACTCCTTTATAGATGTCAGAGGCTAATGTGGAGTGCTGCGTGTAAAACCGGGTATTTTCAAGTTCGTTTAAAGCATTTTGATTGGACAAACCATCACGAAAAAAGTAGCCAAAGGTTTGATGTTATGGCTTACATTTGACTGAATTGTCGTGTAGTTTATCATAAGAGAAACGTGCTAACAAATTCATTTATAAAGGTCCAAGGCAAAACTTTCCTTTAATCAATAGAAACCATTTAATACCGATAAAATAGTATGTTTGCGTATCGTTTTCTCTTAAAATACCATTTATTTGTTGAGAGCTATTGTCAAGGGCATTCATTCAGCCTCGAGTTGTAACAGTTTATATGTTGTTATTTTTAAAATACAATTTAGTACCTTGATCTTGCATACTTAATATAACGCTGTCAGCACTCCTTTTAGGTATAAGTTTGTAGTACGTTGCTTTTGTGTATTTTAAAATGAGGTAGAATGAAATCTGTTGATATTTGGGGATCCGTTGTGGTGCGCAATATTTCATTGAAGTCATCACGCTCCCTAGCCTTTAAACATTTGTATATTGCATCACCACGTGCATATTTACTTAAATAAGTTGTACTATAAATTTAAATTAGGTTATGCCAGGCTAAATAAATAAATGTTTAACACCCTCTCTTATAACTTCTATATGTTAATGTCCTATGCATTGTTCAGAAGATAAAACCGTGACTAATTCTAGCATATATATTTTGATACAATGTGTTTATTTAAACTGTTAGCAAAATAGGGTTATGTTTGTTTGTTTGTTTATCTTTATTTCCTTCGCGAAGAAGAGCTTTTTAAAATAATTATACAAGCGTTATTTACAAAACAAATATATTTACATTTAGTAATTTGACTATGTTTTACCGCATGCATACTTTGCCACCAAGATGATTAATTGTTCACATATATTTTCATTTGGAAATTAGCCATTTTATGCTTTGATCACATTTGCGCAGGGCGCCGGCCGATGAGTAGTCATCGGTGACTTTTCCCAGATGTCTTGATTTCACCTTGAGTATGGTCACAGTTGTACAGGCACCGTACGGCACCTGTAATCAATTAAATCTGAAGGATATCGCACAGGTATCGCAAGACTATCTGCCGATGACCGTACGGCACCCGCCAGGACATAGGTCGATCTACAGGGCACCAGGGAGCCTATACAGCTATACATACATCACAGGCTGGTATCGAAAAATTTGTCCGCTGTGACGGAGCGTGCTATTTTGCATAGAATCACTAGGAAATCCACACAATTTATTTTTTACTCATATGTTTTGCTATATCAAAGGAAATTACTGACTCCATGCAATGAATATATCATTTGCGGGTAACTTTAAATTCTGTTTGAAGTCCAACAACGCTATGAGTAAAAGCTATTGAAAACGGCGTCGGAGTATCATACTCCAAAATGTACCATTTCTTTTATTTCTTTTTAATGGTACAATATAGCGACACGATAATATTTACATATGTTTTCAGCATAACTCTGAAGGTATTAATGAGATCTTTATGTATTGGGTATTTTTAATTTTTTTGATAAAAAATAATAATTAATTTTTTTGTCCGCTGTGACGGAGCAGTTTCAAATCTGAAATGCGTTAAGAATTTAGATTCAATATATATATTTCTTTTTTAAGCGTTAACATCAGCTGCCCCTAGTCAGATCGACTAACAAAACAACCTTTTTTTGGGGTTATCGAGTTGGCCGAGAGGGCTTAGGCGCCAGCACGTTCAGGCTAGGCGATTGGGCGCCGTAATCACGAGGTTGTGAGTTCGAGACGCGGTGTGCTCCGTGCGTTTATTCATTTACAATTAAACTTTAGAGGAGCGAGCATGTCAAATCTCTTTCGAAAAGTATTCTGAAAAATGAAACGTAATAAAAGTACACAATTCAAATTCTGAGATGTATATATACGACCACTCTTTAAGCTTCTTTTCTCAGTTTGTACTGCAATCCAACTTATGCATGGCAACTCATGAAAATGATAGTCAACTTCCATTTCAGTAAAGGGTGCCTTTCGTAGTGCCCTCTGTGGAGGCCTGACATGGTCATTTTTTACGGTAACTTAATTATTTGAAGTAAAATGATTTGCTGAAGATGAAGCTAAATACATATAATGGTATGGACTGTGGGTTGTTCTACCCTCTTTAGTCGTTCCAAAAGGTAAGTTGAATGTATCTTGAAATACGAAAATGCAACATTTGATTTTAAGATCGTTCTTTATTTGACCAAGAGTTATGGCTATCTGATGCAACTACAGTAAAATATGTGTACAGTGAACACATATGGAGCCCAAAAATGTGTTCCCAGTTGGTATAGATGTTCACTCCATAGAGGCAATTTCATACAGAAGTCAGAGGAATATTTGATAAGAAGAGGTGTTCACTAGAGAAAGATATTCATTGATACAGGTTTTACAGTACAGCACGTTTACAAAGACTTTTTTTTATAATTTTAGTCTATGCAAAACGATGAATTTCATGAATTTCAAATAATTACAAATTAAATCTGTATTGGGATCATCTTATATACAGTAATATAATATTATGTGGTAAAAGATAGAGAGATATTATGAGAACTTTATGATCAACCCTCGTACATCTGTCGGAATGCATGATGTCTGTGCGCTATTTCGAATAAGTAAATTCATATTAGTCCTATTTACACTACACGTGACATTTCAAGACGTCTAGGCGAAAACGTATTAGAAATATTATGTTGAGTTTACATCATGTTGATTCATGTTGATTTCAGTACAAACCTCCGAAAAATGCTAAGAGTGGTCGTTTTTATATCTCAGATTTACATTACCCCATATCTCCAAGAGGCTGCTTGTCATTATATAGGAAAGTGATTTGTGACGTTCTCTCTTCTAACATGTCTAAGGGTACTTTTTAAAGATATAATTTGAATCTTAAATTCTTAACGTAGTTCACAGTTTAAACTGCTCCGTCAAAGATGACAAAAAATGTAAACATTTTTTTTTATAAAAAATATTAAAAATACCCAATACATCAAGATATCATTAATACCTTCAGAGTTATGCTGGTAACATATGTAAATATTATCGTGTCACTATATTGTACCATTAAAAAGAAATAAAACAAATGGTACATTTTGGAGTATGATACCCCGGCGCCGTTTTCAATAGCTTTTACTCTTAGCGTTGTTGGACTTCAAACAAAAGTTAAAATTACCGGCAAATGATATACCCATTGTATGGAGTCAGTAATTTTCTTTGGTATAGCGAAACATATGAGTAAAAAAATAAATTGTGTGGGTTTCTTAGTGTTTCTATGCAAAATAGCACGCTCCGTCACAGCGGACAAATTTTTCGATACCAGCCTGTGTACATGTATATTAAAAAGTTACAGCGTATTTGATATCATATTTTGTACCCACTATATACTTTATGGGGGTAGAAGCTCTGCTCGAAAGCTGATTTTCAAAATGGCCGCCTTTACTAGTTATTTTACGGTTTTTGCTGTAACTCGAAAAATGGTGAAATGATTTTCTTCATAGTTGGTATGTGAATACTATAAGCAGTGGAGCGATTTTGTTCATATTTGGTATGTGAATACTATAAGCATGGCACACTGTCTAATAACACTTTTGGTAGAAGGCGGCCATTTTGAAAAATGGCCACCATTTTTGCTATATACTATGTTTTTAAAAATGCCAGCCATGGCTGTTCGATGGGATTTGCTACGCTTTGGCGTTGCTGTTGTCTAGTTGTCTTTTCCCGTCTGTTTTCCCGAGACCTCCCTCATATTTGGCTCGCTTGCCTTATCCCCACTTTCCTTAGAATTTGCCGTGTTACGTTGAGACAGTAAACTTTCGTTGTGAATTGACTCTCGCAAAGTATGGCCCTTGAAAAGTTATACCCACTGAAACATTTTAAAATGATTTTTTAATGGCATATGCATGAGTGAATCGAATATACGGATAAAAAGGTATCACTCTGTTCGAACAAGGTTAAATGTCAAGTCTGACAAGCTGAGGACGAAAAGATCCGCCCACCCACACAACCACCCAAATGTGTCATTATTTACAATTGTATTTCGTTATACTATTCGTTCTTTTATAGTTTAGAAATAGTTCTGGGCAAATATATTTCCTAACCTCATTATTTTTAAAATGTTTATATCATATTCGTAATTATAATTAAGGATTATCCAACAAATCTGTGTGTAAAATTAAATGAAATCCTTAGATGACCTTGCCACCGAGAGTCGTAAGATAATCGTACGATGACCGTACGGGACACGGCCGGATAGGTACCGATGAGTTTGGTTGAGAAAAAATCGCCAAAACATCGGCAACTTTTATGTCTGCGATAAAACTGCAAGCCCCCGGCCGACGTCTAAAAATCGGCCAATGGTGCTCGATCATCGCCCGGCGCCCGCATGATGCCCGGGCTCACCGGCCGATTTTGAACAAAATACTCATCGGCTGGGTGCCGTAGTGAAAATTGGAACAAATGTGACCAAGGCATTGATAGATGATTTCTTCCAACAGAGCGTTAGACATTATAAAAATCAATATAAGTTTACAATATGCTCAATGTACAAAGAGGTTTACAAAAAACTTCTTTCATAATTTACAATTGCCAACATCTGTTGTCTTATTAAAAAATTGTAATAATATTTACTAGGTAAATATTCATTAGACCATAATTATGTTTCTGCTTATCAAACGATGCTCCAAATTTGCTCTATATCGGTTTCGAGCACATTTTGCATTTTCTGCTGTTTACAAAGTACAGTAAATCGAGGCCCTGTGAAAGGAGAACATCAACACATTTTATGGCGAGCCTTCGGCCTAAAGCTCAGATCGATTCATTCCTCATATGTTGAAACGGGTCTATGTTATATGAGAAAATTCATTTCTTGCTCAATATGTATCTGTTTACTAGTGAACGCGTTCGCGAGAAGCCTTGAATACGATTATAGTTGTTGATTAATCGGCCTACTTTTTAAATTCTCCGAGGCGGACTTTTCAGCGCTTAAAGCCCCATTTTGCGTATTTTTAATGTTTTTGGGCAAAATAAAAGCTTACGATATTTAATCAAAAAATATTTTTGATCTGTCAAGCTTTATATATCAAGTTTTATCAATGTCATTGAAAGATGGCGAAGTTTTTTGTAGAATATGATACATTCATTTTTATAGAAGTGTCGCCATCTTTTAAATCAACAGTAATTTAAAACATGCACTTTGTTTAACATGTGCATGCATTTGTCTAATGATCTCTGAACATCAAATGCTTTTTTCTATGTGAGTTATCTTTTTCTTTGTTCAATATTAAAGCAAATCAAACTTTGTGTCATATTTGAGCGAGGGTGTGAGTTACATGTTTCAATGATTATTTTTTTCTTTTTTTTCTTCTAAATTAAGTATAGTGGGCCTTTAACCTTAAATATATTTCGACCTTATCAAAACATTCTAAAAGTTGATTGACTCAATTTGTTTTATCCAGAATACTAAAAATTAGCTTTAATATCGAAATCACAAAGTTGGGCAGTTTATTTTGGGGCAATAACAAGATACATCTCGGCGTAGGCCAAAATATGTAAGAATGACCAACTAGTGAACAATTTACCATTGAAATCGGCAAACAGTAAACATTTTAATATGCTCAGAATGGGTCTATAGGTGACAAGTACTCTTTAATTGCTCCAAAGCGCCTTTCAACTTCGACATTTATCCAATTCAGTGTCGGTTAGATCACTTTTACTCGTGATTTGATTAAATATGTAAACACATGTAATAATGATATCGGGAAACCATTCATGAATTCTCCCGAACCTCGGCGACTATTGTTAAAATATATTGAAACGGATTAAAGGTTTAAACCATTTAGCAGTTCAGAGTTACCCTCGCAATATCATTCAGTTTATTGTTGTATTTTTTACAAAGTAAATATATTGAGATGAATATACTATTGTTCTGGTGAATAACATTGTAAAAAGGTATACACATTTTGTCATGTATCTCCTTGATACACGTTTAAGTATATCACCCACACGAAGGGAACACATTTCATAAAATAACCTAGGTTGTTCATAAAGGGTCTCAAATACAATAAACCGGATTATCTCTGGCCACAATGGATACTTCTTGACTGTGTTATCGTAATCTATGTTACAGAAACACAAGGAAATATCAAATTGGAAAGACCGGAGGAAAGTGAAAAAATGTAAACATCGTATTTCTATTATTCAATCACCAACGACAGATTGTCATATTTTCGGAAAAAAAGTTTGGACTAATTACTTAATATTTAAGGTGAACATCGACTAAGTAGAAGTAAGGATCACCAATTTAAGGATTTTTGAGACAATACTGCCTTAAGTTTTGACTTACTGTTGAAAAATGAAATAGAAGGTTATATATTTGGATGACATTCATTACTGGTAATACATTGATTTAAAATATTATCAAACAATTTTTGAGAGAGAAATGACCAAATTGCAGCTTTTATTGTGGGAGAAGAAAATATATACGTCTACTTTAAAACTGAATTTTATTGTTTGATCGTGGTTATTGACTCCACGATCGAGTAAACCATTAATTAAAAAATAGGATTCCTGTTGAAAGATGATGTAAACACAGATTTCTATACATAGTTTGAAGGTTTATATGAGATAACCTTTATAAACCGAGGGAGAAAGCATTAATATTTTAAAAAGTACAATTTTATAAGATCAAATCGGAGTCTAAAAACCACTATGGATGCACCAAAAGAAGCTGAGAAAGATCCAGCATTCTTGAAACTCGCGAACAATGTAACGCTTGTGAAAAACCATATAAGGAAACACAGAGGGTCTATTATTTCTCACCAAACATCGGGACGAAAAGATACCAGCCCAAGAGAGTCTTTCGATGCCAGGGAGAAATTACTACGCGGTATGCGAACGCTCCGTTTTGGCAGCGCAATTTCAGAAGTTTTGAAACTCGATGAGTTAAAAAACTCTACACCTCCGAGTCAAGTAAGATTCAAGCGAAAGAAACTGAAAGATATCGTTAAGAAAATGACTGAGCAGAAAATAGTTACAGAGGAAACGTCGGATCACGTTGAACTCACGGTAAATTCATTTTTAATGTTATTCAAAAATGTATTATCAAATCCAATGTAAAAGAACATAATTGTGTATTTATGAAAAGCATAATTTTCGTTAATGTTAATTTGTACTTATAATGTTCATATAGATGTCATTTTATACGTCTATGAACTATTTCCACAAACTGTTTATCTCATACAAAGGGTTTTTATCAAAACATTTCGATCGAGTTTTTCCCTGTTTTTTGTTCATGATCTTTTCATGACAGGCTAAGCCCCCTTTCAGGTCTCGTGTTTGAGCTATTGTAATGTTTCATATCAACCTTTTTGTCACTATGGTCAGAGCCATTTATTCACAGTTTTTTTTTATTGAAGCCATATCAGAGACTTCGACAGAAGGCCAAAGCAGTACTATTGATGATCAAAGTCTTTAAGGCATGTCAAGAGTAAGTTAGGAAGGAGTATATGTATATTGTTATGAGTATTATGTTTTGCTGAATATGGATAGTATGAATTTGTTTAAGCTGCAATATCAAGAGAGAAATAGGCTAACAAGGAACATCCTTTTAACAATAAGGTCGGCGGCATTCATAAAATCACAACTTTTGGTGATTGATTCATTAAGTTTGACGGAAATATATGTTTTCTATGTATGGTATTTATAATTAGCCAATTTGTAAGGCTGTAAAATTATGTAAATATGAAATTCATAATATATTAAATTTCACACATCCTGGTTAAACTGTACGATTGCTTCAATTATACATGCTCACGTATATCATATTTTAGTTTCATGAGCGATGAGGTGTCACGTGAGAACTGGTACAACATGGCCGACAACATTACAGGGACCATCGACATCTCACCGAATAGGAACCGAGCGTTCATGACATTCGTGCCAAATGATAAACACGAGCTGGAGCAACTGACCTTCGATGTCTACCAGTTTAAAAGGGATCACAAGGCAGAGGTTTGATACTATTTGGTTACTACAGTATACTACTATCCTTATTTAAGACCAAGTGGTCTTATTGGTGGTCAAACTCTTATAAAATACCCTGTTCTAATGAGCGTTCCCATAAATGAATGAACGTACGTTTAAAACAATATAATCGAGTCTGAAAAAAATGTATCACAAATATCCTAATTCCCCATCAACATGTCCTTGATGGCATAAAGCATTGCTGAATGTCGCCCTACCAACTTTGAACAACCACATGATGTAGTTAGTGTGCATTTTGATTTTACGATTATGGCTGGCCATAATATCATACACTTCAACTGATCATTCTGTCACGAAGGGTTCGGTTGTTAGGACCATTTTATGACTCTTGTCCTTTCTGTATAGGTCTTATGAGGAAAATACAAATACAATAGACAGGACATATCATTACGTTTTGTACCTTGCCCTCCGATGAGGATATCGCCTCTCCGTTTCGTTGTTCAGGCTATCAGTTCCATGATGCCTGTTGTTGCGTAGCCTCTCCCTCTCCTGGACTACAATACTGTATAGCGACCGTCGAGATGTCCTTCTCGATAAATGACCAACGCTTGGCTGTGTTCTGTTGATCAGAATAGGCCCTCTTGTTACCTAAAAATACAATTTATGTGATTATTGTTAGATCCTCTTTAATTGGTTCATTTGCCGCCTTTTTGAAGTGCTTCGAAAATGGATGTATGAATGCTAACTTTATATATTGGGGCAAGACGCAATACCACTGGCACCAAACCAATTGCAACACTGTACAATTTCTTAGATTCTTTAATTGAATTTCCAACAATTTAAACAAAACACCGTGTTTTAACTTTGACCTAGACACCATCGCTAATTTTTCATACCGCCATATACCAACAATTTCCCCGCAAAGATTCATTACAAAATACACCAAACACCAATAGATGTCAAAGGTGTAAGAAGGATTTGGGAGCAAAGTAAGAGACTCATTCATTTCATTTCATGTCAATTTTAGGCCTCGCGAGTCTCTGGGATTGGAATGGTTAGAATAAAAGGCTGTGTAAAATTCAGCGTAAGGTTAGCTCTAAGGTTCTCTCCTACATTATTTTACCATAGAGTCACGGCTTGAGAATCTTCCCGTATCAGGTTCTGGCCTATGGAGAAAGCTCGGTTGTCTGTTGAGCGACAGCTGTGGAAGTTTATTGAGTATCCCCCTTAACTGACGGAACGATCTCACCCCTTGGTACGGTGTTGCCTCTGCCTTCCGTTCTGTTGGGTGCTCTGTGTTCTCTTTCGTTTGTATGACATTGTCCTGTTCTCTCTCAATCATTGTCATCTCTTTCCCTACAACCATACACAGATCATATAATACTACAATGATTTCATATGCCATACACATAAGTCTTATCATAAAAATTGTCAGAAGTATTTATATGCCACATTTCGTTGTTGCCTTCTTAATAATTTAATTCATCTTTCAACTAGTACTTGTTGTATTGAAATAACATCATTCAGTTTATCAACGCAAGATTTGAAGTTTATTAAAAAGGTACAGAGTGTTACAATGCGGTTTAAGTCATGCGGTTTAAGTTATGCGGTTGAAGTGACATTGGTGATTGACTTAACTCGAGGGTTCATTAGCAACAGAAAACAATTCTTTGCAACGTTTGCTTGTTTTATTCTTCTCATAAACTGTAAAACAATAGAACGATATATTGATTAGCTTAACAGGTTCTATCAATGATAAACCAACTTGTTCCTGTTTTTTTCAGTTGCTAAATTGTTTGTCAGCTCAAGACAATACCCACTTTTAATTCCCATCAAATTTTGTCATAACAACAGGGGCGTAGATAGGATCAAAAATTTGACGATGAACAAGGTCATAACCATTGTGATGTAATAGTATTGTTATTTCATCAATTTCATGACAATAAATAAAAATAAATTTTATACAGGCCACGGGATGGCTCGAAAGTCAAAATACACCAAAAACATTTTGTATCATGTATGATTTATTGTTACAAAGTCATAAAAGTAGTTTTAAGGTAACTATTTCCAATATTTTGAAATATTTTCAGAATGTGTTAACAGATCAGATCAGAAACATTCTACGTTCTCCTTTTGAAAAACGCACATCAGAACAAATAAACGAGGTAGGTCCAATTAAATACAGGATGTCAAATAAATATGTTCTCCCCCTTTATTTCAAAAGTATGAACTTCTGTGCATTGTATTGTGCACAACAGTGCATAGAGCTATTCATGTTGTTCCATGAAGCCTAGTTTCAATGTGCTAAAGAGCATGCAATTTAGTTATCAAGCAGACCAAAAATGTATGGAACATTATGAAGATGTTAAAAATAATGGGGGTGAGCATATTTACTTGATTGATATGCCGAGTAGATAGAATATCTGTGAAATATTGAATTGAGGAGCCAAGGTTTAGATCTGATTTTTTTGATTTGATGTCATTTTACAGGTTTTTAATGAGATTAGTCTATTACTTACCGACTTCTGACGTGGATCCTTTAAAACTAATAGTCCAGTTTATTCTTCCCTGTATCACACCATCTCAAAAATATATGAACTAGTTCAATTCATGGCTAATGTCTATAATGAAATGCAACGTTACGTGGTCTCAACATTTCTGAATAGAACCAATGTAAAATAAAAATTGATCAATTATGGAAGTAAAAAATCAAAGTTATATACCTTTTAGACTTTGAATGGTTAATTTCATATTCAGTCTACATCGACAATGATGTTGTTTTCTATTTGACAAGGAAATAGAAAATCAGGCTATTGGGAAATATTGATTGAATTCTCATTAGATTTTAGTTACTCCGTAAGTGTCTACTTTCAAAAGCACTAAGATTGCTCTATTGTTTGTCTTGTATTAATCGTTTGCCCATTTACACAGAACCTTCGTAATCCTTTTTATATTAGAATTGAACGATGAAAGTTGAATCTTCTACAATTGTATCGACATCTTGTTATCTTGACAAACACATTTTCATTTTGGCATTAGAGCATAAAATGGAATATGGCAATATAAATGTCTTTTATGTGATAGTACTAAGTTTGTTTGCAAGGGAACTCTTACGACGATACTTAATTCTTCACTTTTTCACGGCAGAAATTACGACAGAGATTTCTATTTAAGCTAAATGAGACTTACCCCGGCGCATTGGTACTTGACGATTGCAATCAATGAATTATTTACTTATGATATATTCCATATTGCCCAATCTATAATTTACAATTGCTAATATATCATGTTACTAAAGACGAATATCGCTTTTTATACTTTCTGCAATTGTCATTCTTGCTCGGTCCCAATTCTGTTTATAAAATGAACTTGAAAGATGAAAGACGATTCTCATTTTACCAAAAGTCCAAAACGAGACTCTATAAACACTATACATGTATACATAAAACGTACATACAATGTAATATAATGTTCTTTAAAAGATTAACCTATTTTGTATTTCAAAGGTAGATTGATCTAAAGCGAGTGACAAAATTGCAAGCAACATGTACAAACACAATATCTTCTAAAAGATCCGCAGAGTGTTTATCAATTGGTGACGTTATTCAAGATTCAAAGCGGTCGATTTGCTACAAATATGGAGTGCTCCTCAATCAATAAATGAACCTGGCCATGGGAAAACCGGTCTCATTACAAAAATTAAATTGTGCTACAGAGCCAAAAATGTGCTCAAGATTAAGAGGAGAAAGTGCTTAATTCAAATCCGTCTTTTGGTCCATATCAGCAACAAAAAATTGTTAAGACATAAGCCATAGCTCATTTGAAAGGTCTCTTTGTGCTTTTTAAGATAAACAAAAAATCAAAATATTGAAAAATATGTGATAAGACCCCTTTTCCTGTGGCCTGGCTCAAATATGATAACAATATCTATAGAGAAATGAACACACTATTGTAGAAATCATTAATTTTTCCTTTTTAAAATATGGAACTTGGTGATTTTTTAGGAAATGAACATGTCAAGGAATGATATGAGCCCATAATATTGAAGAATTGAGACTATTCATGTAAGGTTGTTCGCTAGATCTGATACTTTCCTTTGATTTAATTTGTACCTCCAAAATTATTGCGATAAACAGAAACCATTTAATTTTAATGTTTTATTGTTTTAGACGCTCATGTGTATGAAGAAACTTTCGGACAAGTTCAACAGCTACCCACTCGATGTCCAAAGGAAACTGTGTACCCACGCACAGTATATCCAGTAAGAAAATGACAAATCCTAGTATGCTAAAGTATGAAATGTCACTCACTAATTCCAGTCACATTTGTTTTTAAACTATGAACATCTAAAATGGAACTGGTATGATCGGATATATCGTTGTTTTGACTATGTTGATAGTAAGTTATGCATTATTGTAAAACGAGAATCCCTTAGATAGAGGTATGATACATTACTTTTTAGATCTAAACTTGAGATATTTGGGTTTACTTTCCTTGTAAGTTGTTACTGTGTCTTTTAGCTTTTCTCTTTGGCACTTGAGCATTCATATTTATCCTATTAGTAAATATGTTTACAGTGTATATATTAGATAACAGTCCTTAATTGAACACAGTCGAATCCTACCAAAGTAACTCTCATTCTCATTGCCCTTGTCGGATTTTATCTTGATATACACTATTTGATGTTCAATTTGTTAGTATTACTAGACATAGAAGACATTATAGTGACTTTTTTTAAACTAATCTTTAAAACAACGTTTAAAATGATGATCTTTTATATTTCAGCATGTATCCGAATCGTGTTATATTAAAGAAGGGTCATTTTCCAGATGGCGTCTACGTCGTACTCTCAGGCATGCGTAAGTAAATTTAAACATACACTCCCCTCCATAAGTTTGGCAACCTTTTTTCCCCATTGAACTACGTGTTAAAGCCTCTTTACCTTTGAATTTTTATTTACTTAACCTGCGATGAAAATACTTAAACTATTGCTGGGAACGTAATTTGACCTTAATTCCAATACCTCCAAATTTTCTCAATTTTTTTCCTCAATTACAATAGGTCGAAAATTGATGATAAATTTGATGAATTTTTGAAAATCGACATTCCCATGTTAACCAATGGGAAATGGTAGGTTTGCCGCAAGTCATATGACAGAATATCCATCCATCCGAGTCCTTGCAAAAAATACGAGTTAGGCAGGCAATTGAATTTGATAACTTTATTTAACAAAAAATTGATATGTTTCTTCAGGTTTAACAAAGTTATAGGGCTTTAAAGTCAAAAATAGAGAGGTTAAGCAAGACGATTTTTATGACGCGAACCGCAAACGTAAACCTTTACGTTCCCGTTTACGTACTATGAACAAAGGTGCTTTAAGCTGATGACTTAAGACGCAACGCAAACGCAAACCTCAAACTTTTCTTTTTCTTTAAGTGGCCTTTCGTTTTATTTTCTACTTTAAGAATATAAAATATATTACTTTATTGACAAATTGAAGTGTTAACAAAGGAGATGTTTCACACCCTGGTAGTGTTCTATGACATCCCGAATCTTACAAAATACAACTGGACGCAATAATATCTTTAAGCAAGTCTTTAAAGCATTCATAGTTTTATTACTATGGTGTCACAATATGTATAAAGAATTAGGATGAGTTGATATGTGGGTAATTGCAATAACCCAGATGCGAGTAGAAATAATCTTGATCTACGTCATTAAAAATTCAAAATTCAGTCAAAGTAATATCATATTTGAAATCTACATGTAGAATTACATCTAGAAATGTGGTTTTAAAAAGTGTTAATCAACTTTGAAAAATTAATTTTCTTTGAAAATGTGACTTCTAGCTCGGGGAGATTCCCCATAGACCCCATGCTATAAAATCACAAAAAATGAAATATCTTTTCTTTTAGTGGACAGATAATATTTTGCTTTACTGGACATGTTTTCATGAATATAAGTATCAGACACATAAGGGTTATGTGAAAATTGAGCCACTTAAATTGATAATATTCAAGTTTAAGGGAACTTTCTTATATACCTGCCATGTTAATTGACCCGATTCAGCCACCTGGTGGTGAAACTGGTAACTACCTACTCGCATTTGGGTAATTGCATGTAATCTCATCAGATTTTACATATGGAATGGGTGCCTCAATATTCAAGTTATATTTGATTAGATTGGGACACAAATGATCTAGATATACAAAGATTTGTGTCAAACATATTTATGTATTCGACCTATATCATATTTATCTCCATCGAACTTGATAAAGTATGAAAAATCCTTTACGGAACGACCGACCTAGACTTTGATTTTTTCACGTTTGGATGTACGTAAACCGGGAAATAAGTAGAACAATATGACGTCACATCCTGAGAAAAACCTGCGCGCGCCTTCCCGTTCGCGGTTTACGTTGTAAAAAGTGGTATTGCTTAACCTCTCTATTGTTTTTCAAAAAACCTCTCCCATTGAAATAACACAGGAGGCGAAAAATTATTTTCAAAAATGAGTTTGAAGCGCTGTAACTTTAATATTCATCAAATAAACTAAACACTTAGTGTTCAAAAAAGTTAGACAATTCAATTTTCTATATGAAAATATTTTTTGCTGAATCTTTTACTGAAAATTTATCCTGATTTCTGATTTGCCCCGAACCCTCCATTTCCCATTGGATTACATGGGAATGACGATTTTCAAAAATTCATCAAATTTATCATCAATTTTCGACCTATTGTAATTCAGGAAAAAAATTGAGAAAATTTGGAGGTATTGGATATAAAGTCAAGTTACGTTTCCATCAATATTATAAGTTATTTCATCGCCAGTTAAGTAAATAAAAATTCAAACGTAAAGAGGCTTTAACACGTAGTTCAATGGGGAAAAAAGGTTGCCAAACTTATGGAGGGGAGTGTATACATGGTTGCCCGTAGCCAGGAAATACCAGGGGAAGGCTTTTTCCCGGGGGGGGGGTTACACATTTGGCTAAAAACTTAGGTGGAATTTGCTTGGAATGTTGAAACATCTCCCACACAATAATTTTTACCTGAAGAAAATGCTCTTCCGAGATTATATTTTGAGAAATATATAATAAGTGCAGATATATTTTCAAAACTTTTGAGCAATTCTATTTTTCAACGTAATAGGTATACAGTATGTGAGGTTTAATTTTTCTCTATTATAATACATTTAATAAAACTGATTCTTGTTAATTTGAGTCATTGTATAGAAAGGGATAGAAGTGAACAAGATGTTCTAGATAATGAATATCATAATTTATGTACAGTTATTTTACAGGAAATGAATAACAAGCTTAAGAAATTTACTGTTTTTTTTGTAAAAAAAGATATCAAAAGTCAAAGTCATATTGGACTGATGAATTAACTAAACTTTGGAAAAGCATGCATGAAAAAGAGAAAACATTTTTGCAATGTAGAAATAACTGTCACTTAAAGAGTATGTATAGACACAATTTTAAGGTAGCTGCAAGGCAATTTGATAGGTTATTAAGATCATCAAAAAGAAAATATAATCAAACTATTTTAGAAAACATAGATAAAACAAGTGATAAAAATCCAAATGAGTTTTGGAATTTTATAAAAAATACAGGTCCAAAACGTAAAAATGTCATTCCATCAGAGGTTATAGATAAAGATGGTAATGTAAATTATAATATTGATGCTGTATTGAAACATTGGCAAAATGAATATGCTGACTTGTATAATGCCCAGAGTGATGACTATGATGATATATTTTATAGGGATGCTATGGATGAAACAGTTTTGTTGGAAAATACTAATGTTGATCCTTCAATGGACACCCCCTTATCAATTGATGAAGTTGACTTAGCAATAAAATGTGCCAAAGATTTTAAAACTATTGGTCATGACATGATCCCTAATGAAGTTCTGAAATTTAACATTGTGAAACAAGCCTTACATATATTTTTTAATAAGTGTTATCAAATGAGTAAAATTCCAAGCATATGGTTGAAAGCAATAATATTTCCCATACCTAAAGGGGGTGATAAGGATCCAAGAATTCCTCTCAATTATAGAGGTCTGAGTATTTTATCATGTATTTCAAAAGTTTATAGTAGTATTATTAATAAACGATTTAAGCTTTTCTGTGAGGATAATAATCTTTTAGATGACACCCAAAATGGGTATAGGAATGGCAGATCTTGTATAGACCATATTTTTACATTAAACAGTGTTGTAAAGAACAAGATAAGAGATGGTAGGGAACTATTTGCATGTTTTATTGATTTAAAGAAAGCCTTTGACTATGTAAATAGAAATCTTTTATTATATCGATTATTAAAATGTGGAGTTAAAGGAAAAATGTATAAAGCCATTAAACTGTTTTTGGTAGGTACTGAATCAGCTGTTAAGATTAATAGTTTGATTACAGACTGGTTTGACACTAGATCAGGTATTAGGCAGGGGGATAGCTTATCTCCAAGTCTCTTTGCATTATTTATAGATAGTCATCTGAAAGACTTGCAAAGTAGACAGTATGGTGTAAATATTAATGACTCTGTAAATATTTCTGTTTCAGCATATGCCGATGATTTAGTTTTACTTGCAGAATCAGAGAATGACATGCAAGAACAATTAAATATTGTAAATAGATGGTGCTATAAATGGCGACTGAATGTAAATATTTCAAAAACGAAAATTATGCACTTCAGAAAAGTCAATGTTGAGAGAAGTAATTTCAAATTTCAAATTGGGAATGCCCTTGTAGAATATACAGATAAATATACGTATCTTGGTAAAACATTTACTCAACATGGTAAATTTGATGAAATTGTAAGAACCTTATCAGACTCAGCTGGAAGAGCACTTGGGTCATTAATTAACAAATGTAAATGGAATAAGGATCTTGGATATAAAACATTCACTAAATTATTTAATGTATGTGTTTTGCCTGTTCTCCATTATGGAGTAGGTGTTTGGGGAGCATACGATTGTTCAACAGTTTGCAATAATGTATTTAACAGAGCTCAAAGATATTTTGCTGGAGTTCATAAATTTGTACCACTTGATGCATTGCATGGTGATTTTGCTTGGACTCCCTTAGAAATTGAAAAAGATCTGGAGATTATTCGAACCTTTAATAGAATGATAATGATGCCAGATAATAGAATTACCAAACAAATATTTAAATGGGATAAAACTGTAAATAGTAAATAAAGTCAAGAGCTCCAAATTTTTTAAATAGATGTGATTGTCAAGATAATTTTGAGAATTTAGAGTATTGTTATATAGAAAAAGTCAAAAAGAAACTACTGCTTACATATGAAACAACTTTGAATGATTTAGTACACACGAAACCAAAATTAAGAACATATGTCAAATTCAAAACCTCATACAAAACTGAGTCATATTTATTGCTAAATTTATCTAAGTTGGAACGATCTTTAATTGCACAATTACGTATGGGAATTTTACCACTGGAAATTGAAACAGGGAGATTTAGAAATGAAAAATTGGAAAATAGAAAATGTACTTTATGTAAATCTGGCAACATTGAGGATGAGGAACATTTTATTTTTAATTGTACATTTTATAAGGAAATAAGGAAAACATATTTACAAAATCACCAAATTTTTGAAGAAACCGAATCAACTACGGATCAAAAGTTTCAGTATTTATTTGAAAAAATGCCTAGGCAAGCTGCTCATTTTGTTAAACTTTGTTATTTTAAAAGAAGAAATGCCATTTATAATGTAAATTGAATTTAACTGCATGTATGTGTCTAAGAAATTCATGCTAGTATTTTTAAAATTGTTTGTTATGAATCTAATTGTAATTTTTAACATAAGTGGTTGATAAGCCCAAGTGGGCTGGGTTGCTTTTTATTACTTTTCTTTTGTATTGTATTGTATTGCATTGTATTGAACCTACCACTGTAAATAACAATAAAACTAAACTAAACTGAACTAAACTGTATCGAAAAATTCCTTGACTAATTTTCTTGACGTTCTGAGTATTGATATTAAAAGTCCTACCTCATACTTTGCAGTGATCGAAAAGTCCGAAGATGACAAGAAGCCAGTTGAGCTAAGACCATCAGACATATTTGGGGTACAGTATTTTCCTAGCAATTATACAATATTTATTGATACGTATATAGTAAATCATGTGGAACCAACCACTATCAGTATATTATTTAAATAAGTTTATAATGAGGAGTATACTTTATCTTGGGTAAAGAATACTTCATCATAATATTAAACCAATGTTTTGTTGTACTTCAGGAAGACGATTTGAAATGTGGGTCACCAAGGCGGGTAACGGTTGTTACCAAAGCAATTACAGAACTCTTCTATGTACACAGAATAGTAAGCCAAATATTATGTACATCAAATACAAAGAGTATATTCATCAAACACAAATATTATATACATCAAATACAAAGATTATATCGTATACATCAAATACAAAGATTATATACATCAAATACAAAGATTATATACATCAGATACAAAGATTATGTACATCAAATACAAAGATTATATACATCAAATACAAAGATTATGTACTTCAAATACAAAGATTATGTACTTCAAATACAAAGCTTATATTATCATTATTATATACATCAAATGCAATATAGATTAAAGACTACACAAATTAAAAAGAGGCGTCATTTTGTCCTCGATCATTGTAAATGAAACCTTACATTTTGAGTTCACTTTAAAATATTATATACACGGCTCAAAATATTGTACACAATATTAATATTATTTAAAATGAAAGATGGTGCATGACTGACATATACATGTATACATGTAAGTGTGCGATAGACACACCTAAGTAAAATCACATTGAAATAAATATAAAATTTGAAATGATTTTTTTAGGATTATCACAACATATTCTACACCGCACCAGATGCAGACAACCCCAAAAATCTAGATATTTGCAAGTAGGTAGAAATATCCATAAACATACATTACGCGTACGTTAGATCTAAAATACATTAGAAACGGAAACATTGTTTTGGTTACTTATATGCCATGACAAATGTTCATGCCTGTATACAGAAGACTACACAAATTGAAATGCCTGTTTCAGCCAATAATTATCTTCACGAATAGGTTCAAAATTACATTAAAAGATAAAGGACCTCTGTAAATGACATATTATATCTAAACTGCATTTCTACAACTTTTAACGTGTGCCTTATTCATTACTTTTAGACGAGATATAGTATTCCAACATTTTAATATGCAGAAACTGGTGGACAACCCAAACACGTGGTCTGTGATGTCATACAAGTAAGTATTGAATCGTTCCAACATATGGCTATTGATGGCACACATAGTGATACGACGTCAGATACTGTACATCACGGCGTAACAGTGTAATTGTTCATTTTACCGACAAAATGCAAAGATTTACGCGATAAATATGCGCAATGCTCCTCCAAGTAATTGCAAACGTTTTAATATTCGTGGAATCTTCTTAAAAACTTCAAGTTTTGTTCAGATTAATGTGCGCTTCAATACAATTCTATATTCAAAAAGGTTGTGTCACGATATACAGAATTAGAATCACCAGAAAGTAGACATTTCAAACCCTACCCGTTTTCTTCTCTGTCGCGCTTTTCGGCCCTGCGCTCTCGTTGTCGCACCGTCTTTCTAGACTCTTTCACAATGCCCCTTGTCATATTCAACTGATAAACACAGACGAGAAGATATTAAGGATTGTTAAATGCATTATTTGTAATTTATTTTAACTCGAATATTTAGTTTTATTTATTTAAAGCAATGAATAATAAAGGAGAACATATAATACGCTAACGGCGTAACGTCTTATTTTGTAAAGGCTTCACTTGGGGTTGCGGTGATAAAACGATGTCTATCTCAATATATACTGGTTCAAATTAAATGAAATTAATTGTATGTAGTAAGGGGTATATTTAAAAGAACATGCTAAAACATTGGAAAGTTTTGAATGTTTATCCCTTAGTTAGAAATATTTGAACTCAAAAAATGAAACGTAATTTTGTGAATTTTTCACATGGCTTCACTTCATATTTCTTTCAATTTATACTTCTTACAGACTGAATTTTAATCGAAATGATATATTTTTTTGATAAAAATATAGAATATGATATGCCTTTCAGGAATCAAAAAAGAATAATTCACATTTCAAACGATTTAATGTTTAATTGATCAAAATATATATCTTGTTGGTACGAAATTCTGCCTGTCGACACTTTTTTTGCATAAATATAAGCGTTAAGTTAGCATTGTTATATTATGACGTCATCACACAGAATCTGTTTGTCTTTTCCAAAATGGTGAATTTAAATATTGTGAAAATTTGAGAAAGATCCGTTGGGAAATGAAAAAGTTATCTTCATTTTTCGTTTAAAATTGTAATCACTTTTCTTCAAAATGTTACAGTCGACACCCGGTTTTAGCATAGAAAGTCGCATGGTCGGCTTGCGTGATTCTCATTTAAAAAGTCCCAAATCAGTTATTTGGAATTCTGATAGGCAAAATATTTCATGGACATACGTGTTCAACTGATGACAAAAAATTGTAGAAAAATATGATTTTGCTGTCGAGATATTGCGGTTTTAAAAGTAAGTACGCATTAAAAATGCAGTAAAATGCCGCGATGTACAGTATCTGACGTCGTACCAGTATAAAAATATATATTTGTCAACTCAAGCTACCATTAACCATAAAAGTTCAGAAACATAACACTGAAAAATTGGCATTTGCCCTAAAGTATTCTATTCACTTACATCATATCAAATCTTATCCTACACTTAGTGTACTAAATATATAATAACATTAAAAAATAAATTTGATATTTATTGGCAAAATGAATATCCGGAGGATATCGTAACGATATACTCCGGGCGGAGGATATCGTGACGATATACTCCGGGCGGAGGATATCGTGACGATATACTCCGGAAACCCCAATATGCGGAGGATATTGTGACGATATACTCCGCTTGTTGATTTCCCGCCAAATTGACTCTATTTGGCATGGAATTCATTTTGCAATGATATTATGCATTTAGTACACTCCTTGTAAGTGTAGGATAATAAGAACATCCTATGATTTTTTCAGAATATCATTTTAATCTACTCGGTGATATTGATATATGCACTCGTTCGCTTCGCTCTCTCGTGCAGATATCAATCACCTCGTAGATAAAAATGATATTCCTCAAAATCATAGGATATCCTATAAATATCGTATTGCATCGTATCCTATCATATCATATCATCTTATAGACGCATTACAAAATAATGTTTTTCAAATTCAAAAAACATGTAAATCATTCGTTGTCCAGTGCATGAAAGTTTTCATTATTTTTACAGATTCGGAAGTTTAATAGCGAGGGATAGTAACGCAGTCGAATTCATCTATGTTCTGAAATCGGTAAATAGCTAAAGATATATGTGGTGTCTTCCATAATTCATACCATACTGGACAATCCATTGAACACATTTGTTGATCTGTATGATATTTTTACAATTTCTGCTGTGAATAAGTAGCATGTATGAATACCTCATAATATTCCCAAAACAAGGTTTGATCAAAAGAACTAAATCTAAGGATTTTAGAAAAGTTTCTTCAAAACATCTGCCTGAGAAAGAGCAAATCACAGTAACACTTGCTAGTTTCTGACTCTCCCATCTGAGCTATTATAAAGTCATATGAGTCCCATGTTTTTCTAAATTTTAATCCATAGGGAGAAGCCAGAGTTATAATGTATCTTGATGGCACAAATGTAGATATGAAGGCACAGCGTCGCAGACTTAAAGCCAATACTAACGCACAATGTCCGTACAACAGAAAGAGGCAAATTCTAAGCTTTGAGGAGGAGCGGGACTTCAGTAAGTTGAAAAGATTAGTAGTTCTATATTTTAAATTCTATGGTGATTTTTGAAGAAGCGATTATCTTGGAACAGTAATTACGTTCTGATTTGAGAGATTTCATCACCATAAAATTGCTACGTTCATCAGCATATAGTCATTTCCTTTTCCAGCTAAATCTGCCTATAAGGTTGGACAATACAATCCAGGAACAATTTGCCCACAGTCAGCACCCGCTGGTGCACAACGGGAACACCACCAGGGATGTATGTCACCAACCCTACGAACCTACTCCTCGCCGCCAACTAGATCAGTCAATAAACTTGCTCACATCTTAACTCCTAAACCTTTGGAGGACGATATCGTTATTAAAATTGATACGGAAAGTGATGACAGTGATGAAACCGATGATGACGATACAGATGAACCGCTTAACACAGAAAGGGCAATTGAACAAATGGCAGAGGCTAATGAACCAGAAGATTATACAAATGAAGATACCGCTGAAACAACCGGGTACATAGAGACGGGAAAGGGTGGTGATCACCGGGGAAATGATGGCAAATCTCGGCAAAAACGGAAATCTAAGATAAACATATCTCCGATTTCAAATTCAGAAAGCAAAATAACAGTGCCTCCATTTGTACAGCTGGAGTCCTTACATGCCGGACAAATATTTGTAAGTAAAAATTTAACCATTTTGTTTTGTTAAGTATTCTTATTGTTTCAATTTGATCGATAACAGCAGCTGATCAAATGATTAGATTATTTACTCGTGTTACTGATGAATTACTATATTAGTAATGATGACGAAATGTTTATTTTCTATAGTTCATTGTTTCTGTCAAATCTCTGTATTTTCATTATTTGTCACCATCAAAAGTGCTGACGTATTGTCTCCAACTTTTTGTGGCGGTGTTCGGCGTCTGTAACAAATGCCTTGTTAATTTGATATTTCCAGGGACTTAGGTCATGCTTAGATCCAGAGGAAAGGGGCCCCAGCGTAAGTTTGGTTAGCGGAGGCTGCGAGGTGGTGCAAATTAACAAACGATTCTTCATGAAGCACATCGATGAGTCAATATACAGTCTCATAAGGCTAAAGGTAAACATACACGTTTAAGGTTAGATGTTACTGAACTGAACTATTTAGGGGCGGTTTGGGCAATGCCCTGCTACTGAGACAATAAGGGAGATGCTATAGATGTCAGCCCTTGTTTTTATTTGGTTTGGTAGGGCCAGACTGCCATGGGCTTCAATGATAAAAACTCGTAAATGACCCTGCTTTGTAACAATATACATTTTGTGATTAATCATTTTTTTTAGTTTTTATGGTTTCTTTATTTTACTTTACAAAATTATCTACAAATGACAGGGCCGAGGCTGAAATCAGCATTATTGGCCCTGTATCAGCATTATTGGCCCATTATTGGTTACATATGCAAATTAATCATTAAAATTTTGGTCTTTGATTGACATCGAATTCAATGTTCAAGACACTGATAAGTCGTTGATATTGTTTTATTTCAGTTCAAGCCATTCCCTTCGCAACAGGAGATGATTGACAGACTAAGTACTAATTTTGAATGGCAGGAATTTAAACAGGACATGATTGGAGACTTCATCAGATCCAAGACAAAACCAGACCGTTCGTCATACACAAATACAACATGATATCATTCACTGCTGTCATATATTGTAGATATAACATAGATATGCGAAAAGAGACATCAGCCAAATAATTGCCATGGATAAGAGTTTGTCAAATACTATCAATAACAAAAAAAATGTATGTGAAGTATGACTAAAATAAATATATAAGTCCGTTGAAAGGTTTCAACAATGAATCATAGGTCGAATTATTTGTTCAACTTCATATAATATAGGGTGTCCCAAAAATGTGAATCGCTTTATGACAGGCATTTTCTCAGCAAGAGGCTAACTAAATTCATTCATTAAATTCATTATCATCCACAAGTCTTATACATATGAAGGTCACATATGTAAGTATTAGCAAATTCGGAGTTTCGTGTCAAGAATACCGATATCAGAGCTTTGCACTGCCATGAGACCTCAATCAGTCTCCTGTCAGGTGTCATCAGTCAATCGGTTCTACGATAAAATAGCTTGTCTGAGTGTTAGCTCTGTTGACTTGTTTCGTTGTCTGCATTCAAAATCCGTTCTGTCCAAAGTTTCAGTTTCAGGGGGATTAACGATGGCTTTTAGTGAAAACGATAAGGTTACTTTTGAAAACTATGGCATTATTTTTGCTTCTTTATTCATTAAATTCAAATACATTCGATATATTCGGTAAAAAAGTTTATAGGTGAAACGATTGGGTATGAGATTGTAAAGAATTAAGGGCAAGAGTTGGAGTCATGTAGATTGACTTATGATATACATCCAACGTGTATTTGTAGTTAAGGATGGGGTCACGGGAGGCGATATCGTTGGAAGAAATACATGAAAGCATATCTCCTTGGAAAAATGACTTCTTTCAGACTGATATTTGACATTGATATTATATATTTTGGCATGCTGTTTTTAATTTGAGAATACTCGCACTGATACCATATTATAGTTCGGGTTATTCGGGTCATCTATTGCTGTGAGAAAATACTTGTCAAAAAGCGATTCACTTTTTTGGGACACCCGATATATTCCCGCATTGGGAGAGTTCATGATCATATTGATGTATTTGTCATAACAGATGATGGCATCAACTGGTAATTGACAAACCATCCATGAGATACATCCCGACATTTTAAATGCCACCACCAGCTATAACTGACTAACTAATGTAAAAATTCATCTGGGCATATATTGATTGAGAAGCCATCACAATTTTGATCACAAACTGTTTTAATTCATGGTTCTAAATTTAATCGATTTCCCAATACCAACAACAGAAGCACAAACAATATGACATTTTATAACCTTAGTTCAATTAGAACGATGCGAAAAAAATATTGTTTGAGAGTATGCCTAAAAGGAATTCAATTCGCCATTTTGTTATCGCTGGTGTCATACGTGATCATTCTTTCATCATCACAAAGCTTTGAAGATATGGTTAGAGGGGCGATGAATGGGTCTGAACATTCGCATGAAAGTGACCACAGTATGGTTTTAGTGACGGCTGCACACGAGACAAATTTCAGAGCTGTCCAGAACCTGATTGGTTCAATACATTTCTGGTCACCAAGACGACAAATTGTTATATTTGACGTTGGGCTGAATGATGCTCAACGTGACATGATCATGGCGTGGTGTCATGTTTCGTTGCTATGGAGATCAATGCCAAATAATCTTCTACCGCATTTTTACGATTTGGACAATCCTTCGTGGAAATACCTGTGCGTAAAAAAGGCTGTAGATATGTATGGTACAATTCTATGGATAGATCCCGGTAGTGACGTTAGAAGTCCAATCGATGTCATAGAGACGATTCTAAAAAGAGATGGTTATTTCTTTATAAAAAACGGAGAGAACAACGTAGCAGATCACAGTCACTTTGAAACATTGCAGCAATTTGGCGTAGGGTCCATGGATCTTTCATTGAGACCTATATTATCGGACGACCTCCAGGGGTTTGTAAGAGGATCACAAGCGTACACATCGATACTAATACCTCTTTTGGACTGTGTTACGAATACGTTATGCATGATCCCAGGAGAGGCAAACTCAAAAAATCACCATTCCGTATTATCAGTAGCAGCAGCAGCAGCTTCAAATATAGAACTCAAGACACACACGAAATTAGTGTCCTTCGAAAGGAAGGACTTTCCAAGTCAACCAGAAATGGTGCATGGTATATTAGTGTACATTGCTTCACGTAAGTCCAATGAGTATTGGAATAAAGTAAAAAATTGCACCGTTAAGGCAGAGCATAAGCAAGAGGTTTAAGATGACATACCAAGGAGAATTGGATCCCAGGGAACCAACTCGATATTCGACCTAGACCTTGATTCGACTATATCAAAATTGAAAATGTCGTTATTTTCTGACATTATAAATTCATATTTAACAGTCCAAAAGATTCGAACCAATGTCTCGATCACTTCTTTTTGTTCGGAAAGACCAGAATATTGAGACGGAAGCCTAGGACCAAATCCTTCTTGATGACATACTACTACTAAGCAGGTTTAATGCGCATTTATTTACTGCGCACGACGTCATAGCGTTAAATAACTTATTAAGATTGCTCTACCTCGTAGAATACGAAAATTTCAGTTGAATTTTGTATAACACAGAATTGATTTTAAAATATATATATCAATTAGTTTAATGCTTATAAGGTATCATATATCCTACATGTCTCAAGCTCGTCTCGTTAAAATCAGAGACATAATTTATGTCTCTGATTTGCTAAAATATATATAGGTTATCGTTAAAGTTTTCTTAAAACCAAGCATTTCCCATTAAACCAAGTTTCTCATTTAATATAATATTTAATATATTAAGATCAACAACTTCAATATTTATAGATACATATATTTACAGTGTATTGTATTAATTTTGGGTTATGCCAGCTCCATTTCTCTCCAATTATAGACGTTGTACAACAGGATGTTTGATAGAAAACAGTACTCCGCATGATATAGTATATATTAGACTTGTTTACACCAATTAAATGTTATATGCGGATGGGTGAGGTTTTTTCTGTGGGGTCATGGAACTGTACATGCTTGATGACTGGAGGCTGTATGCTGAGGGGTAGTAGGGTATGGCAACGCTAGTCTCCTCCATGCCTCCGTCCGATATCGGCATCATCTTTTGATCCTGTAAATACATCGTTCCACAGTAGTAGTATTGATCATACATTGGGCAGTTTGGAAATGTTTTGGTGGTATGGTCATTAGGGCCTAGTAAGTTTATTATCCTTCAATTCCCTGATATCGACGTCATGCAATGGCACAAATGATTATGTTAAGGTAGTTCCTTGAACAATTGATCGCTTACTTACTTACTGAAGTTCCATGCATGTTATTTCAAATGAGGTACTCTGAATGAATTGCACATTATATTACGAAATATATTTAGTTTGACTTCATTTTTGTACTTTTGAGAAGTAGGTCACTAAATGTACATTTTGATGTATTTTATACATTTTAGAAAGATCCACCATATTACTTATACAGTAACATAACATTAATGCACTCTTTATGAAAACTGAGGTGGGCCTTATTATATTCTAACAAATTCCTCAAAAAAGATAGTGTTCCATTACCGGGAATCGAACCCGGGCCACCTGGGTGAAAGCCAGGAATCCTAACCACTAGACCATAATGGACTTACTGAGTAGGGGCCAATTAATAATCAATTTATTTTATTTATTTCAAACTGAGATTTTGGTTACAGTGGTGCCCCTTACAGTAGTATACTAGTTTTAACACTATTACCCTGACGTTCAACGGTTTAATTTACCTTTGAAAATAGGAAGAAAGTTCTGTCCTTCAATAATATTAATCTTAAGTTGTATATATATAATCCACTTACTGTTGGAACATTACACGTAGTTTTCCTAACATGCTTGGGTACCTTGTATTGACTATGCCAGTACCCCAGAACACAGTAGACAAGAAGCGTGATTATTAAAGCGGGTAAGATCAGAAATATCCCTAAATAGAAACTGAAAATAAAACAATAAAATAAAAAGATTGGGGAAGGTGCTAAAAATACGTCATAAATCGTTTGCAATTAATGGTTCTTCCCTTTTCTTTATTGAATTTTCAGATTGCTTAAGGTAGGCGGAGTAGAATGAAGAATCTGGCTTTTATCATGCATCTTTATATGAAAAACCGGTCACAGATATAACCCCACCTTAATTATAGTTACTTACCTATAAAATTGATGCCACATTGTTATGACTGTTAAATGACCTTGACCTTACTCGGCTCATCTAAAATGTAATTATTTGAAGTCATTAGTAAAAAGTAAAACAGTTTATTTTGTTTTCTTGTGAATGTTTGTTTTATTCCTTTTAATTTTTGGTGTCATCGCGTAAAATGCGCTTTTTTGGACTGTTCAACTATCTTAATGTTAATAGTTTAGTAATTTATTGTATTCAAGTATGACATCAATTACCAATTCATAGAATTAGTCATTGTGATTCACTTTCAGGTTTTTGTGTACCTGTCTAATGCAAGCTTAATGTATGAGTGAGTCAGACATTTTGTTATTATAGGATCAAAATATTGAAATATTGAAAGAGGCTGAGAATATAATGGTGTAAGAATACCTTAATATTGAGTACCATATAAATATCTCATATCATAAAATCACCGGAGTTTATATACTCATTCTCTTTTTCATAAGGAGCATGATATATTCACGGTGATACGAAATTTTATTAATGATATGACAATGCAAGTAATGAACTTAAAAAATCCAGTCTGTTAATTGAATTCGTCTTCTATTGAATAAAATAACCTAAAATAAATAAAATCTGAAAAAGACAACCGTTTAAACATAAAGTAAATGTAACAGTCAAATGACAAAACAACTAGAATTCGAATACACCCTAAGGCATACTGTGTATACTTGTATTCATGATCAATACTCGAAGATAGAGGCAAAAAATTATACCTGTTTGATGATTCTTTCTTGATGTGGTTTATTTCATTTTCTTATTTGATCATTTTTGAAAAGAACATATATCCTACTAGTAATGTTTGTGAATTCTGAGTGGACTTTGGAGCAAACATAGCAAACACATGGGGGCATTATGACTAAACTGTGAATAATTTGTTAATATTTAATTAAAAACAAATACTCATTGTTAATATTGATTCATGCGTTTATGCGACATCTATGAAAAACTGAAAAAGGTTGTTGGTTGATATATTCTATACAGAAGCCGCGGCCTTGTGATACCACTATAGTAGAACTAGGGGATGCTTATACTATGAATCAAAGGTTGTGGGCCGATATAAAGATGGCAGCACCACCAGAATCCATAAATAAACACAGATCGATTAACCATGCCATCTCTATTTAAAAATTATTTCTATCGACCTATGATTACTGTAAGCATGGTTTGCAAGGGTGCTTCATGATGCTCTATTCACAAGAATGTTTCCGTCAAAGTAACTAGTTGTGGAACAGTGTGTGAGCAACAGTGTAGATTTCTATTACAGTATCGGTAGCAGATCATAAACGTCCAATGAGGCTTTGGCTTTCAGGGGCGCCACTCATATTTTTCAACAATCGGAATGTCAGAATGTTGCTATATCCTGAAATATAAATATGTATAAATGATATCGAACTCCCATACAGTGTCTCGGTATAGACACTGCGGCGGGCAGATGAAGAAAATCCCCCAAATTTGGGGAAAATAGTTCCCCTTTTCATCATATATGTGGTCAATTTTCACACAACTTATGAAATATGTATTCATGAATGTTCCCCAAACATTATTTTGTCAAAATATTTCAAAATTATTGAAATATGAGAAGAAATCACCGCGGAAGGAATTCTGAGTAAAAGTTGTGTTGATAATAGTTTACCGCACGTGTTGTTTATTAGTTAGTATGCGCAATTCAACCAATGAAATTGTCTAAATTTTACAATCACGCGACCTGAGCATGGGACTAGAACCAATCACGTCGGTTGTTTATTACGAAGTTACCATGCTAACGGTGAGATACCTGCCCGCCGCAGTGATATATCACTGCACGGGAGTTCGAAATGATATATAAATGATTATTAATTTCTTATCAACAGTTCAAAAGCTTCGAACCAATATCTCGATAATTTCTTGTGCGTTTTGGAATTCTTTGTTCGGAAATAAGACCAAATCTCCATATTTGGCAGAAGCAGAATATCGAGTTGGAAGCCTAGGAGCCGATCCTCCTTGTTACATGTAGGTGTCCGTCTTTGAGTTTACGCAACAGGTCGATTGTTAGTGATAAACGCACTCGAAGTAGCACATATACCACCTGAGAATTGATGAGTTAAACATTAATGAACGTGAACTTTTCATATATCTCGTATTGTCCTAAGTTAACATATGTTAACAGTGCAATTTGATGAATGATACTCACTCTCGAGCATTATAAATATGAAAGATCACTCGTCTTTTGCTACATTATAACATAATTTAGTTTAATTTGCATACTCTGGTATATCCAATATGAAGTTTGACAAAATATTACCGTATTTGGGGGAGTTCGGACTTTACCAGAATTGGATGTTATTTTTAACCGGACTTCCATGTCTCATCACGGCGATGCACGCAATGTCGTTCGTGTTCATAGGAATCAAAATACCACACAGGTAAGAGTTGTTGTCACTATCTTATAGTGCATAATCTTTGACATTTTCTTTCGAATCGCGCTTCAGATATTAAGCCATTAAAGACTTGTCTGACGATTGTCTAAAAGGACCAATTTTAGCAAACTTTCATTGATTATTAGGAAATAATTTGGTTCCATAAGAGAAAGGTCATAAGTTTAGGGTGTTTTTGTTATTTGTATGATATCCTCACTAAGTAGACGTCATCTTTTCAATTGAGCCTCCAGAAATATTTTATTTTATATGAAAATCTTCGCCATCAAATGTGCTAAATGCTGATCCTGAAAGCATCTCAAACATAAGTCAATCACATCAACTTAAGCAAAAGTTCTATCAATACTCGTTAATCATCAGTATAATTAATTGATTGACGGAAACACCCTGGAAAAGATTGTATTTCAAGTTTGCCTTTTTTGGGGGGGGGGGATTTCAAGTTCATTTTATTTTTTAAATAAAACAAACTGCTCTTGTACATGTATTAAACCTCGTCGTTGGGAGAACCATGGGCTTTCAATCTAGTTATAAACCCATGGGAGAACTAAGTACATTGGAAAATTGTTAAAATGAATTCCAAAGATTTGGTATCAAAAACAAATTCTGTGTTGGATTGGTTTAACAAAAATTAAACAAAAATATAAATATTATTCAAATCAGTTGTTACCGATGAAGAGATGACATTTGCATTGACGAGGAGTAATTATTTCAGAATTTTTCGATTAAAGAGAAAAACTGTTGACGTCTAGTTTTTTAGTTTTGTTAACATCGATTTTAATATTAAGATCTCAGGACGTTGCAAGAAGAGAAGACAGTAACTCGGTGTTATTCGACATACATTCCGACTTTCCGAAACTCGATACATCCAAACTTTTTCTCACTTTTATTTAGATGTTTCGTAGATGAATTTGACGGTAATGGTACAGTCAGCTATGACCATCAAGCAGTATGGAACAGTAGTATCCCCTTCGACAGCAACGGGGAGATCAGTCAATGCAAAAGGTAATGATTCTTTCGAATATTTCTCACATGGATTTGGTATCTTATAGTTACTGACATGCATCGAATAAACTATAACATTGAAATATTTTACTTCATAATGAATTTAATAATTTCAATATCAAATTATTTTTGTTGATAACATTTTAAATCAATTTAACTTGTTCCCATCTATATCAGCACACGTTCGCTTATCTACTCACGTCGTTGTTGATATCAATTCAAATTGCTAATAAAGATAGTTGTCTCTTGAAATATAGAATGATGGCGATAGACCAATCAAAACTGAAGTAACAGTGAAATGTATAGACCGATTAAGGAGGGTTGGAAGCCATTATTAAAACTCGATACTCCGTTGCCCGGCGTGTACCAACTTGGTAACAATATTACTCATACTTTTGAAGACTAGAACTGCAAATGAAACTTGAATATTACCAAAATATTCGTAATGTACATCTTCTAACAATATACTTGGTCCGAAAAGAAAGACATACATGTATCTTACTAAATTGTTCCACTGCAGGCAACGGAGTATCGAGTTTGAACAATGGCTGCAAATCCTCCTTGTTTACCAATGTTTGATTCCTCATGAACCACTAAAAATAATGCTTCCAAAATGCTGCTTCATTTGGTCACAATTAATCTTTTTTTTTACTTTCGGTGTATTGTCGTAAATAGACTAGATGCGAGTCGAAATAATCTTGATTAAATGATTAATTATTCAAAATTCAGTCAAAGTGATGTTATATTTGAATGAGGTTTTAAAAAGTGTCTATCAACTTTGAAAATTTGATTTTCCTTGAAAATCTGAGTTCTAGGTCGGTGAGATTCCCCTAGACATGTTATAACATCAAAAAAGTGAAACATCTTTTCTTGTATATATTAGATGGATTATATTTTCTTTACTGGACATATTTTGATTTGTATATAACTATCAGCTACATAGGGTAATATGAAAATCAAATCTCAAAAACTGCTGAATGGTCAAGTATAAGGGAATTTTCTAAAACCCTGCCATGCTATCTGCCCCGAATTAGCCTCCTTGTGGTGAAACTGGTAACTACCTATTTGCATCTAGGTAATTGTCTCCTGTCAAACTTTTAGGTTTTCCCCCGGAAGTAATAAATCTGAGATTGAATCATGTAATAAGTGGGTCTTCGACACATCGAAGTATAGTTCCTCAGTTAGGATAGATGTAAGTACATTATTGTGCCAATTGTAACTGTATCGTATATATAGGGTGTCTCAAAAAAAATGTACCCAAAAGTATATCAACACCATAGACAAACCAATCAATATTTTCAGACATTTTTTGCATGGTCTTGTAGATTAAAGATGAAAGTTTTTTCCCCTATACACAGTTTTTATTTCAGTTTTGCCTTTTTGATACTATAACCCGTTACCTTTTACACACATATTCAATGTAACCTCATATTTCGAAGACAGTCTGTATCCGTACTCCTACATTGTTCATCACATTTGATATATCTGGTGGAATGTTTTGATTTCTGTTCGGATGCTGGTCTCAAGTTGTTCTAGGTCTCTTAGCTTGAGTTTAGCATAAAAATGGTCCTTCAAATAGCCTCAGAGAAAAAAGTATGGGCCGTCAAATATGGTGAATAGGGAGGCCCTCACAATGTCTTAGAGCCCCCTTATACAGAGAGGTCAGAGGTTCAAGAAACTGCATTGGTTGGGATTCTAGTGTAGCTTTTGTTGTGTGTATCAATTTGAGACCACTGTGTTTTCATTTGGATACCATTTGGTCTCCTGGCTAGCCTGCCTTACTCTGGAAAGTAACTCCTGAATCATTTGCCAATAATTGACCTGATTATCTGTGTTTGTTCTGCCATCGTCGTCCTCAAACATCTTCCTCTGTGGCTATTTGAAGGATTGTTTTAATGCTTATTCCAAGCAAAAAGACCTAGAACAACTTAAGGGCAATATCCAAAGAGAAATCCAAAACATTCCACCAGAATTATTATCAAATATGATGAACAATGTAGCAGTAAGGATAGAGGCTGTCATCGGAATATGAGGTTACATCGATTATGTGTTGTAAAAGGTAAATGGTTAAAACATAAAAAAAAGACAAGACTGAAATAAAAATGGTGTATTGGGGGGAAAACTTTTATGTTTTGGCTACATGACCATGCAAAAAATGTCTGAAAATATTGATCGACTTGTCTGTGCTCTTGATATACTTTTGGGTACATTTTTTGAGACACCCTGTATACTGTACCTCTTACTTATCCCCTTCATAAAAATATGTCGATCCTTACAAATAAGACCCGACATATCTAGGGGAGTACTATAGGCTAGGTTAACAAGGATCACTGTTGGGAGTATATTAATTTGAGCATCTATACACACTGGCGGATTCAGAAGCTAACAAAGAGAGGGGCACATTTCAAGTAAGCCCTAAAAGACCAAGTTATGCCAAAAACGGCCCATTTTTAGGCCTTTTGGATCCGCAAGTGATACGTGTATGTCGATCCTTATAAATAAGACGACTATGACAGAATTATTAAACTAGCTAAAAATTTGAACACTTGGATATGAGTAATGCCAATTTGAGTATCGGGTTGGGTCTATATTGTTTCGCTATTTCGTATTTCAGTATTCTTTGGTGTGTGACCGGTCCATCCTCGCAGCAGTTGCCCAGTCAGTGTATATGGCGGGTATGTTGATAGGCGCAGTTCTGCTTGGAGAGCTATCAGACAAGTATATTTCTACCATGATAATGATTTAGTGTTAAGGATAACAGTAATGGGAATATTTAGAATAATTGGACATTTTCTTGTATTTTATTTTTCGTTTTTGTGATATTCATTATCACTCCTGGAAGCTCGTAGCATTATGAGAGCTCTAGCTCGCAAAAGCTGGTAGCATTTGTTGAAAGTCTAGCTCGCATAAGCAGATAACATTGATTGATAGCTCTAGTTCGCATAAGCTAGTATCATTAGTTAAGAGCTCTTATTCGCGTAAATAAATTTTGTAGTACTAGTTTAGAGCTCTAGCTCGCATTTAAGCAGATTACATTCAATTGAGAGCTCTTGTTCGCGTAAACTGGTAGTATTCATCGAGAGCTCTAATTCGCCTTTAAGAATAAAATATAAGTTTAGAGCTATTGAGTGGCTAGTTTCGCAGACCTTTTGGTAACCCGAAGGAATTGATGCATTATATTTATTTTAGGTTTGGGAGGAGAAAACTATTATTAATTTCAATCGTCCTACAATTGATAAGTGGAATAGGGCTGGCATTTGCGCCAGAATACTTCTCTTTTATATTCTTTCGTTTCCTTCTTGGAAATGCACACTCTGGAGTCTTCTTACCAGGATTCACTTTAGGTAGGTAGAGTATTGAACTGTTAGTGTTATATTTCATTTTCATAGTTGGTTTGTGATGTTTATCCATTTAATATATTTTTGATGGATTTGCAATTTTGTAGTTGGTATTTCCGTCTTTAATTAAGTTCTAGCATTGAGTTCATATCGTACTTATATAAGTCTTCAAATCGTACAATACGATGCGAGTTTGTTCACTCTTTTCCTATCTATGCTTGTTTTGGCTACACCTATTAACGTAATCCTCTCAATTTCAATTCCATTCAGTGATCAATTACTTCATCTTCAGTCCTTTTGCTAAACAATACCCCTTCTCAACTGTTAATGACTTACGTTTTGTGAAAATGTTACGAATAAAACATAATATAGTTAATGATATTTTAGGAATGGAGTTTGTTGGTCCAAAGGGCCAGGTTGGAGCAGGTATCAGCCCTCACATGTACTTTGGAATGGGGTTCTGAGAAAATGTTACGAATAAAACATAATATAGTTAATGATATTTTAGGAATGGAGTTTGTTGGTCCAAAAGGACAGGTTGGAGCAGGTATCAGCCCTCACATGTACTTTGGAATGGGGTTCTGTGTGATATCGCTACTAGCATATTTTATAAAAAGCTGGAAGTGGCTCCAATTGGCTATCACCTTACCAGCTCTGTTATTTGCTAGCTACTATTGGTGAGAACTAAAATTGCCCCTTTACTGAATGATTTATCACTCACGATATGTTTTTTTTCATTTTTGTTTTTCTTGCAGAAAGAAAAGAAGAGAAATTGTAATACATGAAACAATGTTAAAGGAATTGGAATATAATATTTTGTCTTGTTAACAAAAGTTAGAAATGATGATAGTGCCATCAGAACAAATTTACACAGAGACGTACGTAACATAGCCAATATGAAATACATTCGATTGATATAGATGTCTCTCCTTTATACCAGGTTGATCCCTGAATCCGCTAGATGGCTCTTGAGAAAAAATAGGAAAGAAGAAGCCAAAGTTGTACTGAGAAACGCCGCAAAGATCAACAGAGTCACTATACCTGATATTATTCTAGAAACAGTGAGTGAATTTCCAGGTTACATATAGGCAATCAAGTAGACAGACTCTTATTTTTCAGAGGAGTTAGAAGTTGAACCATCGGTCTTGAATTCTTTCAATACCGACTTTTAGAAATATTCAAATATGACCAAAGGTATGCCAAGTTTACAAGAAGAGGTTAAAAGGGTTCTCCGAGTACACAGGGAACAGGTCTCAAGGTCATTGTGTTAGTGTATATTGTTACCCGGAATATGGCATATATTCATGGTTGCGCTCGATATTTGTGTTACGGGTGAATATACCATACCCACCTGCGGTATATTGCATATTCCGCAGGTGAGTATGGCATATTTCGCAGTGGATATGCGATACATTGGTTTCAGTGAAGACCCGATACTCACTTGTGGAATATGTCATGCCTACTTGCGGAATATGCAATATACCACAGGTCAATATGACATATACAGCAGGTGAAAACGTGATACCGAAAGCCTTGATTTGATTGGTTGCAAGAATAATCTCTAAATGTAATGGATTTCCAATATAACTAGTGCTTCGAGTACTAATATATGAATCTTGGATTTATTGAGTAAATTTATTTCGTGAGATTGCTGAGTGATATTTCATCATTTGTTGATGTATTCAATAGACTATGCACCGTTGATTCAGTAATCATTTCAATAATTCACAAACTTTCACTCTTTCGTCCAATCGATGCAACTGACAATTGCGTACTTCCGCATCATGTTCTCATTGGTTAGTAAGTATGCCATATACCGAAGGTGAATCTGTCATACACCGCAGGTGAATATGCCACATTCGTTGCGGAATATGACATATATTTGTATCGTGTTTACCGCGTAACACATATTTTACTATTCATGATTTATAAACTAACTTTTACTCCAGAATATACGACCCCAAGATACTGCAATATCCTGAAGACTAGCTTGACACTCCATTTTCATTTGCCAGTGTTTCGCAATTAATTATCTTCTGTTTTAGACTGAAAAGGAAGTGGAAGGACCAAAAGAGAATTTTATACACATATTTAGATATAAATTCATGCGACGCAACGCACTAATTGTATTTTATGATTGGTAAGTATGCTTTAAGAATACCCCTATAGTGAGATGTTCCATCGGAAAACATAAATACTTTACATGGGTCTAGAATAAAAATCGTGCATAATGTCGACTTGTGTAAACAAACGTCTTCTTATTCATCTTGGCTTTAGACCCCATAGATAGATAGATTACTAAATATGACTGGTATTATGTATTCGTTTTAAAGGTTTGTTGTTAGTTTGGTATTCTATGGGTTGTCATTTGGGTCTGCAAGTCTTCCAGGAGGACTATACTTCAATGTCGCTCTTTCTGGTTTGGTCGAACTACCTGGCGCCATCTATTGTTGGGTGTTTATGGACAGATTAGGCAGACGATTTACGTTGTCATGTGCTATGTTGATAACCGGATGTTGTTGCATAGGAACGATATTCATAGGATCAAATACAGGTAAACATTCAGTAAATACAGGGTGTCCCAGATGTCATGAGAACATTTTGAGGGAGATATAAGGCATGGGTAATTTTTTGTCAATTTTGGAATTTCTATATGGAAAACGCAAGTGTAGTTTTTGGGATTATAGGGATTAGTGTCTAGTAACGGTGATTAGATAATACGTTTGTTGTTTCGAAAATAAGATATCTAAAAATGAATCATTTTAATTCACATTTTGAAAAGTACATACACAGATTGGCACAAGCGAATTTTAGATTGTACTTGTGTACATACCAACACTGCGTCGGACCATATTTGAAAACGGGGTTGCGATCTTGCGAAAAATATAGATGGAGCAGGTTTACTGATTGTGTTTTTTTGTAAAAACAGCATTTTGCTTCAAAACTTCAGTGGAGTATGCGTTTGCACTTAACGCACCCCTTCTGACGACCATGAAACATTGTACGATGGCACCGAATGATAGTTTACATTAAAAAACGTTTTTGAATGTTCATCACAATGATAAATATGCTTTATTTGTGAATTTAATGTTATTTGTAGAATATTGGTGGATATCCGCAATTCTGTCCAACATAGGAAAAGCGTTCGTGTCAGCTGGATTCATTTTGGTGTATCAGTATTCCGCGGAGTTATTCCCGACGCTGGTGAGAAATTCGGCGGTTGGCTTCAGCTCTATGTGCGCAAGGATTGGTGGAGTCATTACGCCCTTTATCAACTTTATGGTAGGCCTTATTCACTGTATACTTTCTTATGTAATCTGTTTTTTGTCTATCACAATTGCAAACAAGTTGGCGTTCGTATAAAATCTGAAATTGGGGAATGCATTAGACGTGTATAGTTTTGATTCAAGAGTGAAAACAACTCCTTTTTGTTTGTATAGGTGGCATTGATAGCATCTATTTTACTTCGTTTAATCCACACAGTTGCTCAGATTCATGGAATATTTCTAAGATTGATATAACATATTTTAATTTAGTCATAAATCTTGATGAAGGGAGCTGTGTTCTAATTTCATTTTCGAAGACTTGTCTTGAAAAAAAGCTTACTTCATGAATAAGGAAATAAATGTCGCATCTTACAAAATGCTTTGTTCGTCAGAAATGAATCCACCAAAATCCTTCAGAGAGCTAGATTTTAAATAATCACATACCATGCACAGTGAACACAGGGCTAAGATATATGAAAATGATTAATACTATTACACCCTATCTATAGGTATGGCAACCGACAGTCCCCATTTTATCCCATGTTAAAGCTTAAGTTTGAATCTTTAAGAAAAAGTGATTGTCCAGTTGATCTTTTTTGTAATTATTATAAATGCAATATGGACATTCATCATCATTTCACTCGACAAGTGAATGATCTCCATATCTCCAAATTTAACACTAACTATGGAAAGAAGAGTATTTTAGTTCAAGGTGGCCTTATATGGAATGAAACACCCTCTGATATCAAAACCTCAAAAAGCATCCCTATTCTCAAAAAGTCATTTAAAGATTATTACTGCAATCTATACTTGGAGGTGTAGTTCCTTGAACTACTGTACAATCTCATCAGATGTTATCATGTTATACTATTTAATAATGTAATATTGAAATTTGTACTATTTCTTTACACATTTTTATTGCTTGCACCTGTTATTGTAGAAGAGACCTTTAATCATTTCCATTAAATCAGTTTATTTTCTCAATTATGTACAATATCATACTTTACACAATTACATGTACACTTCTCATAATATTTCACAAATCATTGTAAATACCATTATGTGGCACCTAATACTCCCTCTTGGGGGTCATAGCCACTACAACCTGTAAATATGTTACATTGATTTTAATAAAAAAAAAAAAAAATTGAATACTGTAGTTACAATGACTTCGTTATGTTCAAATATTGAAGTTGTGAAAATCACAAAACATAGCCATGCTTTAAAAGCTTATTTCATTGCACAGGGCTATTTGCATCCCGCTGTCCCTGCTGGCACATTTGGAGGACTAGCTCTTATTGCGGGCTTACTGACGATTATTCTACCCGAAACACTCAACAGACCACTGCCAGAGTCCCTGGATGAAGGGGAACAATTAAACAGGTAAATACCAGGGACTGATCTGAAAACTAACAAGGGGCACATTTCAAACCTGAAAAAAATTCTGGGCCCGTAAAACCCTTAAATTGGGCCCAAATTTTGAAAATTTAAGCCCCACCTTCTTGATTATTTGGCCAAAATCATAGGGCCCTAAAATAGATAGTACTTGGGTTTAAACCCCATGTACCTCACATTTGAATTTGATGTAGACACACATGAATAGACCATAGGGGTCGTTATATTTAATGCGAGGGATGGATTATGAATTTTATTCTAAGGGAAAATATTATCAATCTATCCCTGTTTATTTCCAAGGGAAACATGTTATTATGGAATATTGTTTGATAATTCCAGGGTGTGGAAAATGTACAAGCCTGTACCTACCAGCGAGCAAGAGGCCGACGACAATAATGACGATGATGAGCTATACAAAAGAAAGATGGCATCGTTAAACAACGACACCAATAGCACTTCTACGATTTAATTAACTGATACGTCTTAATTAATATCAAACATACATGACATCTCATGAATTTGGTAACATATCATGAAGTAATAATACAATAATGTTATTGATAACATTATAAAACCACACACGGAACTACATCAAGAGAATACATGCGAATGTGAATTTCGTCAAAGCAATACACAGTGTCTGATTCGATTTAACCTTGAAAGCATGCCCGATATTGATATAATAGAATGACGATGATGAAATGACGATAAGAAAAGGACAGATCAACACAAATTGTCTTAGTAAAGTAGTTTGTAAGCGTATTTTTACTCAAATAAAACCGTATATATTGTCGTATTTGTTTCACTAAGTTATCAACGTGTCATCGTGGATATAAATATATAAATAATTTTTAATTTTGTATAGATGTGGCAAGAATGACGATCGGTTCGAAATTACATGTATCCAGAGATAAACCTGTTGCATAGACATGTTTTTAATGAGACAATGGAGACTTTAAAGATTTATGTTCTTTGGGAGAAATATTCTGTTCACATTTTGAACTTTTTGCAAACTTAGGCTTACCGTATACTTACATACCTAATGGTTTTCCAAGTAAGCTTTTCGCGCCATCTATTTCCAGTTCACAAGTTACATTAACCCACAAAATGGGAGTTAAATGTCGCTATTTTATTTTTCAAATGTTGCTTGTGGTGAATCATAAACCCTCAATATGAATGTAATTTATTATGAACGCATTGCAGACATATATACAAATATATATGACAAAATCATTTAAAACATGAATGGTGTGTCATTAGCCAAGGCCATGCAGGTGATAGTTTAAAGCGAAATCAATATACTTTGTTTTATCAAAAATAAGGCGTCATGTTCATGCATGTAATATATTATGACCTTGGAAAAAGTAATACCCTGAAATAAGAATCGAAGATAATTATGACGATACTGGTCATTGGTTGAAACCTCTTGAATACTCGGACGGACAACACGTGTCAATGGTTGAAACCCCTTGAATACTCAGAGTGAAGAACAAGACAGGTCAATGATTGAAACCCCTTAAATACTCAGACGGACAACACTTGTCAATGGTTGAAACCCCTTGAATACTCAGAGTGAAGAACAAGACAGGTCAATGATTGAAACCCCTTAAATACTCAGACGGACAACACTTGTCAATGGTTGAAACCCCTTGAATACTCAGAGTGAAGAACAAGACAGGTCAATGATTGAAACCCCTTAAATACTCAGACGGACAACACTTGTCAATGGTTGAAACCCCTTGAATACTCAGAGTGAAGAACAAGACAGGTCAATGATTGAAACCCCTTAAATACTCAGACGGACAACACTTGTCAATGGTTGAAACCCCTTCAATACTCAGAGTGAAAAACAAGACAGGTCAATGATTGAAACCCCTTAAATACTCAGACGGACAACACTTGTCAATGGTTGAAACCCCTTGAATACTCAGAGTGAAGAACGAGACAGGTCAATGATTGAAACCCCTTAAATACTCAGACGGACAACACTTGTCAATGGTTGAAACCCTTCAATATTCAGAGTGAAAAACAAGACAGGTCAATGATTGAAATCCCTTGAATACTCAGAAGGACAGCACTTGTCAATGGTTGAAACCCCTTGGAGTGATGTGCATACCAGTCACAGAAAATTTCATTTTTGACTATTTGTTCAATTTACAAAAAAATGTGTATTTTAAAAAATAACTACAACTATTTTTCAATGTAAAGTAATTTTACCAAAAAACATTGTATATTTAGAGATAAAACAATGGGAAAAGCAAGCAAAAATGAAAAGTGCTCTTGCATTCAACTTTACTGACTGCCATGGACAACGGAGTAGAAGACTTTGCGTAAACCTTAAATGCACTAAATTTTGATTGAGATATTAATTATATTTAAAGAAAATAATATGTAAATTTTAATGTATTCGACGCCCGATTTCAGGCAATTCTTACTCATTGCCGACTATCCATCACTTTGACTTTAATAACAAGATTAATTCATTCCTGGGTCATTTCACGAATTTTGACGATTTTCAAATTTTCGAGAAACAAATCCAAATCCAGTGAAACAAAAACCGTCAGAATCCTGGATGTGGTCATCGAAGGAGAGGTTTTCGCGAATTTGGATATTTTGGTAAAACAAAAACGTCAGGCTACAAAGGTTCAATGAATGTTCCCATTTGCCGCATTGCGCCTAATTGATAGCAATTGATCATGATATGGAAAACTGTAGATGTTACCCATTGATCTTGAAAACACAGGTTTATAAATCATGAAAACACTAACTCCATGGATGTAAACACAATCTCATGAATAATATAAACACAGTCCCGTGGATATGTAAACACAATCTCATGAATAATGAAAAGACAGCCCCATGGATATGTAAACACAATCTCATAAATAATGTAAACACAGCCACATGGATATTTAAATACAATCTCATGAATGATGTAAACACAGCCATATCGATATGTAAACACAATCTCATGTATGATGTAAACACAGCCCCATGGATATTTAAACACAATCTCATGAATGATGTAAACACAGCCATATCGATATGTAAACACAATCTCATGAATGATGTAAACACAGCCCCATGGATATGTAAACACAATCTCATGAATAATGTAAACACAGCCCCATGGATATGTAAACACAATCTCATGAATGATGTAAACACAGCCACATGGATATGTAAACACAATCTCATGATCATCTATAATGTAAACATAGCCATATGGATATGTAAACACAATCTCATGAATAATGAAAAGACAGCCCCATGGATATGTAAACACAATCTCATGAATAATGTAAACACAGCCTCATGGATATTTAAACACAATCTCATGAATGATGTAAACACAGCCATACCGATATGTAAACACAATCTCATGTATAATGTAAACACAGCTCCATGGATATGTAAACACAATCTCATGAATGATGTTGAATAACACTGCTACATGGATCTTTCAACCAATTCTCATGGACATTTTTTCGTTTCTCTCAAAACGTTCACGGACGGATTTACAGTAAAAAATGAAAATTGAAATACTCGATTTGACCTTGACCTTGATTGAACCTTGTACTTCTCCTTGATGGAAGTCGGACAAATTGTTTGGGGATACATTTATGAGGCGCAAACGGATAGGCCTACCCAACTAATGCTTAAATAATGTATATGACGAATGAATGAAATCAAAAAATCTAAAACATATTTTCTACAGAAAAACAAAGCAAAAGTCCATGATCCATTGCATAGAAATTTAAGTTACATATCTTTATTCAATTACATATACACTAGATATATTGTTCCTACTCAGTACTCTAATATGCATTCTCTGAGTAAATACATTTATTGCAATGTCGAGTAAAATGATAAGCCTATAGCTGAATCAGACAAATCAGATAAAATGATCAGCCTAAACTGAACCAGAGAAATCTGTTATTTATAAAAACAGTAGGCTTTTCCATTGAGTTAATTAAATGATGGCTATATGCCATTACTATGTCAATGCAACTACATCTTAACTAGAGCCATTGAATATTACTTTTTGATGAAACATATGTAATATGCATTAATTGAATTCTCCTACATATGATTTTTTTGTAGATATTAATTTTAATTACCCAGTCCATTGTTTAGAAACATTAGGCTTATTTCGCGCTATTGTCGGGAGCATTTAAATCTGGGTTTTTACTTGTTAACGAATTGACCCGAGGCAGAAATGCGAAACTCAATCATTACCCCCATATGCTACATTTGTCACCCAGATTTTTTACTTTTGTAACATTCTGGGGACCATATCAACATTTACTATTTAAAGTAGTTTCGCACTTTCAAAAAGAGAAGAATAGGGCAATGTTATTTCAATTATAACACAAAAACATTTGATTTTCAACTATGTATTCTACCATTCCTTGTAAATGGCAAAGAAATGTGTATTGTTCGTAATTGTATACGTAACCATAGAAAATACATACATTTTCACCACACAGATTCACCTCCATCTTGTCCTAAAGATTAATGATTATATAAAGTTGTATAATCAGGATTTTGCGCATTCATTGCGTAATATTATATTATGGTTACGTAATCGTTTCTTTTGGATACAATTACGCAAGCTCTTCATCGATAGATAGCCGCCTCCCCATGCCAAAAGTTTTGTTAAATATTTTATATCATAAAATCTATAGAAACTACATGTTCTTTGAATATTACAATGCTTATTGAATGCAATACGATGCAATTTTGTAACACAAGATAGATAAATTGTAATTTAATTAATATGTATTAATTTGCTCTCCAAATTAAAGGAAATAAAGAATCATATTATATCATATCAACCCAAAGCAGCCAAAATACATCAATACAACATTGATGCAACGAATGCGGAAATATTTTTGCGTCGGCAACCTGAATTTGTGGATATATCAATGCATGCTATATGATAAGTACATTAGTGCAATGACTGTCTGATTGTAAAATTCATGATGCTAATAACGAATTCTTCTCTACATAGAAAAGGAAATATCAGTTAGCATATAAAATCAGAATACGATTTAATAACTTATCAGGGAGTAAATGACAAATCACTCCCTATTCTAATCTAAATCAAACCGCAATGAAATGTTTTATGTTGGGGCGCGAAATGTTGACAGGGCCCCATAGCGCCAGTTATGTTGGTCCATGGAAGCTATCTAACCGATAACCCGATTCTGTTCATAATGATTATTTGATTTATCTAATTCCGTTGTGTTTGCTAAAATCATTTGTTTATACTACCTGCGGTAGAAGTAAATGCACAGTATGTCATACATTACGTAAAAATAAGCCAACACATTTTTGATACTTTTGCTCATGAGATATCAAATTGTTGCTTTGGACTTTCGCAAAAGCACGTACTATAGAGACAATTATGCAAGCTATATTTATTGAACAATGTATTATTTACCATCCATAAGATTTAGGAAAGAGATATGTGTAAATGGAATGTACATTTACCTTACCACATTCAGGTTGTTCAACCCGATGAGGATATTGTGCCCTTTTAATTTTTGTCGAATTTTCAAAGCTCGATAGCCAAAATGCATTCTGTCTAGCAAAATGCATTTTACTGTTTTGTCTTTAAAAATAGAAGATTAAATATGCATTGTGGTTTGTACCATTTCTATATTTATCTTGCAATCGTTTTATGGCATAATAATGTATATGCTGGTCGTTATATTTGGCTCTAAGTGAGCTGTGATACGGGCGTTTAAACTGAATATATCTGAATATATCTTTCTTGTTTTCT